TGAACTTGTAAAATACGTACTCTTCTAATTTTTCTGAAAAATAATGTTAATTTAAGTTCATTATCAACTTCACGGCCATAATTACCAGTTAGTGTTGCAACAGTTGCTTCTTTTATTTTACTTTGTCAGTTGTTTTCACTTTTCATTTTCAATATGATTTATTTATCTTGTTTATCATCTTCCTCTATCTCAATAATAAAGTTATCGTATTTTAATTTACAATTAATCCATTTTCTCACATTTAAAATTCCTATTTTTGTTATTCTAAAGCGGCGTTCCACTTTTGAATGTGACTTTTTCGTTAGCTATGACTAAGAGTTCATTTGGTGAACATAGGGTAAGAATTCCATGGAGTAGGAATGGTAAAGTTGTTATGTGGCAGGATATGAGTAAGTTAAATATTGAAAAAGTAAACACACAATAGGTATGACCGCCGTAAAGTTAGGGCTTGGACTAGAGTTAGGCTCGGAGCTAGATCCAGAACTAGAGCTCAGGTACAGGCTCAGGTACAGGCCCAGACTCAGGCTTAAGCTTAGGCTTGGGCTTAGGCTTAGGCTTAGGTTCAAGCTCAGGCTTAGGCTCACGCTTAGGCTAATGCTTGAGCTCAGGCCCAGCCTCAGGTTGTGACTCAGGCTCAAGCTCATGCTTATGCTCGAGCTCGGGCTCAGACTAAGACTAAAGCTAAAATTTGTGTACAGTTGAAGTAAGGTAGAACAAACATTTACTCTTACCCTTTACTATCATCCATGTACGTTTACCGTTCCTCTCTATTCAACCAATTAAGCCTAATAATTTATTCATAAAATCTGCAGAGGCGTGAGAGGCCGAGTAATTTGTAATAATCAAAAAGGCCATTATCATAGTAAAGTGTTTGGTACTTCACCGTGAAATATTTGGTATTTCGAGTAGTACTCAAAATTTTACAGGTCAATAACCTAGTGCAATATAATCTCATTTTAAGTGTTTTCAGTCTGGCATGGCTATAGTGTATAAGAGAGGGGTAAATACGTTTTTACAAAAGTATTTAATGGCGTGGTAAATGAATTTTAAACAAAGCATATTAAGGCGTGGTAAAGCAATTTAAAATTTTAGTTAAAGCATATCCAGGCGGGTTAAAGTGTATAAAGGCGTGGTAAACACGTTTTTACTACATTTGAGGGGTAGATGATTAAGAATTGGGATTCGGGAAAGTGAGGAAAAGGTTAATACAGTAGTTTTTAAAAGGTATTAGGCTTAAAAATGTTGTTAGACTATATAATGCTTTGAAAGTTTTAAAATTGCAACAAAAAAGTTGTTTATACGCCTCTTTACTACAAGATTAACGGTCGATGTAATCTCGTTTTAAAGTTTAAATCTGAAAACGCGTCATGTTTCAAATCCAAAAAGTTTTAAAATAAATTCTCGTCGATATCATATTACATTAGTATTTTTGAGGGCTTAATACTAAAGTTGAAAGATATTGTGGATATAGATCTATAACACCTTGGACATGCTTTTAAGTTTTACATTGCTTTTTATACTACACCCCTGTCTTAATATCACTCTACCCTACCCTACCCTACCTTACCCTACCCTACCCTACCCTACCCTACCCTACCCTACCCTACCCTACCCTACCCTACCCTACCCTACCCTACCCTACCCTACCCTACCCTACCCTACCCTACCCTACCCTAACTTACTTTACGCTGCCCTGCTCTGCTTTAACTCACCCTATCCTACATAACTCTGCCCTGCCTTACCATTTAACACCTTATTTTACTTTACATTGTCTCTATCTACCTAGCCCACTGTTTTACTTGAACCGTCCGGACTATTTTTTTAGACCCAGTCCGACTATTTTTTGAGATCCGGTCCTGTCCGGTATTCCTAAAAATTTTTTGATTTGTTTGGTTTGGGCCGTCCGGTTTAGAAAAGACACTGATCCAGTCTTATCTCATCCTACCTTAACATAACATACTCTACTATGCCCTATTTTGTTTTACGCTATCTTTCCCTTCAACATTTCACCGTGCCCTTTTAAAAATATAAACTTTTTGATTATTTTTTTAATATAATGAATCATACCACTTTATTGCACTTTGCTGCGTCTGACTTTGTTGATACTGTTTTGAAAAAGGTCTCCAGTTGTTATTCTCTACAACAAATACGAACATGAAAACAACTATATATACCTTTATTTATCCTTCGCTTCGTTTTTAAATTGTAAATAAAAACACGCGAAAAGACACGAGTCGACTACAAATTGGGGCTTGTTTGCATGTTTGGTACTACAAAAATATTATGATTAGTTGAATTTATTATATTTTAGCACTTGGTTTTGTGACTAGGCTAAAGCTAGTACTTAAGCTTAAACTAACACTTAGATTACCCCTAAGACTGTTGAAAGGTTTAGGCTAGGGCCAAGGATAAGAAAAATACTACTTAAGCTAATACTTAGGAGCTACAGCGCGGGCTAGGACAGAGAGAAACTAAGGCTAGGGCTCTGAGCTAGGGCACTGGGCCAAGCTTCTGGGTTAGGACTCTAGACTGAGGACCTTGACTAGCGGGTTCGGGCTCTCGGCTAAAGCTCTGGGCTAGATCTCTGGGCTAGGGCTCTGGGCTAAGGCTAAGTTATAGCTAAAACTAAATTGTTCTCAATGTTCTGCAGCTTATTACCGTATAATTAATTCAGCCTACTAGCCGGTTGTTTTTTGCAAAAGCTCTTAATCTGGCGTCTCGGTCAGTCAACTTGAGCACTTTGGCTTTTTAATCCCGAATAACAAGAAGATTGGCTAGCGTGTTCGGAATTCAGCCAAAATGCCACCTTACTGCTGAAAGTAGCATTTTGACTCAATTCTGAAGACGACCTGATACAATTTTTTTCATTTTTAAGTTTTAAAGTCATACTGTATTTTTTGATTGTATAAATTTCAGACTCTCGTACTTAAAACCCCAAAAATCGTGCTGTTTATAGTACTATAATACAGCATTTCATTGCCAAAAGCGCAAAAGAGTTGTGGCGAGCTAATTAGAACGTTTTTTGTTTGATACCACCAACAAAGTGGAAGTAGTTGGACCGTGAACAGTACATAGGGCACTCTTACTTTTGCCGCGTTTTTTCATTTTTTCTTCATATTTTAAACTTTTTCAAACCCTACCCTACCCTGCCCTGCCCTACCCTAACCTGCCCTTCTCTGCCCTACCTTACCTTTGTTACCAAAAATATCAAGGTTTATTGTTTTCGTGCCGGGACACATCGTTTTCAATATAAATATCCCAAAAATTACCGTCTTTGCAATTTTTAGGTACCTCAACTACCCTACTCTAGTGTCATCAGTACTGACGTACCACTAGCAAGTGAATACTAAAAGTGCTGTTATAGCATCAGCGTGTTAGTATTGTACTATCATCAGCACTAAAACTGCACTACTACTACTGACCGTACTATCTGTACTACAGTAATACTATCATACTACCATCAAAAGCACTATTAGTATTAAAAGAGCACTACTCCGTCAGACAGTACTATTGGTACTACAGCATCATTACCCCTAAATACGATACTATCGTTACTACAGTAGCACGTTCACTACAGCCAGTAATATTAATACTACAGTAATACTATCGCTGTGAACAGTACTATATTATCCCTAGTAACTAATAATATATCACCTCTAGTAATCACTACTACACCACCTCCAATATTCAAGTAGTACCGCCAGTACTACCCACCACAAACTCAAGATGACGATGGCAGTACCGCCCTGGGCGTGGTACGCGTTTGGTGCTTGTTTCACGTTAATAGTCCTCTTCCTACTACTCGACTACTTCTTAATACGACGAAATGCCCTAGGCAATTCGTGTTGCGCATTTTCACAGAAGAAAAGGCCTCCGGGCATGGTGATAACGTGCCCACAAACGAATGTCGCCTGCGACAGTTTTCATCATTTTCACCATAAACGGAGTACCAACATGATCTTGAGTGTTTAAGTGGTATTTAGGTAATAATTTTGTTGAGAAGAACGTGAAAATTATTTTTTTATTGTTTTGTAAGGTTTGAAATGGCATTTTGTAACTACAAAAGGTAACAAAATTTAATTTTTTATAAAGAAATTTTAAAAAATTTGAATTTTGAAGCCGAAGTCTATTAAAAAACGTCATTTCAGCCACAAAATCACGTCGAAATACCTGTATATTAACCTTTTTCATGCCATTTTGTACTTTAAATTTGATAATCAGTACCATTTCCGGACGACGAAAATCTCACATAATCCATACGAGTGCTATAATCTTTGTATCTCAGTGTAACATTATGATATACTCTTTGTTTTGTACAGTAATGTAACTTTATATACTGTACTTTTAATTTTTTTGACTTATTAGGTTGTTCAATTAATACTGTGCTCCATAAATCCAAAAAAATTTCTTTGAGAGTAAGGCGCAGAATTATTTGAACAACCTAGTATACTGTTGTTGCAGTTGTTTTCCTAGGTTGTTCACATAATTCTGTGCCCCCTAGCTCCAAAAAAATGATTTGGAAGAGGGCGCAGAATTATTTGAACAACCTAGTATACATTTGATTTCCTAGGTTGTCCACATAAACAGTTGTTTTCCTACGTTGTTCACATAATTCTGTGCCCCCTAGCTCCAAAAAAATGATTTGAAAGAGGCCGCAGAATTATTTAAACAACTTAGAATACAGCTGTTTTACTAGGTTGTTCAATTATTTCTGAGCCCCATAGTTCCAAAAAAAATCTTTGAGAAGGGGAGCAGAATTATTTGAACAGCCCAGTATAATGTAAATAATTCTCTTATTGTATTTGTATTCTATGTGCTGTAAGATTATTGTAAGCTATTAATCTTATGTATAATATATTGTAAAAACCTTAATAAATAATTAAAACCTAACAATTTAAGCCTAACCAGCTTCGTATTTTACCTTGCCAATTCAAATAAGCTAAGAATTTATTTACAGTGCCATTTTGTATTTATTATTTTAGTTTTTGTATTTTTGTGATTCATTTTCGAACATTGGCCATTTTCTGTCGCAACACATGACACTTGACAGCGCGGACAAAGGCTGTCACCGCTGATTCTTTCTTGTGCTCCTAAAATTATAAGTTTTGCCTAAAAGAACAGAATATTACCCTAGCCTTTTCTGTTCTACGCCATTGTACATATACTTTAGTATCTTGCCCTACCATACCGTAACCTACAGTACACTGCACTTAAAGCCCCTTACATTATAATACTTTACAGTATACTACCCTACTCTATCTGAACCTACCTTAGCTTACTCTACCCTATAGGACCTTACCCTATCCTACCCTACCTTACTCTACCCTACCCTACCATATTCTATCTTACAGTACTCTAGACTTATCAGGCCCTACAGACCTAGCCCATGTCCCCACCTACCGTAACATCCGCATTCTGAAACCAGCTCTCCATCACTCCAGTTTGTGTGGGTCCATCTGATTCAATCTCTATGATCTCTAACCGGTTCCTCACTTCCTCCAACCTCTCATCATTCCTCCCACTAACAACATCATTGTCATCTTTCTTAAATCCCACCAACGTCACATCATCACCATCATCCACACTATCCTCCGTCGTCAATTGACCGTCCGAATCAGGCAAGTCGTGCATGTAGTCGGTGGTTACACCATCACCGTGCACCTCATCCATCTCCAGCAAATAGATCCGCCCTTTGGCGTCGTACAACTCTTGGGGAAGGTCGGAGCCGCTACTCGGTTCCGATTCCATATAACTTAACTAAATTTTATTGAAATTAAAGCTGGAACACTCACTTTATCGTTCCGTTTTGGGCGTTCTGATCTTGATCCGGCTCTTCTTCATCGATCGAACTGTCTTCAGAGTCTATGGCGTTTCTAAAACTGAAAAATTACAAAAAATAATAAAAGTCGTACTTCTAGGAACTAGTCTAGACCTTCAGCACACCAACAAAGCAGCTGCTTCAATTCCAAACCTCCAAACCATCGCGGCAGAACAAAATCAAAGTTATCGCAAAAAACGAAAATTTTCGATCATGGATAATGTTCTCGACGATTTTGCCTTATTCCTCTTTGAATTCCTAATATAAATGTTGTGTATACATTATAAAAGGCTGTTACCTTTCTCAATTTCCCAGGTCTTAACAAAATCTCCACTTTTATATTGTTTTAATTGAATTTTCAACAATATTTTGATAGCTTTTGCTTGATTCAAGCTAAAACAATGTTGAAAGTGCATTCGTAAGTGGTTTCTTTATAATATTTTTGTTTTTAGGTCAGAGAATAGTTATTCTAACTAACTTTAACGTTTCATTGGCTTGTTGACCGTTATTCAAAAGTTTTAGCACATCGATATTACTTTAGGTTGAAGCACGCTGAACTTTTCAGTTTTCGCTTGATTTTTAGACTAAAATTCTTCGTAATACTTGTGAAAGCTTTGGTTATTAACTTTCGCGACAATTTTTTCTGGTTTTAGCTCCAAAACAAACCCAAGGTTTCGACTTTTACCCAAAGATCCAACTAAAACAACATTAAGGTCCTAAACTTGGCAAAAACCCTTCAAAAAGCCAATGAAACGTCCACGTTTTGTTAGAATAATCCATGTCAACTCTAAAACAACCAAAATGCTTTAAAGAAACCACTTACCAATCCACTTCCGATATTGTTTTAGCTTGAAGCCAAGAATTCTCAGAATTTTAGCAAAAACTTTTCTAAAACAATATAAAACACAGAATTTTACCAAAATTTATAAACTGGAGCAAAATGACCGTATTTTAGAAGGTATAGGCAACGTTTACGTTTCAAATTCAAGAAGGAATAAACAGTAATCGCCGAGAATATTATCCTTGATCAAAAATTTCCGAAAAAATTTCTTCGCGAGAATTTCTATTTGGTCCTGGCACGAAGGCTTGAAATTGAACCAACTGGGTAAGTTCATTACCCATTTACACTAAATATCCGTTTTAACTTACTCGTTTGGTAACTATCAAAAGATGACTTACCGATACATAGCGTATCCCTTGAAGTTGGTGGGTAACATGAATTCCTTCCCCTCCTCGTCGTTGCCATATTCAGGAGCACTCATTTGTTGTTGTGACACTCGGCCAAGTGCAAAGTCGGTCGACTTTGATCGATCTTTCGTCGCTTCTGACTGTGTTTTAGCCAACGGCCGTTTTTGCATTATCTTTCGGCGTAATGGTGCTGCTGATACGCTTCGTGCCGCGACTGGTTTGTGTTGAATCGCATTTCGTTGTTTTAGCAGGCGGTCTAGGGCTTTTCGGCACTGTTGGGCACCGGCTCTGAAATTTTTAAATTTTTTATTAGGTTGAATCAAAAGTATCGATTAAGTTTTGATAAAAGGAATAATAAATTGTAGATATGAACTTACTTTTGAGACAAAGCATAATTTTTCAAATTTTTGATAAGTGTTTCATCTGTTAAATCATGATCTGCGTCTCGTAAAATCTCCTCTGAAACAACAATTGTATAAAATATTAGGTGCCGACATAAAGAACCCTCCATTTTTTGCTGGAAATTACAGGAAGAGTATGGCGGGTTCTTTATGTCGGCACCGTATGTCTACAACCTTTACCCCCTTAGGCGTGTCAACTAAATAGATCTTTAGTGCACTGTACAGTAGCATATCCTTATCATGCTTATCACATTTCTAAAAGCTCAAAATTATAGTACCCGACCCTGTTTACCTACCCGACTTTTCACTTTGATATTTTCCAATAATTTGTCGCATTTGCATATTCTCCTCAGTTAAATTGGCTATAATGTCCATATACTGATCTTTCTCTTTTAAAAAATCAGCTTCAGGCACACTTTCGTTTAAATGTCGTTTCAATCGAGAACATTCCGTCTCCAACTTCTCCATCCGTTGACGGGTTTCGGCCGCTTTTGCAACGTTCCGATCTGATAGTAGTTTGGCAACTTCTTCTGATTTCTCACGTAAAGCACGTTCGTACTGAATAACTTTGCGTTTTAGTGAGAGCTGGCGGAGCTTTTGCTCGGATTTTGAGCCGGGCTGGAAATGAAAGTTTTTAATTTTAAAATTTTTTGAAATTAAAAATTTTTTTTTTCAAATTAAAAATTTTTTTTTTGAAAAATTTTTTTTTAAATTAAAAATTTTTTGAAAAAAAGCTTGACTTACGTCGTCCTTGACCAACTCGTCGATTTGTTGATCTTTTTTCTTGCACTCCTTCTCCAACACTTTAAGCCGTGTCCTCATAATTCCTATTTCTCTCATTGCAAAAGCGTGGCTCTGGAATTGAAATTTAATTAAAAATTTTGAAAAAATTTTGGGTTTTGGACAGAAACACTAAAAAAATATTTTAAAAATCGTTTATTGTTAGCTGAGCGTACAGAACAAAAGCTTCAGACTAGCATACGTTTATATATTAGGCTGTACAAAAGCGGGCACCAAAGAATCACATGAGAAATAGTTGAGAACAGTAGAGTAAGGTTTAAATAAAGACTGAAGAATGCTGTGCTAACGTTATGGTGGGGAGTATCAAGACATTGGTGGGGTCATCTTCTGGTGGACGATTTGGTCCAATAGGACCGATAGGAGGGAGGTTTGGCAAGGGTTAGTAAAGAGCCGGGGGAAGGGTAGGGTAAGGTGGGTTAGAACGAGATAGTAGAGATTAATAGGGGTAAAATAGGAATGTACTAGCGATAAGATAGGGCTATAGTAAGGTTAGGTTTGGGCTATGATAGGGGTAGGGCAAGGCAAGGCCATTTGTAAGGGTGAGATAAAGAAAAAGCAATGCAAAACTAAAAATAACTTTTGTTCCCTGATCAGTTAAGCCTAAATATATAAAAAAATGTTGCTTTAACTATACAAAACCGTCTATTTTTCGAAACCAACACCGAATTTGGCGGAAGAAAACAATGTAAGACCCTTCGGGGGCTGTAATCCCATTTTCCCACAATACAAACTGACAAGACGTTGGTCTAATAATGTACCTTTTTGGTGCGTAGTAACTCCTCTTCCATGTTCTCGAACCGCGCCATACCGCCAAAGTTTTGCTGTCGTTGGGGCTTGTCTATGCTGTTGGTGTGGTTGCCTTAAAATTTTGTTTTTATCACAGGGCAGGGGATTAAAATTTTGCTTTTAACAGGGCAGGGGATTAAAATTTTACTTTTACAAGATGACATATGTTATAAGCATATCAGTGTGTCTGAATACGGCTAAACCAAAATTTCCAAAAAAAATTTTTGAATGGCTCATTTTTTTTGGACAATTTGATATCAATGTTAGTTTAAAAATGTGACATATTAGGCTGAAACAAAAGTAGCGGGTCACTTTTTTGTTGAAAAATAAATAAAAAGTGTCCTGCTACTTTTGGTCCATACACGGTGCGCCAAAAGTTTTGTTACAAAACTTTACCGGTCGTTTTCTCTATGTGGCGCACCATTTAAAACACGAAAAATGGCCTTTTTTCTATAACATCTACCTCAACCTTGCAAACCTTCGAGAAAACGTAAACATACCACCTTTCGCCGCTCCCATAAACCTCTCAAGAATAAAGCAAATTTTGCCAAACCCTGAGGGCAACGGACCATAAACTCAAAATTTATGACCGAAACTAATGTAATTGAGAGGATTATAAGGTTTACGTCGGTTTTCGAGTAGCTCTGCAGCTTACAGACAATGAAACCAGCAAAGTGGACTATGAACCTTTACATTCCTATTTTACTATAGTTTGGCTCGTGGGTTGTTAAGATAGTCTTTGTAGTATAATTGTACTTTACAGTATAATATTACTTTATAGTATGATATTATTATTACCCTGCCTACTTACTATGAATAGACGAAACAACCGAAGTTGTCAGACTCGTCCGCCTAAATGTTGAAGCTGATGAGTGAGACTGGTTCATGGTGTGATGAGGTATTCTTCGCAGTAGATTTGGCTGACCCGATGTTGAACTGGAGCTGTCGTCCGAGTGGCGGCGGAGAGCGCGCATCTCTAAAACACAGTATATAGTACACCCTAGAAGTTTGCACAATACCCTACCCTACCCTACCCTACCCTACCCTACCCTACCCTACCCTACCCTACCCTACCCTACCCTACCCTACCCTACCCTACCCTACCCTACCCTACCCTACCCTACCCCTACCCCTACCCTACCCTACCCTACCCTACCCTACCCTACCCTACCCTACCCTACCCTACCCTACCCTGCCCTACCCTACCCTACCCTACCCTACCCTACCCTTCCCTACCCTACCCTTCTGTGCTCAATCCTACCGTGTTCTACCTTGCTCTACCGTGCTTTACTCTGCTTTACCTTACCGTCTTCTACCTTTCCCTACTCTACCTTACACTACCCTGCTTTACTTTTTTAACCATGCCGTGTTTTATCTTACTCTACCGTGCTTTTCTTCACTTTACATTGATATTTTTTACCTTAACCTACCATACTCTACCTTACTTATCATGTTAAACCTTATTTCACCCTACTTTTCTTTGAGTTTACCTACCTAGCCCTACTCGCCCTACCTTAACCTAACACACATTTTTATACTCATCTTTTTTTTCTCTAACCTGCTTTATCCTGTCATGTCTTACCTTACTCTTTAATAAATTTTTATAAATTACTACCTCCCCCCCCCCTCCTCCGCTTTATCTTCTACTTTTAAGAATACCTTTCTGCTCACTCTTTAAAACTCAAATTTAGATTGGCTACCCAGTCTCCTCTCCCCCCCCTCTTTTCAAAATGGATTTTAACGTTTAACCCCGTCTTATATAAAATATATTATAATATATAACTACCCTCAACCCAAAAAAAACTTTATTATTTGCCATTTATTAACAACTTTATGCGAAAAAAGTGAAAACAGAGTTCGGGTAAGAAATCCCATTTACCTTTTTCTTTTTTTCGAAATTTCTTTTGGGCCGCGAAATGGCCGGTGGAGGTCGCCAATGGGCGGTAAAACCGCACTGACCGACTTTAATTGCGCCATGACATTAAATGTTAAACATGGCGAGCGAAACGTGTCGTTACGTTGGTTGACGTAGCTGGAAAGTGGCAATCTCACTACCTTTTTCTTAAATTTAAAACAAGAGTTTCGTGACTTTTATACAGTAGCACCTCTGTATAAGAAACCGCTATATAACGAAACCCATGTATAACGAACAACTTTTAAATACCGCCTTTACTGTAGTTAAAATGTAAGGTTTTTAGGCTTAACTTTGAAAATTAGACTAATTTTGAGACCTGGCCTGTTTTTATGTTTTCTCAAGCTGGCATGGCCTGGCTCGGTCAAATTTTTTTAATTTTTTTAGACCGGTTTGGCCTGGTCTGTTTTAAAAAATTTTAAAACAAAAAATAAAAAAAATAGGCAAAAAATTTTGAGACCCGAGCTTACGCTTAAGCCTAACTTTACTTTTCAAACCTAGCCTGCGGGCCAGGCCTGACTTTCAGGCTCAGTCTGTATTAACTTTAGCTCAAGACCAAACCAAAAAACACAATGCCAATTTGGCGAAAAATTCAAAACAATTTTTTTGATTTCTATTTTTTGAGGCTGACTGTAAAGCGTAATTTAGTAGTGTGCTAAAGGAGATTATATTTACATGATCTTTTCAATGCAAAAAGTTTGAAGTCAATCAGAGCGGGGATAGATAGTTTTTAATTTTGAAAAAGGAACCAAGCTAGCTCATTCATAATAATAGCACTACGATGGCGTGACAGTTTTTATTACAGCTAATAGCATTTTAGTCTACTTTAATATAAAAACTAAACATTTAAAAAATTTAAAAAAATATTTTTATATTTAAAAGTTTGCAAAGGATTTGGCCAAAAACCTTGCCAAGTTTGAATTCGTACTGATAATGTGTGCTTTCGAAGATTAACTGATATTTCGCCAAGACTTTTGAGTTTGTTTCGAATTAAAGAATTTTAATTTCCTCCAAGGAATACGGATCGTCATGACAACCAGAGTTCGGATTAACCCACCCCTCCCCTCCCATGTAAACAAGCTGCTTCAAAAAAGATTGGAATTCTGTTGCAATTTTGCACTGTGAAACACCAAATAACTTCCCTATTCTACCCCTACCCTACCCTACCCTACCCTACCCTACCCTACACTACCCTAACTTACCCTACCCTACCCTACCCTACCCTACCCTACCCTACCCTACCCTACCCTACCCTACCCTACCCTACCCTACCCTACCCTACCCTACCCTACCCTATCCTACTCTACCCTACCCTACCCTATAAAAGCCAATGTATATTTAGTGCAACTCTATCGTAAGCCTTATTATTGTCCTACTCTGATCCTTGTCATAAAATTCATTTGTTTTGCTTTTACTTTCTCCTTGCTCTACTCTTACTCTAACCTTGTTTAAACGCCGTCTGGTTCTTACTATCATTTTATCTTATTCTTCTGAGTTGTCCTGTTACTACCGTTGCCTTACTGTCAGTATACATTTACTGTACCCTTTATCTATCGTTATTTTACTTTTAGTATGCATTTATTCTGCCTTTTATTCATCGTTAGCTTACTTTCCCTTACCTTGTACTTTAGCCTAGTCTTGCTTCTTTATATTATCTATTGTCTTTACCTTACCTTTCCATTACTTTTGCTCTACCCATACTCTAACTTTGTCTTACTTTTGCCTTACTTAACCTTTGTTTTTACCATAGCTTTGGTTTGCATTTGTCTTACTTTTTTACTTGTACGTTACCAAAACCCGTACCAACAAAATTCAAATAAAATTTATCAAAACCCAAAAAAATCAAACAATAGTTTTGGCGGAGGCTTTGCTTCGTTTCCTCTGATGTCGTCGTATAATGTGAAGACAGTCCTCGACGTAACGATAACTGTGTAGCACAATCTTGAACACGTGATATGACAAGTAGCACGACAGTAAAAAGACAAATTCGAAAACAATATAAACGAATAAAGGAAATGTTCGGTTGGAGTCTAAAACAAGTTGTCCTTTCGGTTTTTTAGGTAACGGAGCGACCGTCTCTGTTATGGCGATTAGTGGTATTGAAAAGGCGAATAGTATGGAGAATATTAGGTGAAGGAGCTGGAATGGTAGTACAATGTACAATGGAACTATTGTATAACGATTTTCTAAGAACTTTTGATTCTGTTTAATACAAAAACGAGGTATACTAAGCTTGGTCAAACCTCGTTTTGGCTCTGTTTTGGACCACGTCGAGCTCGGCTAGACAAAACTAGGCTAAGCTGAGTTGGATTGGGCTGGGCTGTGTTGAGCTGAGCTGGGCTCGGCTGGGCGAGGCTAAGCCGAGCTGAGCTGGGCTGGATTAGGTTGGCCTGGACTGGACTAGTTAGAGTGGGCTATGCGGAGCTAAACTAGGCTAGGCTGGGCGAGGCAAGACCAAGCTGAGCTGGGTTGCACTGGACTAAGCAGGGCTAAAATAGGCTGAGCTGGGCTGGACTGGGGTGGCTAGGCTGAGCTGGGCTGGGCTGGGCTGGGCTGGGCTGGGCTGGGCTGGGCTGGGCTGGGCTAGGCTGGGCTGGGCTGGGCTGGGCTGGGCTGAGCTGGGCTGGGCTGGGCTGGGCTGGGCTGGGCTGGGCTGGGCTGGGCTGGGCTGGGCTGGGCTGGGCTGGGCTGGGCTGGGCTGGGCTGGGCTGGGCTGGGCTGGGCTGGGCTGGGCTGGGCTGGGCTGGGCTTGGCTGGGCTGGGCTGGGCTGGGCTGAGCTAGGTTGAATTGGCCTGGGTTGGACTGGTTAGAGTGGGTTAGGCTGGACTATGCAGAGCTAAACCAGGCAAACTACGGCTAGGCTGGCCTAGGCTATGCAAGACTAAACTAGGCTAGACTGGGTTGAGCTAAGCTGGGCAAAGCAAAGCAGGGCAGGGCAGGGCAGAAGTTCCATTGTAAAATCGGTTTTCAACTAATTCTGTGCTCTCTCTCAAAGCAACTTTTTGGCTTAGGAGCACAGAATTATTTGAACAATCTAATATATCTTCTTTTTTGTTCCAAAATACTAAAGAACATACGTTAATTACCATGAAAGGCCAATAGCACCAGGTCGTTTTTCGCCGATTCCCAATTAACAACAGCCAGACGGGTAGGCCAACTAGAACCCCACCAGCCGACGGTAGAATATCGAATTTGATTAGGCAAAACAACGTAATCGGCAAAACAAACAAGCACCATAGAATGCAGAAGAACAACGATATGATGTATGTGGCTTGCTGGAAGAGTGATTTTTGAAATTGAAAACAGAGTTTTAAAAATTAATTTTTTTTTTAAATTTGAAAATTTTTAAAGTTTAAAAAACAACTCACAAGGAAAGTGCCCTACCTGCCACGCTCAGAATCAGTTCAAAATTTTTATATGAATTTCTTGTATCACCAATAGTTCCCATAAAAAATTTTAGCTCGCGCGTTTAGGTTTTAAATTTAAATTATTTGGGTTTCACGCCAATTTGACAAAATTGGCATTGTGTTTCAAGCATTTTTTTCGGCTTTCCAGACAAGATACGCTTACAAATTTAAAAATGCAGGTTCATTTAAAGGTTTTCTGCTAGTATATCAAAGAAAAATAATTAAAAGTCAAAAAATGACAAAGTTATAAGCTTGAAACACAATGCCAAGTTGGCGGGAACTTCAAGATGTCATTTTTTGATCTCGATTTTCTCGAGATTCCCTGAAGAGCGCGATTTAGCTAAAGATCTTATATTTGCATGATCTTTCTGTATAAAAAGTTTGAAGTCAATCAGAGCGGGGCAGGTCGGGCACTTTCTTTGTCAAAATTATTTTTCTGTAACATAATCTGGTCAATTTCTACCTTTGCCCTAAAATAGCCTTTCCCTACACACTAGCGCTACTCTAGCTCTATTTTAGTTCTACGCTAAGTATACTGTTGCTCTACTCTAGTTCTACCCACGCTTTACCTTCTACACTTGTCCTACCTGTGCTCTACTTTAGCTCTATATTTGTTTTACTCTACTTTACCCTTGCTCTACCCTAGCTTTGTCTTTGCTTTACTCTACTTATACCCTTGCACTACTTATGCTCTACCCTTGTCCTAAACTAGCACTACTCAAGCCTTATCCTAGCTTTGCTTTATCTCTACCCTTGCGTCACTCTAACAGTACTCATGGCTTGCTCTTGCTTTACCCTTGTCCTACTTCTACCCTTTCCTAACCCAACCTTAGATTTACCCACGCACTATCTTAGCTCTAACCTAGTTCTATTTAAGAACTGTGCTAAATCTGCTATTGATTTACTTCTTGCTCAACCCTAGATATAGAATTGTTCTACATTAGCTCTACGCTTGCCTTATTCTTGCCTTACTCTAGCCTTACACAGTTTTTGTATTATTAATTATAGGATAAGCTTTTTGTCACTACCGTAACATACTGCGTTCTATCTCTACACTTACATACAATCATACTTACCGTAACCCCAAATACCGTACCAAACAAAAACAATAATTCAAAACTTTTTGAACTTACATGAACGTGCACACTCTGTTTGCACACCAAATAATGTTCGGACATTCCGAAGGGTAAATGTGTAATTTAGAGTGTGCCGTTCTTCTGGTCCCCACCGTTCCTTCGCTCGCTTCTCGTGCATCTAATTTCCGTTTTTTCATGGCCATTTTTATTTTTTAACGCTTTGTAAATTTAATTCGAGCTGTTTATAAAACGGAGAAGATTGAGTTAAAGGCAACAACCATACCCACTGTTATAGTGCATTCTGAAGATACTATAGTTCGTGCAGTACGATGAGACCAAAACTATGTATGTCAAATATAAACTATTATATATGTATTGCCTAACGTTTTTGTAATATTATATTATGGTTGTTCACATAATTCTGCACCCCTGTACCTCACAAATTAGCTTTGAGAAAGAGCGCAGAGTTAAGTGAACAACCAAATAATATAAAAGTTTTTTATTATTTATTGTAATAGTATATGTATATAGAAATTTACATTGTTCAAATAATTCTGTGCCTCCTAACTCTGACAATTTGCTTTGAAGAGAGCGCAGAATTATTTGAACAACCTTTATACATGTATTGCACTGTACTGTTATATGTATACGTACTGTACTGCGCTATTATATGTATGTTTATGTACTGCAATGTACTATTCTATGAATAAGTACCGTACTGTACTATTAAATGTATGTATATATACTGCACTGTACTGTTATATGTATATGTACTGTACTGCGCTATTATATGTATGTATATGTACTGCAATGTACTAATTTATGTATATGTATATGTACTGCAATGTACTATTATGTGTATATATACTGCACTGTACTATTATATGTATACGTAATATAATGTACTATGTACTATTTATTTGAAACTGATAAAGTTTTTTTTAATCTTTTTCTTATCTTTGTCCGCCTTTCATAACACGTACTATATATGTAGCACGTACAAAACAGACCTTTCCAGAACTCCAAATTCGAAAGCCTCAAATTGCCGGAAGGGCGAAAGAATAGAAAAGCAATAAAACCAACATACACAGTTCTTACAACTTTACTTTGAATATATGTTTACTGTGTTCTTGAATTCATAAAGGCACAGTTTTTTAGTTGCTGAGGTGAAGGTGAACGGCGAGGTGAGGCCTGTAGAATTACACAGATGGTCAGGCATGGCTCTTAAACTTTGTTCGACCCGGCCTGCGGCTATTCCTGCAGAGGGTGGTCAGCAAAAGTGATACGGGTTTGAAGATGGTGGTTGGGCCTAATTTTTTAAATTTGACTAGTTATTTTATATTGATAGTCATTTTTTAAAAATATCTTCGAACCACAGTGCCTTGAACACTTTGAGCACCCTATGAATTGAATGACCTGTTGTTTTGACAATTTTGTTACAATTGCCAATATCCATCTACATATCTAGAATTTAGCGGAAACATAACACGAAAGTCGGTAACTTTTTAAAACTTAAGGATTATTTGTTGGAACATCCTTGTGAAAAAACTAATTTACCGATCTACTGATTCTCTCTGTTAAATGTAAGAAAATTACTTTCAAAAAGATTGCCCTTCTTTTTCAAAATATTTTTTATTGGTGGTAATTAGTCTTGAAAGGACCTGCTTGACCAGACTAAACCAAATTTTAAAAAGGCCGGGCCAAGCTGAAGAATTTGGCGGGCCTTCTTGCAGGTCTAGTGATAAGTCAAGAACGAGGAGAAGGGTGGGGGAGGAGGGGGAAAAGAAGAGGGGGATTCCTTTATCTCACTCATATAACCCCCAAGCCCTGATTATATCAAAATATAGCAAATACGCCACGATAAATCTGTTACGCGATCCACCCATGCAGAATGATTTGTTTTCCGGCAATTATTTTGGAAATAGCTGGTTCCTGGTGTATTTACAGACCGGATTACTTTATGGTAAACTTGTTTGGCCATATTTAAAAAGGTCTTTTATTTTTGGTCATAAGGTTCATTTTGAAGTTTGTTTTTATTTAGCTATAAATAATATTATTTACTATCAATTTTGTTGATTTACTATCAATTCATTAACATAGAAAGTACCCTACCTCCCCCGCTCAGAACCAGCTCAAAATTTTTATATCATGTACCACCAATAATACACATAAAGCATATTAGCTCACGCTTTTGAGTTTCAAATTTAAATTATTTTGATTTCCCGCCAATGTGGCAAATTTGGCATTGTGTTTCAAGCACTTTTTTGACTTTCCAGACAAGCTACGCTTACAAATTTAAAAATGTAGGTTTATTTAAAGGTATTCTACTAGTATATTAAAGAAAAATTCCTAAAAGTCAAGAAATAGCAAAGTTATAAGCTTGAAACACAATGCCAATTTGGCGAGAAATTCAAAACGTAATTTTTTCGTCTCGATTTTCTCGGGATTTCCTGAAAAACGCGATTTCGTATTTTGCTAAAGAGATTATATTAACATGATCTTTCTATACAAAAAGTTTGAAGTCAATCAGAGCCGGGCAGGTCGGGTAATTTCCTTACAAATTGTTCAAAAAATTATGAGCTACCTTTCAAAGCAAATTTTCAGAGTTAGATAGCTCAGAATATACTTTTAAAACCGAATGTTTTTATTTAAAAAAAATTTTTTTTTAAATTTATTTACTCAATTTTGAAAATTTTAAAAATTTTCGTAATATAGTATAACGGCTAGACGCTTGCAGGTATTGTTGTACCTGTCTAGCCATGTAATACTGTAGTGAACAATAGTACCTTTGTAAATAGGGGCTGGATTATACGGTGTGATAAACATTCTTTAGCTGTCTATCTGAAAGATGCTTTACATGGTAATTGTAGTGCTATTTGTCTATGTTATAGTATTGGTATAAAAACAGATGTATCAACGTGTTTACTACTACTTTACAGAGTAAAACCTTATATCACACTCTTTCTTAAACTTTTTTCTTTTGAAAAAATTATTTTACTTTACCTTTTCTACAGTAATTTGGTACTATAGCACTTATACTACTTTCATACAGCTATAATATATATATTTCATTGACGTTTTTATATTACACTAAAGTTCTTTTACAATTTATTCTACGAATATGAAGAAACATTTACGTTCAGAAGCCTCAACTGTCAAATACGACCGGTCGTTTAGCAATAGCCCGGTTTTCACATTCGGAATGTCACGGGCCAAACATACGGATGACATTATGAATATTAATGTCGGTGGGAAACGGTATACGGTAGGTTTTCTGGAAATATAATGAAAGTAAGGGATAGGGTAGGATGGGATAAGAAAAAGTGTGGTGTGGTAAGGTAGCGTAATGTAGGAAGCAAGGCAGGGCAGGACAGGGCAGGGCAAGACAAGGCAAGACAATACAAGACAAGGCAAGGCAAGGCAAGGCAAAGCAAGGCAAGACAAGGCAAGGCAAGACAAGGCAAGGCGAGGCGAGGCGAGGCGAGGCGAGGCGAGGCGAGGCGAGGCGAGGCGAGGCGAGGCGAGGCGAGGCGAGGCGAGGCGAGGCGAGGCGAGGCGAGGCGAGGCAAGGCAAGGCAAGGCAAGGCAAGGCAAGGCAAGGCAAGGCAAGGCAAGGCAAATCATGGTAGTGTACGACTAGTGCGGTAAAGTGTCTATTTTTCTTTGGTATACCCTAAAGTTTCTACTGTTTGTAGGTCCGTCGCTCTGATTTGATAGCAGACCCAAGGAGCAAGTTGGCAGATTGGTTTCGACCAAATAATAATCGACCAGTCCCAACCGACAAAGGTGGTAACATATACTTGGACAGAGATGCCAAGACATTCCGACACATCTTGGCCTACCTTCGGCTGAAAAAAGACCGTTTGGCTCCGACGTTGGCTTTACCTTCTAAGCCTGATGATTTGGCAAAGTAGGTTCTTTTTAATAGCAGACCCTACTTCAGCAAATTTTCAAAAAAAGTTAGATTATAAATTTTAAAAATGTCGAATAATTCTGAAAGAACATCACATGACATTGTTAACGTTCTCTGTTTCATACTCAATCACTTTTGCTCGGTGTAATCAATCGAAACAGTACCAAACAGTCTGTAACGAGGCTTAGGTCGAGCACAGGAATCGAACTTGCGAAGGGGCCGCTTTTGCTTGTTTGTTAGGCAAAGGTAAAAACCACTGCGCTACGAAGGCACAATCGGAAAGGGACGTTGATTGGCTTCTTTTTGCTCTTGAGGCGAAATAAAGTAACTTACAAGGGATATACCCTACCTATTCTTTTCAGAATTAGCTCAAAATTTTTATTTGAATTTTTTGTACTACCAGTAGTACCTATAAAAAGTTTTACCTCGCGCTTTTGATTTTTAAGATTTATATACTTGAGTTTCTCGCGAATTTCCCAAGCTTGGCATTGTGTTTGAAGCACTTTTTTTGACTTTCCTAAAAAGCTACCCTTACAAATTTGAAATTTTAGTCTCATTTAAAGCTTGTCTACTACAATATCAAAGAAAAATGATTAAAAGTCGAGAAATGACAAAGTTATGAGCTTGAAACACAATGCCAATTTGGCGCGACATTCGAAACAGTTTTTTGATTCTGTTTTTCAAGATTAACTTGAACGCTCCCTTTAGTAATTTTTCAACTTTTTAGATTAGTTGCCGAATGTGAAGCCCTAAACCTAGCCGAACTGAAGGATGCTGCTCTAAACTTGTTGCACATGTACGAAAGAAACGAAGAACAACATTATGTGACAACTTATGTCCAAAGCGCGGTCAGAGATTTCGAAAACTGGACCTTCGAAAGTGATAACGGAGTTAATAGTGTAAGTAAAAAATGTTATAAAATTTTAAACTAATTTTATAAGGACATATTGTTTTACGGATAACTTGTTACAGGAAGCGGTGAAGCGTCTTCGAGAGACTTCTGTACCAGAAACCATAAACTTGAGCAATAGTGCTTATGACGAATGGGACAATTTGTAAATATGTACCTACTACACAATTAGCTAAACTATGTACAAACTACATTATTAATTAAAGTGTGTAATTAGTACAACATAAACTTTTGTAAATTAATTGCGAAGGCTTATATATATAATACTTTTCACAAAAATTTATTTTTTACACAATACCAACATATTAAAATATTATTATACATAATAATCAGATCCTTGAGTAACAAGTTCAAGACCAAAATCGGCCTCTCGTTTACCGTAGTATATGTAGCCATATCCGTAGCTTCTGTAGTAACATTGAGCCAAGCTTTGTTCAACCTTGAATCCAATGAAGAACAACTCCACCGGAACAAATTGGAAAAGTATCGAGTCGAAGGCTGGCCAAAACTACCTTACAGGTCTACCATAGCCTTCATTTTATAGCTTCTTTCCATCCTTTGTCTTACATTTACTTCTAAATAGAGTTTATCCTAGTTTGTATCTTAGATCTTACTATAGCTTGATTTTTTCTATACTCTACCACTCTATTTACCCACTTTACTTTGATTTTTATTGTAGTATTGTTATATACAGTCTTAGCGTTAGTCTTATAATTTTAATGTAAACTCAGTGTACGAAAGGCTTTTTTTTCAATATAACGGCTGTTTACTAAGCAATCCAAAATCATTTTAATAAGCGAAAAAAAGCAGATTTAAAAAAAATATTATAAAAATCGAACTTCGATATATGTAGCCGAGCTTAAAGTTTACTCCTTTGTATCAAGCATCATAGATGGCTTGTTTCACTTTGCGGCCAAATGAATTGTCCTCTTCTCTGCAATCATTGAAAATCGACCAGTCGTAGGTGTTGGTGTACTTGTAGTTTCGCTTATCAATATACTGATCGAATTCTGGATTAGGAACACTAAAAAATTTTTTAAAAGTCATTTTTTACACTTTTCGCTTCATTGCGGGACTTAAATTGGACCCTTGGGGTCTTTATTTCTACCCAGCTCTCGAGCACATATGCCGGCCTGGTCCGGCCACTTTCACTTACGATTCAAAAGCGGAGTAAGCGACATAATACAGTCCGGCCATTAGCTCGTGAAATTCTCTGAGATTGCCATTGAGGTTACATGGTAGTGGAAACTGTTTGTTTTGCATAGTTACTTTTCTGAAAATAAAAGTTGTGATTTAAAAAGTACAGTATGTATTCAATATATAAACACTTTTCTACGCCACCCCCCCCTCCTGTCTTACCGTTGCTTTCTTTTTAGCATACATTATATTATCAGGTTGTTTAAAAAAAATGGAGCTTTTTTTAAAGCAAATCTTCGGGGTTTGGAAGCTCAATAATATTTGAACAAACTAATACTTTTTTCTCAAGTCTAGATTTCTTCAACCCCACTTATTTTTTACCTTTGCGCTACTCTTGATTGACCTTTGTCGTCTCTTTGCTCTACTCTTGCTCTTCTCTTGCTCTATCCTTGCCTTCTTCTTGCTTTACCCTTGCTTCAGCCCTTCCTTATTCTTGTTTTACTCTTGCCTTACTTTTGTTATGCTCTTGCCTTATTATTACCATACTCTTGTCCTAACCTTGTCCTACTCTTGATTTACCCTTGACTTACCCTTGCCCTAATCTTTCCCTAATCGTATCTTACCCTGCTCTTTTTTTTCCTCTTATGTTACTCTACTTCCACTTTTCCGGCTAGCCAGGCAACAATAACAGCTGAGAATTGCTATAAATTACTGTCATATCTAAAAAAAGCCATAAAAATAAACTTACAAAAGCATAATTCCGTAAACTTCGACGAGTTTATCAACGTGTGTGTAATCAAGGTGAACCGTCCTTTTCATGAGGTTCGAAAGCATGTTTACCCAAGGATCGTCAATGTCTTTTTCAATTGTTGTCAGCATAATATTGATGGCTAAAGCAATGTCTTCGACGTCAATTTCTTGGCCGTTACGTAGAAAGGTGCCGAATGCTTGCGCGGAATAGGTGTTCAACAATTCAATGTACTTGGAAACCGCGACACGGTTGTTTGGGCGGCTGTAACAGTAATATTAAAGATATATGTATATATATATATAAAATATAAATATTTTACTCTTGTTATTAGAGCTCTACAAAGTAAAAAAAATCAACTTTTTGTCAATTCCTCAACACCCATCCCTTTCGTTTCTTCACTCCCAGTTCTACTATCAAGTTGTACAAAGATGGAGTCTCCAAAATTTTCAAAATTGTGCGTTTTGAATGGCTCATCCATATTCGAACAACCTGATATTACCTTATGCCATACACAACAAACTTACAATAAAGAAATGAATTCTGCAGAAGCATTCCGGAGATCCTCGTTGGCTATGTTCAACTCCTCTTGGGTCTCAAAGAGTTTTGTAGCATTTACAAAGACATCGTACTCAATGTTGTGAAGTTTTATCCCTGATACACAGCCAAGGACAATACTAAATAATAAAAGTTTCTTCATGTTGTAGGCAATTGTATCAATTCAAAGTCGGTATTATACAGTAACTTTACAATATGATAGTATAATACTCTACTTAGTATCGCAACTTAGTAGTGTACAGTAAATTGAAGATAGAAAGGCACAAAACTGTGCTTTATATAGCATAAAATAAAAATTGATTACATTGTCTTTGCAAGCGTGATTCAGAAGAACGGCGAATCTATTCGAGAAAAGATTATTTTTAAAAAAAATAATTAAAAAGTGTCATTGTTTCTTAGACTCATGTATATGAATCTTGGGTTTGAATCCTTTGTGTGACAGTACAATGATAGAAAAGCCAAAAATTTTTAGAAAAGATATGTTTAGAAAGAACAGTGGAAGCAAAGTATGTTCAATCTATATCTTTTAATCATGTAAGAACATTAAGCGTATTGTAACTTGCTAGCTAGGACCGTTTGGCAGTTTTTAAAGATACTTTTCTTGATAACTTTTTATGATCTTCCGGGCCATATATTAGGTAAAGTAAAGCAACGGTAAGGCAAGAAAAATGATAACGTAAAGGTAAGGCAAGAAAGCACAGCGACGACAAAGATAGGCCAATAATTAAACTAAGAAAAAATAGAAAAAAGATAAGATAGAGCTAGTTAATACAACACTTTTTTGATCAGAACACTCTTGCGCACCATTTTTCTTATCAGTAAAAAGCAATTCTTATCTTTCACATTAACTAATGTCAAAAATTTATCATTATTTACTAGTTGTCTTTTTCATTTGCCAAAAAAAATTTAAAAAATCTGTTTTTACTATGAAATTACTTTTTGTATTTATCACTTTTTTAACACTACTGATAAGCGCAGAAGGTTTTGGATTCTTTCAAAGCGTTGGAGCCAAAGGAAGGGTTTTATGCCAAGGAAAGCCGGTTGATAATGAAGTGAGTTTGTATTTACCCTACCCTACCCTACCCTAACCTACCCTACCCTACCCTACCCTACCCTACCCTACCCTACCCTACCCTACCCTACTCTTTTTATCGTAATCTATCCTAGCCTTATTTAATTACTCTACTCTACTCTTTACAGATAGTGTCACTAATAGAAAAAGACTGGTTTTACAATGACGAGCTTGAACAGACGACCACGAATGACAACGGCGAGTTCGAGTTATGGGGAATGGACAAAGAAGTATCTGAGATTGACGTATATCTTCAAATGTAAGTTATCTGAAATTACAACGGGTTATCTAATTTTTGTTGTCTTATAATACTCTCACTATCCCGCCACTTGACTTACCTATGCTTCATCATAGTCTTTCACTGTAGCCTTGCCCTACGCTTTTCCTACCTATAACACTGCTTTTGCTTTATAAGTTGGTTCTACTCATGCTTTACCTTAACATTACTTTTGCTTTAACTCTGTCGTAACATTTTCGGACTTTCAGAATATCAGAATGTCCATTTAAATCCAGATGCCGCAGAAAGTTCAAGTCGAAGATACCAAAAGAATACATAACATGGCATAGGAAGCCGCCTGGAGAGTTGTACAACGTGCCCGCCATTGAGTTATCTGATTGGCCGTTGGAAACTTTTTGCAATGTTAATGAGACTTTGTAGTACTGTAAAAATGAAGTGTTCTGTACTGTATTTTTAATATTGTTTTTGATATTTATATCCAAGAAATTGATGATGGTGATATTGCATTAAATTATTTGTTGTATAGCTATCATAGTGCGTTATAAAGCTTTTAAAGGCAAGGCAAAGCAAGGCAAGGCAAGGCAAGGCGAGGCAGGGCAAGGCAAGGCAAGACACAGGCAAGGTAGGGGCAATTGCTCTTTGCTCCATAGAGTTTTAAATATATACACAGTGTAGTGTTGAACACACGTAAAAGGTGTCCGTTATACAAAGTTTTCGATCATAGAAGAGTTTCAACAGTTTGTTCAACGAGGCGTACCTGGAAAGTTAAAATATGCTAATTTTTGTCCGTATTCTATACTTGCCTTGACAAAACTGTCTAACATTGAAGCATTTAACAGTTTGGTCAACGAAATGAGTGGTCGGTTCGCAACTGTGTTCATCGTTTTCATCGTCGCTCTGACGTTATTTGATGCTGGATTTTTTGTCAATGGATTTGATATCAGGCCTAGTAAGTACATGTATTAGATATTCCTTGTTAGCTAATGAAATATTTGTTTTAAACTAGGAATTATACCTTGTAAACCTAATGTTTTGTCATTTCAGGACTTCCGACTTGCCCTGAGTATACCGCAGATTGTAAGTTCAAAGATATTTTTGATACTATGTTAGGTGCCGACACAACGAACCCGCCATATTTTCCTTGTAACTTCATGTAAAAAATGGCGGGTTCTTTATGTTGGCCCATATTAGGTACAAAAAATGTAAAAATATTTACTTTTAGACTACTTCTTTGACCGCAGAAGTCCCAAAGAAGAAGATATACCAAAGCCATTCGTAGCACCGTGTCAGCAAGGTGAAGACTGTCAGATTGTAGCTTTGCAAAACTTCTCCATGTACATCGAGGGATACAATGACAGATGGTGCCACCATGACTACATGAACCTAAGATCATGTAAGTTTAAGTGCTCATGGTACTCATAACTTATGGTATTCGACTTTATTGTAATTTTACGGTCGTTTGTTATACTGGGTTGTTCAAATAATTCTGTGCTTTTTATCTTGGAAAATTTGCGTTGAAGGGGCACAAAATTATATGAACAATTTAATAAACAGATTACAACCACGAAATACAGCAATGGTCGATTGGGGAACAAATGAAAGGAGACAAGAAGCAAAGGTAAGCTGGTCACTGTCAACTCGTCCTTACTACTATAATCTGGTTCTTACTACTACCACCTTGTTTCATCTCGTTCTTAACACTACTAACCCCTCCTTACTTTAATAATAAATTTTGAGTTAAAACAAACATAAGCTGAGCTATGTTTTAGATTTGAACGCCCGTATTATCGCTACATAACACAGCACCCGGTTGTGATGGACGGCGAGTACAAGTACATGTTGCAAATCTTTACCGACCACCTCGAGTTTTATGGAATGTCGTAAGTGCTTGGGCTAGGTTAGGGTTATAATAGAGCTTGGGTTAGGTTATATTAAAATTTATTTAGGGCTACAATATGGCTGCGACATGGTTGTAACAGGGGTTCGGTTGGGCTATAATACGGCTAGGACAGGACTGTGACACAGCCAGGACAAGGCTACAATAGAGCTTGGGTAAGGCTAAGATAAGAGTTAAATAAAGCTAGGTTAAAGCTGTAATAGGGATGGCATATAAATCTATTAGGCTATAGTAGGGTAGGGTAGGGTAGGGTAGGGTAAGGTAGGGTAGGGTAGGGTAGGGTAGGGTAGGGTAGGGTAGGGTAGGGTAGGGTAGGGTAGGGTAGGCTAGGGTAGGGTAGGGTAGGGTAGGGTAGGGTAGGGTAGGGTAGGGTAGGGTAGGGTAGGGTAGGGTAGGGCAGGGTAGTTTACAAAAACTAAAATATTTTATTTTCAGCGAACCAGCTGTCAAGATAAGCAAAGGTTCAAGTTGGCGTCTTCACATTCGTTTAAAGAAGTTCTTGTCGGCCGATGACATTAAAAAAGCCATTGTTTATGAAGGCTATATCTTTATCGACAAGGAGCGGGTGTTCAGCATTCGAGCCTTGATGACGTCGAACATAGTCCAAACTACTGACGTCGATTCATCACGGTAGGTAGTACAAACAAATTTAAATTGATTGGTAGGGGGGGGGGAAGTGGGATTAATTTTTTTTAGTTTTTTTAGGGTGGATCAATAAATTTTTTATTCAGCTATATAATGTTAATATGTTTTACTACAGTAACAAGTTTTTTTTCAGGCCAGGCAAGCTGAAGGAGAGTTCGAAACCATTACCTACAACGAGGTTGCACACAATCATATCTCTGCGGATCTTCTCAAAGAGATTGAAGCCGTTTGTTTTGTAAGTACAACTCTGTAATATTGTAGTAGATGGGTAATAGTTAAGTATTGGTTGAGTACCAGTGAGCACCTTATGCTAACAACGTTGTAACAAAACATGAATTTACAAAAACTTTGTTTACAAATGCGTTTTTAGAGAGAAAACAACAAATCATGTGCCATTGACATTTCTACACGTCAACTGCAGCCAGTTGACTATGACGGAGTCGCTTTTACTATCAATGGCTTGATCGTACAACAACGTTGGGCCGCGTAAGTTTTGGAAGAGTTGTTATACCCTACCCTATCCTACTCTACTCTGCTATATCTTACCTAACTCAAGATTTAGCTTAGCTCACCCTAGCTTAGCCATTGAACACAGCTGAGACCAGACCAGCCAAGCCTAACTCAGCTCAGACCAGCCTAGCTTTTCCTACCCTACTCTACCTCATTCCTACTTATCTCTTACATACCCTTGCTTATGCTAGTCTACTGTAACTTACTATATCTCACTCTGTTCTACAATAACTTGAGCTACACTGCTTTACTTCATCTTCATATATTCTACTCTACTTCACCTTTTTTTCTAGAAGCTAACAATAGATGTTGTTTTAGGCACTTTTGCGATTGGATACCAATATTCTTTATTCGTCATGTTCACTTCCCTAAAAAGTAAGACTTTTTAATTTTTTAAAATTTTTTGAATAATATCACATATGAATAGTATTACGGTATGAATAGTGTTACAGTATGAATAGTATTAAAAGTACGAATAGGTATTACAATGCTTAACTTGTTCACTTTCAGCCTGGCTTATCATTTTGGTGACATTCCCTCGTTGCAAACTCATAGCAATGTGTTTCGATGGAAACAGTAAGTGGTACCTATTATACTTTGTTCGACCCTCTATCTTTCTCTCCTTTCCCACTCTCTTTCCCACCGCCCTCTTTTGGGGCGAGAAAGGGTCCGGCCTTAAGCTAAATTTATGTCGGGCCGTGCCTGAAAATTAAGGCCAGGCCCGGCTCGAAAAGCCCGGCTTTTTGCACATAAAAAAATTAGCCCGGGCCAATCCGATGTATAGATGAAAACGGATCGGCGCACAACCTTAAGCCTCAGTGCCGGGTTGGGCCTCAAAAGTGGGCAGAGGGCTCCTCTCTGAATCCCCAAGTGATTCGTTATATAAAGGTTTCACTGTATATTACCTATAACTATAAACCTTGGCTTTTAGCAACGCGGATGCGGAACAATATTACGTCTACTATCGTAACATGATCATGCCCGTACCCAAGCCAAACGACCTGATCTTCGATTTTATCAAAACCAAGACCACGCCAGCTCCGCCGTCTGCTAAATCGACCATACCACCCTCTACCGTTACTCCAAAGCCCGTAGTACCTATAACCAGGGATTCGGCCAAAGCCAACGAAGTCGACGAGCGTGATTATACGGACGAACCCACGGTGGAGACGACTGTGGATGAGGACTATCTTATAACCGATGAACTGATATATGAAGACGCTTCCTATGCTTTGATGGTACCTTTTGTCTGCATTGGGATTGGAATGATGGTACTCTTGGGCTGAAACGAGTTGGAGTGGAGGCTGATGGACAGTCGTGTTCATATCTATATAGGAAAAGGATTCAATATTGTTTTAGATGAAAATAAATAGGGTTTTTTAGATTGATGGTGTTGTTTTAAGACTGGTATAAAGTAGTTGATAGAAATGTTTTTATGCAAATTTTTAACTTACTTTTTTGGTTAAAACCCTTATTATTTCAAATTCATTTATCAATCTAATTTTTAAATATGCAAATTTCAAAATTATTTTTTTTGTCTAATTTCTTCAACATTGGGTCATTTACCAGTTTAGTCAACGCAATGTGTAGTCGCTTCAAACTAGTGTTCGTCGTTTTCATCGTCGCTCTGACATTTGATGCTGGATTTGTTGTCAATGCTGGTAAGAAGACTTAAAAAGATCATCAGGTCTGATCCCCAGCCCCATAACCAGCCCCAGCTCTAATTTTATCTCCATCTTTAGCCCGGTTCGAGACTGGGCCGGGCCGAAGCAACTCTTAAACGCAGCCCAAGCTTCAGCCCTTGATTCATTCTTAGCACCAGCTAGTCCGTGCCAGCCCCAATCAGCCCAACCCCCTACCCCAGCCTCAGTTCTCTGACAGAATCCTAGCACCAGTTAGCCCCAGCACTAGCTTCAGCTTCACTTCACACCAGAGCTGCTTGGGGCCGAGCCAAGCCGAAACAATTTTTAAGCAGACCGGGCCGAGCTGTACGGTTCGAAAATAGACTTTGTTATTATTTTATGATGATGAATGGTGTCAAAATGCTAAAGCTGACGGTTGTAAATTGATGCTTAATGTTACCTTATTTTCAGTACCGAAAAACTGTGAACATTACAATGCACCATGTAAGTTTGATCTCTTCGTGTTTGATTTTTTATGAAAATTACATGATTTCAAAAAATTTCAAAGAATTTTGATATGACTAACTTGTTCAATATTCATATATCAATGTTGCTACCTGTCTTAGTGCTTAAAAACGTTTTTTAGATGGTTTTTTCAAACGCAAAAGTCCCACAAGCGAAGATGTGCCACAACATTTTAAAGCACCATGCCTGGAAGGAGAAGATTGTCAGATTGTGACGGTGCAAAACTTCTCCATTTTCATGGAAGGATACAATGACAGATGGGGCCACCATGATTTTATGAACATCAGATCGTGTAACTTTTTTTCCCCTACGGCTATTTTATACTTTGTTCAAATAATTCAGTGCCCTCTATCTTTAAAAATTTGAGAAGGAGCACAGAATTATGTGAAAAACCTAAACAATAAAAATCGATTGTTTTTTCTTCAGATTACCACCGTGAAGACGGTAAATGGTCGACTGGCGACTACATGAAGGGAGACAAAAAAGACAAGTAAAATATTAACATTTTTTTGTCAAATTTGCCATTTTGAATGAACAATGGCATTTTAAAAATAATTTTAATTTAAAAATATTTTTTATGTTTGTATTAAATAGTTTTAAAAATTTAATTTTTTGTTATAATTGCTGTTCCAGATGGCAATGGCCTCCATATCGTACCTTATCACAGCATCCGGTCGTGATGGACGGCGAATACAAGTACATGTGCCAAATTTGGACCGACCATCTTGAGTTTTATGGAATGTCGTAAGTGTTTGAATTAGGGCAGGTCTATAATAGAGCTAGGATAAACTATAATTAGACTAGGATAGTGCCATAGTAGGACTAAGGTGAAGCTGTAAATTGGTTTAGGTTAGAGTTTTACTCGAACTAGAACAAGGCTATAAAAAAGCTAGATTAGGTCTATAATAGGGCTATGACAGAGCTGTTACAAGGTTGTGATAGTGCTAGGACAAATCTTTAAGAGGACTAGAATAGAGATAGCACAGGGGCTATCATAGAGCTAAGACAAGGTTAAAACAGGTATGTAATTAAGCTAGAGTGAAGCTAGAACAAGGCTTTAACAGGGCTAAATTAGGACTAGTCTAAGGCTATAATAAGGCTAGGGCAGGGCTTAAAAAGGCTAAGGAAAGAATAGGATAGGGCTAAGACAGGGTTATGATATGGCTATTACCTATATTAAGACTACGACAGGGCCAAGACAGGGCTGTAATTGAGCTAGAACAGGGTTATAATACGGGTGTGGTTAGGCTATATAAAGGCTAAGTTAGAGTTATGATAAGGCAAAGAACAGGCTGTAATAAAGCGTAGACAGGACTATAGTATGGTTAGGGTATAGTAGTTTGTCCTTTTTACAATTTTTTTAAAGCTTTTTTATGATTTTTTTATAAATATAGTATACTGTATCTTTTTAGAACAGAAGTAGTCAAAATATCCAGAGGAAAAAGTTGGCGCCTTCACATTCGCTTAGAAGAAACATTGTCACCGGAGGATGTTAAGCAAGCCGTCATCTTCGAAGGCTACATCTTTATCGACAAAGAGCGGGTGTTCGACATTCGTGGTTTGATGGATTCGGAAATAGTAAAAACTACCGATGTTACATCGGATCGGTGGGTGTTTTTAATATAAAAAAAGGGAGGGGTAGTACAGAGTAAGGTAGGTCAAGGCAGAAAGAGAAGGTCAGGGCAAGGCTAATCAGAACAGTCAAGGAAGGGAAAAGCACGGTACGGCACAGTTGGGCGGGGCAAGAGACACTAGGGCTTGGCGGGGCCGGGCAGGGCAGGACAAAGAAAGGGCTGGCAGGGCATGGAAAAAAGAAAGCACAGGGCTGGGCTGGGAACAGCAAGACAAAGCATGTAAAACAAGGCGGGTCAGAGCAAAAAAAGGCAGGAAAAGAAGCTAGGCTATGGCGGGGATAGGTAAAGCAGGAAAAAAGGACAAAGCAAGGCAAGCCAAGCCAAGCCAAGGCAAGGCAGGGCAGCGAAAGGGTGAAAGCCGTAAACAAAGGAGAGAGGTCCCGTTTATACAGAACGTAATATACGCTGGGTTTAGTTTAAAATCTATTAAATTAGACAATTTCAGACCTGGCAAAGCTAGTGGAACGTTTAAAGCGAGTACGTACAACGTTGTTCAAGCCAATCACATAACACAGGACTTTGCTAACTAAATTAAAGAGGCTTGCTTTGTAAGGAGTTTCATGTTTCATTCTGAAACGTTACTGTATAGATTTGTTAAGTATAAAATGACAAAAACTCTCTTTACAGTTTAGCTTTTATAGAGAGGAGCAGATAAATCATGTGCCATTGACATTACTACACGCCAACTCACGAGCCTCGACTACGGTGGCGTTGTTTTTACAATCAATGGTTTGATAGTACAGCAGCGTTGGTTTTTGTAAGTTTGAAAGGGGTTTGAGCTGAATAAATGAAATGAAATGAAATACCCTGATGTTCCGTACCGTACTCTACTCTACTTTACCTGCCTTACTCTACCCTGCCCTACCCTACCCCACCCTAGTCTACCATGTCCTACCGTACAACTCGTACCTAGACCCTATTTTTCAATTTTAAAATTTGATTTTTAGGAGTTTTTGCGATTGGGTACCAGTATACTTCATTCGTCACGTCCACTTTCCTCCAAAGTAAGTTGTTTCCGAAACTGTTATTACCTTTTGTTTGACCAAGATATCTTTAGCTTAACTATAACATTGTTAATTATCTTTAGTTTGGTCTATCATTTTGGCGACATTCCAATGCTGCAGACCCATGGTAAAACTTTCACATGGAAATTGTGAGTTGTACTTTTTGAAATGGGCATGGGTGACAACTTTAATATTTTTTTTGTTTAGCTTCTCTTAAAAGATTTCCTTGCTTACCAACTTTGACTTTCAGCAATCGGTTTACGTTTCAAACATACACGTACCACCGCAACACCTTCATGCCAGTCGTTAAGCCAGACGATCAGATTTTTGAATTTGCCAAAACCAAAACCACGCCAGCTCCACTATCTGCTACATCGACCAAACCACTGTCCACCTTTACTCCGAAACCCCTGTTACCCATAACCAGGGATCCAGCCAAAGCTGACGAAGTTGACGATCGTGATTACACGGACGAACCCACGGTGGAGACGACTATGGATGAGGACTATCTTATAACCGATGAACTGGTATATGAAGACGCTTCCTATGCTTTGATGGTACCTTTTGTCTGCATTGGGATTGGAATGATAGTACTCTTGGGCTGAGAGGAGTTGGAGTGGTGGCTGATGGGCAGTCGTGTTTATAGTGGAATTGGAAATGAGTTAAATATTGTTTTAGATTAAAATAAATAAATTTTTAATTTTTTTGGATTGATGTTTTTCTTATGAGTAAGTTTTTTTCATTTTGAGAATGGTACGACAAAAAAATATCTTAATTTCCCTATCTTACCCTACCCTACTACCCTACTTTACCCTACCCTACTCTTGCTTGCCCTGCCTTACCTAAATTATTTCTGATTAATTTTTAAAAAATAAACGAAAATCCAACGCATCTTGTACGACAATTGGATTAACGGAACACAGATACCACTCAAAACTTTCCCTGCGATTATGTTTTCAAGGTCTTATCTCAAGACTCTTGAGAGAAAAAAGTGAAAACACTTACAAATCGTATCGGATTCTTAATTTGAATAACTTTTCTTATTTTACCTTGTATTTAGAATAATGTTTCTTCTAGCGAGCCTTTAACTTCATATATTAGGTTGTTCAAATAATTCTGCGCCTCTTCTCAAGGCAAATTTTTTAGGTTATGGGTCGCAGAATTATTTGAACAACTTAATAGTTAACTTTTATTAATGTTTAATTTTATATAGTAACTCATATTAACGTTTAACTTCATATACTTAACTTATATTACACTTTATATTATAAAAAAGCACTTCTCTTCTTGGGTCCCACCACGAAAAAACTCTTCTTGGCGTCCCGTATAATAAAAAAATAAAATTATTTTGTGGCCGATTTTTCGCATTTGCATTTGCCCTTTAATTCCCTAGGGAGAATAAGAGCTGATTTTCGACCGAATCTCTTATTTTTTTGTTAACTTTGAGGCCAAAAACATGGTTTATATGTTAACTTTGAGGTTAAAAACATAGTTTATATGTTGTTTATCTATGATTATACACTTTATTTTCGCTGTAATATCTTGTTTTACAATTATAACTTATATTATTTAGCTATGAAAGCTTATTTTTAATTTTTTTTAAATTAAAAATAAGGTTTGAGACCTATTTGTCAACAGATAACACGAGTTATGATAGCCTTTTTAAATATTTTATAAAATTTTAAATTATTTTTAGGTCTTGGCCAACCAGCCAATATGAGTACGGGTGTACTCGGCTACATACGAGGTGTGGATTTCAGCCATAATGATTTCTCGGTAAGTTTTTTTAAAATTTTTTTTGAAATTTAGGTATAAAATGAGGTTTAGATCAACAAACTTAGATTTTTTGTATTTAAAAGCTGGGACAGAACAAATGGCCAAATATTCTTAAAACAATTTAAAATACTATTGAATTATACCTTTTATAACGAGAAATAAGTTATTGCGGTTTTAAAACTGTTTTTGCACTGTTCGTTCTGCTTCTTAATGAAAACTATTGCACGATGAATTGTAGAGATCTAAATGCTGTTTTTTTTGGATGGGATGGATCTATTTTTATATATCTTGACTGTATTTCACTGTTTATACCTATAAATATTTTCAAACTTTTAAGAACTATTATTTTGGGTTCAAAAACCTACACGATGCGACGTTTTTCTAAGAAACTTGTTGTATCGTGCACTTTGTCGTTTTTTGTAAAATACAGAGTAAAATAATTATAAAATATAATATATTTTAAGCTATAATGAATAAAAAAACTCAAAATCACGACAATGTTTCTTCAGGGTGACCGCTTCCCTCAAGAAGTCTCTCAAATGGCACATGCGACATGGCTCAAATTGAATGATACGAAACTAGAACGAGTACCGGACGAACTGTCTGATTTGAGTAAACTAGAGCATTTGCAGATGACGAGGAATAGTCTACAGAATATTCATGGTGAATTGTCGGATTTGCCTAAACTTAGATCAGTTATATTTCGACGAAATCAGGTAAAACAACACTTTTGGCTAATAAATCGAGCTTATTTGCTATTTTTCAATGTTTAGATAATAGCATATGCTATTTTGAGTAATACTGGCTAAGAAACATCAATTTGAGCTTATTAAATACTATAATATATGTCAGGTAGTCTCTAAAATGACGTTACTTACGATATTTTAGATAAAAACCTCTGGGATCCCAACAGATATCTTTCGTATGAAGGACCTGACTGTCATCGACTTTAGTCATAACTCGTTACGAGATGTGCCAAGCAATGTTGAGTACGCCAAATGTGCAATTGTTTTGAATTTGAGTCATAATAACTTGGAGAGTATTCCTAATATGGTCAGTTTAAATTTTTTTTAATTTTTGAAATTTAGGCAAAAGTATTGGTTGATCGGAAAAGAATGGCGTTTTTCGGAGCTATTTTTAATTTAAATGTCATTCTTTGTGCTTCAAGCTAAGAAAGTTTGATTTCTAAATGCGCCATTGTTTTTGCATCAAAGGAATTTCAGGGGTTGGGCATGAAAACACGCCATTATTTATGAAACAGCAATAAATATGGGCTAATAATGACATTTTTAGGTATTCAATAACCTTATAGACTTGATATTTTTGGATTTATCACATAATAAGATTGATAATTTGCCAGCTCAACTGAAACGACTTGTAAATTTACAAATTTTAAAACTTTCATTCAATCCCCTCAAGAGTTTTCAACTTCCCACCATGACGTAAGTTAAAAATTTATAAAAACATTGGTTGGCAGTTTAAAAACTAGAAAAATAAGACCTTTTAGGTTCAAAATATAGAAAAAATGGCAGAAAAACGAAAAATTGGTTTAAAACTGAGTTTAAGCTTTTTTGCCTAAACAATCATTATTTCACCACTCTTTTTTGATTTTATAACGCGAATTCAGCATGCAAAACCTACGAGTACTACATCTTCGGAACACCAATAGATCTCCAGCTAATTTTCCATTGTCTTTCTCTGGAATGGAGAACATTCAAGAGCTGGATTTGGCCGAAAATGCACTGGAAAAGCTGCCTGATAGCGTGTTTGAGCTCAAAAAACTTCGCAAATTGGACGTTAGGCATAATAAGGTCAGTGTTGACCTTTCATGTTTTAAACCATTGTTTTTGTTAACTAAATTTTAAAATTTGAATCATTTTATATTACTTTAGTTGACAGAAATTGACATACCAGATGATGCATTGGAAGAGCTGGAAACAGTCAATTTTAGTGATAACGAACTGACAGCATTACCGGAAGGCATTGTTAAATGCACGAGAATGAGAAGAATCTATGCAAATTTTAATAAAATAACTTTTGAAGGTAAAGTACAAGTTTATTTGTCATATTTTGTATTTTTTTACCAAGATTTGAAAGTTCAAAATTTTTAAAACTTTTTACTATATAAACGACAAAGCAATATTACAGGTATGCCCAGAGGAATTGGAAAGCTATTACAACTCCAAATTTTGTACTTGTCTCACAATCATCTTCAACTGATACCTGAAGGCGTGTCAAGATGTGTAAAGTTACAGAGAATTAAGCTAGACAGTAATGGCCTTCGACAAATCCCTGACGGACTTTATTTGTTACCTGATCTGAAAGAATTGGACTTGACAAAGTTAGTTTTATTAATAATTTGTTTCCAAATACGTTGTTTTCAAAGATATGGCAAAATATGCGCGGTGCAAGCTATTCAAGCCGGGTAAAACAGGGATTGCACTGTGCAGAACTCTTCTGGCCTGAAAATTTGTAATTACATTAGTTATTTGAACAACAATAATGTTGTAGACACTATTGTACTCCTAGATTAATATACTTTCATTTTCATAATTTTCCCGACTTTGCACTGCACTGTGAAATTTCAATTTATTTCAAAATCTGCACCGTGCAGTCTGTTAAAAAATGAAAACATTATAAAAACACAAAAAGAAGCCTAATTTGTGATAATAATAATAATATATATTCAACGACCACACTTTATGAATTTTACGACCCGAACGCCCATTAAATTGGGGTAAATTTGAAATCCAATTTATATTCACCATGACGGGAGAAGACTTCTTTGTAAAACACGAAAGGACGTTTACTTATGGGAATGTTTAAATTTATATTGTCAAAAAGAGGCAGTAGAATTAGTTATATTGTTTGAATTGTCAAATTTTACGTTTTAGTTGCGTCATGATGACAGGTTTTTTGGAAATTCTAGAAAACATGTCCGCCTAACTTTTCTCGAAATTTTTTTTCTGGTGTTGTTGCTTGAAATTATAGTAAAAGATGTTATTTCTGTGTAATGTAACACATGTAGAGTTGGCAAAAAAGAGGTAACATTTTATATTTTTAGTTTTTAAGTCGATTTTAACAAAATTTTACGGAAAATCAGCCAAACTTGGAAGAAAACTCCCACTTTTTCTCGGTTTTGGAATAATTTTTGCTAATATTTTTGTTTCAGCAACCCTGGAATTGTAATGCCACCGAAACCGAACGACAGAGCTAAAGCGTTGGCCTTCTACAACATTGACTTTTCACTTTCACATCGAGTAAGTTTCGAGTTTTGGTTTATTTTTGTTGTTTTAGATGGAAATGAGGGGTGCAGAGGTAAAATTGAATTGCAACTTTAAAAAATAACTTTTTTAATAGATCTTGTTGATTTTTAGAGCTTTTTAGGTTTAAAAATGGCAGTATTGAGATGGTTTTATTAGTTTTTTAAAGTTTTTTGATTTTTGTTACCTAAAATTTGAAATTTGTTTTTTTGAGTAAATTTTGAAGATTTTGATAACTTTTTGATGGAAAATTAAAATTAGAGGAATGTTTTGGCTTAAAAGTATATGGCAGCTTCAAGATGGTGTTTTAAATTTTGAAAAATGTGAAAATTATTTTAGTTATTATTTTTATATAAAAATCAACATTTTAAGAAACTTTGCGTAAAATACGAACTGAATTATTGATGTTCATTTAAGGATTAATAAATTACTTATTATAGATGCCTAACCAGACCACCAACTCCTCGAACTCGTCAGTAGATCAAGGTAGACGTGATGCCATCCAACGAAAGAAAGACTTTATCAAGCGACGTCGACACCAAGCAGATGAAGATGGCGCCTCTAAAGTCATAGCAGCAATGTCAAAGATGGCCGAACACAAGGAGGAAGATCAGCCTTCCGATTCGGGTGATAATCAACTTAAAGCGCCACCTAGTTGGCGCGAACGAATGGCCAATCATCAACGAAAACTTGACGTTTCACATCTGTTCGAGAACGATGTGGGACAGTACGCTGGGATGTGGATCTGGGACATTGAGAACTTTTACCCCTCTCCAATCGACCCTCACTGCTATGGCCAGTTCTTCGAAAGCGACTCGTATATTGTGTTAAAAACGAACGAAGACGAGAACGGCCATCTTACCCATCAGATCTACTACTGGATTGGCGACAAGGCTAGCCTGGACAAAGGAATGTGCGCTGCTGTTCATGCTGTCAACTTGAGGAATCATTTGGGCAGTGATTCGAGTACGCATAGAGAAGATATGAACGATGAAAGCGATGAGTTTATGGACCTGTTCAATGATGAAGTTACCTATGTGACTGGTGGCAGGACACAGAGCGGGTTCTATACGGTTGTTAAGCCGAAGTTCGTTACGAGGTAGGAAGTTAGCATAAGAAAATGAGTGGATATTAGCAATAAAATACTGAGTTAGCATTTTTTATTTTGCACGGTGCAGTCATAGGTACCTGTACGCAAAAAATCCTGTGCACCAAAATGGGTTTCTATCCACCTCCCCCCCCAGAAAAAATCCGTAGCGACGCTCCTGAAAACATGTGTTCTGTGTTTTAACTAATTTTTGCCATTTTAGGCTTTATCGAGGCTCAGTAGAAGGCCAGAAGGTAAATATGGAGCCAGTGCCAACAGCATACGACTCTCTGGATCCTAGATTTGTATTCCTGTTGCATACAGAGCAGACTATTTGGATTTGGCGGGGTATTAAAGCAAGTGTAAGTTAATTTAATTTTTAAGTTAAAAACAGTTTTGAAATTTATAGAATAAAAAATTTTTAGTAAGTCTAAAATCACGTTTTTAACCAAAAAATTGTTGTAGAACACAACAGCGAGCAAGATTCGACTATTCGCGAGTAAATTGAACAAAAGAGATCGAAAAGATAGGGCGCAGATCGAGGAATGTATCCAAGCCAAGACTCCGCCCGAATTCTGGATGGATTTGATAGGACAACCGAAACGACCGCGAGAACCTATCATCGAACATGTTCCGAACGACTTCAAGCCACCAACGGCGATTTTATACATGGTGAAGATGGGCATGGGATCGATGGAGCTACCTCAAGTCGAGTTGAATGGAAACAAGTTGAACAAGGATGTTCTGAAGACTGATAAGGTAGGGTTTTGATTTTTTAAATTTGTCATTTTAGTTAAAAGTGGAAAATAAGGTAAGAACTTTGTTTACAAAGCTCAAAGTTGCAATGCTTTCTTTACAAGACAATAAATGGCAAGAATTTTGTTTACACAACATATAATGGCACAAACTTTGTTTACAAAACCTAAAGTTGCAATAATTTTCTTTACAGGACAAAAAAGGAATTTTGTTAACAAAACATAAAATTGCAAGAACTTTCTTTACACAGCAAATAATGGCAATAAAACATGTAAAAAGTTGAATTTAGATAATAAAAACGATTTGTAGGTATTCATTTTGGACTGCACATCCGACCTCTTTCTATGGATGGGCAAAAAAGCGAATCGTCTACTAAAGTTGGCAGGCCAAAAGATTGCCACTGAGCTGGAAACCATGATCCAACGCCCCGAGTATACCGTGTTATGCCGAGAAAACGAAGGCGAAGAGTCGACATGGTTCAGACAAAAGTTTGGCGGATGGGACGATGTCATCCGAGTGGATTACACCATGACAGCAGACACAGTACAACGCCGTGGAGCTGATATTAAAGTAATCATGGAGAAGGACAAGATGAAAGTGGAGACAGAAGCCTTGTTCACGGACAGGCTACCCGGAATGTCACATGAAGAAAGTGAAATCTTGATGGAGGAGTGTAATGCCGACTTGGAAGTCATTGAAAGCTTTGTTTTGGTAAGGAATTTTAAAATTTTGAAAAATTTACTTTTTGATTAAATGTATCTAAAAGGTGCAGTTGTTAATATTGAAATTATAAAAACTAGCAAGAATTATATAAAAACTAATTTCAGGAAGGCAAAAAGTTTGTTCGACTACCCAAAAACGAGTTTGGCACGTTCTGCACGAAAGACTGCTACGTCTTCCTATGTCGCTACTACGTAACCAACGACGACAGCGACTACTCGGACGAGGAATCGGGCTCAGCAACCGAAAGTGGCAGCAACATCGAGCAGAAGAAGAACGACGACCAACCAGACGACTTCAAGTGTGTCGTCTACTTTTGGCAAGGTCGCGACGCCGGCAACATGGGATGGCTCCACTTCACCTTCACGCTCCAGAAAAAGTTTGAAAGTTTGTTCAAAGACAAGCTGGAGGTGGTGCGGATGTATCAACAACAAGAAAACCACAAGTTTTTGTCCCATTTCAATCAAAAATTGACAATAAAACGAGGCTCTAGAGCCGAGAAGATTAAAAATCCAAAGCCAAAAGCGCCAGAACTGTACCAGATGAGAGCCAACGGAAGCTCGGTCAATACCAGAACGATTCAAATCGAAACCTCGGCGAAGAACTTGAATTCAGCGTTCGGTTACATATTGTTGGTACCTAATGATAAGGAGGTGGTGAAGAAGGAGAAGGTCGAGCAAAAAGAAGAAATTGGTAAGTTGTTTTAGTTTTTATAGAGGATTTGGCGAGTGTATAAATTTTTAAATGGTTGTTCAGTGATTGTGATAAAAGCTAGTGATGTGTAATTTTTTTAATTTTTGCACGGTGCAATTGATTAAAAATAAAAAATAAATTTTTAGAAGATGTAGAAGACGAAGAAGAGTACGAAGAGGAAGATGAAGAACCGGGTGTAAAATACGGCGATATTTATATTTGGTTTGGAGAAAAGTCGGACAGTTACTATCACAATACCTTGCGGTCAATAGCAAATGACATTCTGAATGCGGAAAAAGAGTACGACGTGTATGAGATTCAAGAAGACGAAGAACCGGTCGAGTTCTGGAAGGCTCTGGGAGGGAAGAAGAAGTACTCGAGGGATGCCGACTTTATGAACTACACCAGACTGTTCAGATGCACAAATGAGAAGGGACACTTTTGTGTTAGCGAAAAAACGGTCGATTTTTGTCAGGTAGGCGGTTTTTATTAGGCTGTTTTATAGATTTTTTGTTATTTTAAAATTTTGAAAATTTCAAAAATTTTGAAAATTTTAATTTTTTAAAATAAAACTTTAAAATTTTTGATTTTTAAACATTTTTACGAATTTTAGTCTTTTTAATGACAGTTTCATTTGCTAACAATCTTTTAAATTAAACTCTTATTTTCAGGATGATCTCGACAACGACGATGTAATGATAGTCGACAGCGGCAAGTACGTCTTAATGTGGTGCGGAACAACGGCCAGCGAAGTTGAGTGCAAACTGGCCTATCAGGCCGCGAACGCCTATGTGAACAACTTGAAAATGAAGGGACAAGAGCGACAACTAATGTTATCAGTGAAAGGAATGGAATCCAAAAGATTCCGCGAACTCTTCCACGGCTGGAACCACCACAAAGACTTTGCCGCCAGCGTTTTCGATGCCAAGTATCGATGAAGAGGCAGTGTGGATTGTAATGTTTGTTTGGGTTACTACAACATTTTTGGCTATCAAAACAGTCTTTTTCAGCATATCTAGATGGTAAAAGAAGCATGGGGTTTTAAGTATTGTATATCTATATATCTAGGTAGTATAAAAAGTTTTGTCATGATTACGTTATTTTATGTTTTTACTTAGTTTATTTGTTGTCTTTTTATGTTTTTTGCATTTTTGTGGTACAGCACTATTCATTTTTGAATCCACTGTACTTATAGAGCATAATATACTGTATTTATATGTTATCTTTTGTTAATTATTAATATCATGGTGTCAAAAAAAGTTTTGTCGTTTTTCAACGTAAAAGTCTATTTATTATATTGAAGACAAGGCTTTTCACATCTTGATATTTTCCTATTCTACTATTGTACTCTTCTTATTGGTCGAAAGTTGCCTTCATACTTAAACTTGTGCCTTTTTTGAAAAATGAAAACACAAAACTCTGTTCATCTGGTCGTGTCTAAAACAATGTCTTGTCGATATATGGACTTTAAATCGTATTTGGTACCAAAGAATTAATTATATTGTTATTTGTAAATCCTTTTTAACTTTGAATAAATTTTTTTGAAATTTTATTTTGCCGCAATTTTGGGTTTGTTATTATTGGGCGCAAGTCGCCAAAAGACTTTACAGGCTGCGCAATTTTTTTACGATAAAACGGGTTGTAAAGTAGTTCACAGTATAAAAGATAAGTTAAAGGATTGTTGATCTATATATACATACATAAAATTTTAAAAACTATAATAAATATTTATGTCTTACTCTACCTTACCTTTGTTTGCTTTACCCATACCCTACATTCTTCTAGGGTTGAGAAACTGGCCGGTCATGAGAAAAATTTAGGTTGAGCTGGGCCTGAAAATCAAGGTTCGCTTTGAAGAACCTGCCTGTTTGCTCATAAAAAAATTGAGGTAAAAATGGAAACGGGCCAGGCCTAAACATTGGGTCTGGCTCTCGCGCCGGGATTGAAAAATGGGCTTGGCCTGTTTCTCATCCTTATTTCTCTCTACCGTGTCTGACCCTTCTTTAACTTAGCCCTACTCTACCCTACCCTGCCGTACCTTATTCTATTGTGTACCTACCTTACCACTACCTTACCCTACCTTATAATAACTTTTCCTGCCTTACTCTATCCACTCCTAAACTATTCTGCTCCATTCTAATCTGCACTTCTTTAACTTGCCATTTGCTACCGTAACTTACTAAATCCTACTGTTGTCTTATGCTTCCCTAGCCGCTCCTCCTTTCTCATTTAAATTTTGCCCGGCTTTTTGACGCGACCTGCCACGCAACCTGCACTTTCCTTCGCTTTTTTGCATACGAAAGCTAAAAGTGGCGCTCATATTGTAAATCAAAATTTCTTTCTTGCATTTTGTATCATTTGGCTTAGTTTCTGACTTTAGGATATTATAGTACTAAAAGTTTCCGACTTTAGTATATTATAGTATTAAAAATATGAAACCAAAGTTAAATTCCAAGTTTTTCAATGTTTTGGCGTACTTCAGCAACGGATTTCAGAAAACTTCTTCGTTAAAATATGTTGTAAGTTGACTGTTTTCATTTTACCTTGACAAGAACTTCAATTATTCATAACCAGTGTTTTGCCAAACCAGTTCGGTCACTTAAAAATTTTAAGATTGGCCGGACCAAATACAAAAGTTATAAGTTTGGACTGGGCCGGTTCCAAAAATTGCTAGACCGGACCGTTAAAAAACATTCTGCAGCGGTCCGAGCAAAACACTGTTTATAAAGTTATTCTTTTTGATATAATACAGTGGAACCTCTGTATAAGGAACCTCTATATAACAAACCTCTGTATAACGAACGACTTTTGTACCTCTGGCTATTATTACACGGTCCATTTTAAACCTCTCTATAACAAAACCTCTTCATAACGAACGAATTTTAATTCCACAAGCGATTCGTTATACAGAGGTTTGTTTCACTGTGTGACACTAACCTTTTTAGTTTGTATGCAAACGTGGAGCTTTGTATACTTTGCAACATTGCCACAAGGTTACTTTCCGTTGTGCAAACCAAGTTTTCAAAATTGATATGGGTAACCGTTGCTACTTCGGAGAAAGATGGCCAACACTCCGCGTTGAATACCTATTACAATTTATGTTTAGCGTGTGTAAGGAAGTGAAGTTAAAAGTGAATTTGGGACCAGGATATATAATTGAAGCTGTAAAACCTCTTCTTATTGCTTTAATAAGTAAGTCTAGTTTAGTCTAAAAAATCTAACTTTTAATTGTTTAACAAGGAAAGTGGTTACCACTTTCCTACTTTAACTTCATGTTTGACCTGTCCTCGCTAAAGTGCTCGACCTGTTTTGATTGAATTCAAACTTTTTATGCAGGAAGATCATTTAAATATAAGGTCTTCATCACTGTACTAAAGCGCGCTTTCCAGTTAACCTCGAAAAAATTAAGAACAAAAAATTACGTTTTGAATTTCCCGCTAAATTGGCATTGTGTTTCAAGCTTATTACTTTGCCATTTTTTGAATTTTAGGGATTTTTCTTTGGTGTTCTAGTAGAACACCTTTAAAATGAACCTATATTTTTTAATTTCTAAATATAGCTTGGCTGGAAAGTCGAAAAAGTACTTGAAACACAATGCCAAATTTGCTAAACTGGTGGGAAACCCAAATGTTTCAAAATTAAAACTTAAAAGCAGGTGCTAAAATGTTTTATCGGTACTATTAGAGGTACTAAGAATTCATATAAAAATTTTGAGTTGATTGTGAGAAAAATAGTTTACTGAAGTCTTTTAGGGAATAATGTACCAGTCACATTTGGTTTCCACTGTAATGAGGTGAAGGACATTTTAACAAATATAATTTCCAAGTTTCCTGAGTATACAAGGTACGGTATTATGTGTGAAATGTGGACAATAAACTCGTTTATAAAACAGACAGATCAAAAACGACTGGCCAAGTTCCCGCTACAAGAAGTTCGTGTTAATTTGAGGCATAAAAACGAGAAATGTGGATGTAAGTTAAAATTTGTAAATCTACCCTACCCTAACCTACTTTACCCTACCCTACCCTACCCTAACCTATTTTACCTTATCTTATCCTATCTTGCTCTATCGTACTCTACTATACCCTGCACTACCCTATCTTACGATGCTCTACTAAATCGTACCCTTCCACACTTTATATTATATGACCTTGGCTTAGTCTACTCTAGCTTCATCATGCTGTATCATAGCGCTACCCTTTCCCCATCTCTGCTTTGTGACTTCATGTGTATAGAATTAAAATATTTTCAGATTTGAACGGTATTTTACAAATTCCATCAAAAGCAATAAAACTAAATGTGCCTGTAGTACAATTGGCCGATCACGTTCCGTAAGGCTTATAAAACATAAAATATTTTTAAAACTGCCGTTTTGTGGTACTGTAAAAATTAATAAATCAATTACAACATTAATAGGCCAAACTGTTTTAGATTTGTATCGATGCCAGATGTCACAACGTTCGAGTTTAAGGTCGCAATTGAAGACAGGTTAATGGAAAGCGTACTGGATGTGTATCAAAGTTTGTTGGTATCAGCGCCTAATTTAGAAAAAGTCATTATTGAGTTTCTTGGGAAATACGTTGGTGATGTAAGTGTTAAAAAACAAATTTACGCTTATTAATATTGAGATTGGTATGCTTGAGTCTACTACGCTGAATACTACAAAGCTTACGTCTACTAAGGCTAAGCCTTGCTTTTTTTAAACTTAAGTTATAAGCTAACAATAAGCTTAATTTAAGCTTAAAATTAGCCTAATTTAAGCTTTAAAATGAACCCAATTCTATTATACTATTAAGGAAAGTATCTACCTAACCTGCCCCTCTCAAAATCAACTTTAAATTTTTAATGAATTCTTTGTATAATACCACAAATAGTACTCATAAAAAATTTTGGCTGGCGCTTTTGAGTTTTAAATTTGAAATATTTTGGTTTTTCGCCAATTTGACAAATTTGGCATTGTGTTTCAAGCACTTCTTTTCACTTTCTAAGCAAGCTACGCTTACAAATTTAAAAATGTAGGTCTATTTAAAGATTTTCTACAAGTATATCAAAGAAAAAATGATTAAAAGTTTTAAAAAAACAAATTTATAAGCTTCAAACAAAAAGCCACTTTGGCGGGAAATTCAAAACGTAATTTTTTAAACTCGATTTTTTCGTGTTTCTTAGAATGCGCGATTTAGTACTTTGCTAAAGATCTTATATTTACATAATCTTTCTTCATATATAAAAAGTTTTAAGTCAATCAGAGCGAGGCAGGTCGGACACTTTTCCTGTGATCTTAATCTCCAACTGCCTTAACCTAAAAGTTTATAAGTTGTACAACTTTTACAGATTGAAACCATGTCGTCTGCAATTGCCTCTGATTTACAAATTTTACGTAGAATCAGTCAATTTTTCGGACAATCTTACCATATCACTTTAAAGCTGGATATAAGGTTTTATTCCGGATATAGTGAATATTGGAGCGAGTACTTCTATGGCGCAGGCAAGGTATGGTTTATCTTTTTGCATGTGCACTAGCATATACATATAAATATAAAAAATAATCGTTTTTCAGTCCGTATATCAACTGAAATGCGCAACATTACTAGACGAAAAACAACTGGTAGAGTTTGACAACAATATTACCGTAGTGTTCCTTGGTGATCTATAGCCCAAAGTTTGACAGTAGCAGCTATATATCATCTTTTATTTATAGTGTGGAGCTTTTGTTGGTTCCGGAGATTGGTTTTACCCTCAGATCTATTAATACTGTATATACATGTGAATATATTATTAGTACTCAATCTCTAAATTAGTACCCAAATAAACACAAGTTTTTTGAAAAATAGAAGTTTATGGAATAATGTACAAAATAACCGGTATGATAACATTGTATTGACTTAGATACTCAACAGTAAAAGTCCGCCTCTTTGAAATGTACGCCTCTGACGTCTACTGAGCACGTACTCAAAAAGACATAGTACTTTCGAGGTTTTTATTGTTTGAGGCTAATCATGGCTGCTGGATCACCACTGAACTCAACATTTTGCTGAATTTGCTCTCTACTCATCAACATCACAATCGCTTTGTGATCGTCTTGACGTTGGTATAGCATCTCGCCGTCGAATGTCAACAGCTTGTACTTTCGTGCTCGGATTAAGAGGCCTACTACCTAAAATATTGTTGATGAGATATTTTTTACATCTTGATCAGTTTTATTTTATAGCGCGGTTTATTACATTATTATATTATATTGACGTGATCTTTCTATTTAAAAAGTCACATTTCAATTCAAGCGGAGCAGATGGAAAAAGTTGCTTGTAAAAAACATACAATTTTTAAAATTAAAGTTTTAAAACTCACTTTATCTGAATAAAACTCATATAACTTGAATAAAGGTCCGAATTTAATCTCTCTAGCTTCGGGAGGTCCTGATCCGTACTTTATAATAAACTCACATAGTTGCAATACCTGAAACATTCAATTAAACATTTGGTTCAAAAATTTAAACATTCAAAAAACAATACAGTAGAACTCTTGTACAACGACCTTTTTTATAACAAACACTCTGTATAACTCCTGCATAAAAAACTCCTGTATAACAAACTCCTGTATAACGAACGCCTTTATAACAAACTACTCTATAGCAAAATCCCGTATAACGAACAACTTTTGAATCTCCGTCTACCACTACACGGTGCATTTAAAACTCCTGTATAACAAAACGCCTTTATAACGAACAAATTTCAAGTCACAGATCGATTTATTATACAGAAGTTCCACTGTAATTTCTTCGTTTTTTGCCGTGAACAAACTTACTTGTGTTAGAATATAGTTACCGGCTTTGATTCCACGTTTTTCCGTCAACGACCCTTTCGTTGGTCGGCCATAGTCTGAAGCTGACGTATCGAATTGTTGTTGTTCATATGTGTTCGAAAATGGATTTCTAAAGATTTTTTCGAAATTAAACGAAACATTGTCTCATTCAATGCTTTCGATACTTCAACTTTCGTAACACCTACTTTTTCAATTTGTTGTCGGTCTCAGTCGAAATCGTATTGAACTTGGAGATGGTGTTTCGAACGCTCATTCCGGATCAGCTAAAGATTGCAAAACAAGTATAAGAAATGGGTGGAAAAAGAAGACACGTTCTATGTTATTATCCTTGGAACGATAACTTACGGACCACCTGTTATGCTTTATCAAATACTTTTTTATACTCACTGAGATGTCCTAACAATATACGGAAGTTGTGTAGTACACCAGCCCTACCTGCCCTAGCTTAACATACAAATTTTTAGCATAAAAATGTAAATAATAGCACTATTTATGTAAAAATAGTGCTATTTCTGTATAATATAGTATATTTTACTAATCTTCGTAACAAAAGTTATCTGTTAACAATAAACAAAAGATCTTGGGTCCAAAATTAATTTTTTTAATTTTAAAAGTTTCGGTAGTATAACTGTCCAATTTTTTGTTAATTCCAGTAAATAACTGTTCGTCCGGTTATAGTTTTAAAAAATTCATAAAAAATTCAAAAGGTAGCGCTCATTGATCCCAGCTAGGGGTAAAAAACTAGCCGATTAAACTCTTTTAAAGCCAGGCCCAACCTCGCTTTTAAGGTTCGGCACAATCTCAGGGCCCAACGTTTAAGCCCGTCCCATTTTCAATTTTTCTTAAGCCATCAAAACCCGGTTAAAAAAATTCTAGGCTTGAACTGGCCAGGCCTGTCATAACAAATTTAAAAAATAAAAAAATGTTGGGCTCGGGCCTACTTTTCAAGCCAAACCCGTGGCACAGGCTTAACTTTAAGGCTGGCACGTTCCAACGTAAGCTCCAGGCCGTTCCGGCTCAATCTTAAGGCCGGGTTGGCACTGCACTTTTCTCACATCTAGTCTCAAAACTAAAACTTTAAAAAAATGAAAAAAATACCCTTCGACCATAAAACCAAAAATATTTCGTCTCGAACCGCCCAACCATCCCAAGATTTCAAAGAAATATTTTGGCGTTTCTTAATTACGAATTAACTTTCCTCACGTCAGCTGGCCCGGTGGGGTTCACGCTCAAACGTGAAGAGCGGGATCAAAGCCGGCTGGTTCTTTTTATATCTCGAGAAAGAGCGTTCGAAAACGAAAAAACAAAGATAAAGAAGAAGGCTAGTTAGCCTATTGAAATTTCGCTGATTTTTGATTTGTTTGCCTAGAATTTAAGGAATTTAGAGCTACGCAAAATTTGACTTCAAAAGTTTGAAACCTTGCCAAATTTAGAGAAAATTTTTATTTTAGTAAGTCGAGCCTTAAAAGAGCTACAACGTTAAGTATGAACACAATTTGTATCACAATTGACAACTAGCGCTGAAGCTAAAAAGAGTAATATGACTAAGTCTAAGACTAAGAAAACCAGGATAAGACTTACTTGCAATTTTTTTTGTTACAGTAATCTACTAATGTAGTTACAGTAAGCTACCAATGTAGTTACAGTAAGCTAACAATGTAGTTAGTGAGTATTGTTTGAAAAACTTTTTCGCTTTGCCATTTTCTCCATTATGCCCGAATCTAATGCTGTAACTTGTATTGAAGCCTGTCGGTTGTTAGACTTCCCAAAAATGGTGCCTTTCTTAAAACACTGTATAATATAGTCTCGGTACGGTTTTACAAAACATATCGTAATTATAGAATTTGTCGCTCCATACAGGTCAATAAACGATATTATTAACTCGACTATTTTCTGAATTGCTCCAATTTGATTGAATAGAAGCCAATTTTCAAGTATGATTGATGAGACTGGTAGTATAAAGAATATAAACGGTGTTACCAACTAAAATTACAGTCTTAAAGCAAAGTCAACTGAAGTTAAAGTGAAGTGAATATAGCACAGTGGTAGGCTAGCTAGATTGATAGGCTAGGGCTAAGCCTAGAGCGAGTAAAGTAGAGCAAGACTAGGGCTAAAAGTAAAGCGAGTAAAGTGAAGAAAGACTAAGACTAAAGTTAAAGATAAATAAAGAGTCGGTAGAGAAATTTACAAAAAAGATACGGTAGTACTTACTTGCAATGCCAAAGCTATAGTAAACTGTTTGTGCAACCTGTAAGTTGTTTTCGAGAAACTAGACTTTTTACTTTCCAATTGTCGTAGAACCACAAAGATACAACCAACTGATACAAATGCAGAAGCCAAAAAAGCAAATAGTACCAGTCCAGCAAGCAGTTCAGTAAATTGCGAATTGTATTTTACATAAAACACTACTCGTCCAGTAATGTTGGGCAGTGTGGTTTCTGGGTATGATTTAATGGTTCGAATCATGGTTGGCAATATTTCCTATACTACATGTTATTTTAATATATTAGGTTGTTCACGTAGTTCTGCATCCCGTACCCGACAAATTAGCTTTGAGAAGGGGCGCCGAATTAAGTGAACTACCTATTTTTCGACATTGTTTACCTCTTGCGGAACAGAAATCTCCATCAATAGGAACACGGTACCCACAGAATTAAAATCGCAGTAGTGTGACAAACAATGTCCATGATACAACAAACTGCAAGATTCGTCGGTCGGTCTGCAAAACCGCGAATCGGTATATTAAACAGGCACATTGAGTTGCTATAGCATAAGCGCCTGTGTTGAGTATTAGCGTTGCCTAAACGTAAAAATGTTAATGTTTTGAATTGGATGTTTAGCCCAGGTCGTCTCTAGAAAGGAGAGAGGTGGGGCGGGCCGGGGCAGGGAGAGGATAAATTAAAGTAAATCAAAAAATTTTCCGCTCCCCCCCCCCGGTTTTAAAAAGAATCTGTAGCGAAGTCCCTTTTTTACAAATACTTATCAAACTTACACTAAGAACATCAGGAATATAGCCAATTTGTTTCATTGGTCCCGTAATTGCACAAGCAAAAAATGGTGTTAGAGGTAACGGTTTCACTATAATACCCAAACAAATAGAAAACACCGAATCCCAAAACTAAAAAAAACTAGTACCAATTTTAAAAAGGCTTTTAAAACGAGATTTACATATATAGGGTGCAAGAGCATAAAAAGTTACCGAGAAAGCTGTTTTAAAAGCTGCTAAATGGTCCTGGTTAGCAACTTACAGATATTCTAAATGGTCTTTGGTTAGCACTTACATATATTATTATGTATATTTAAAAGGCTTTTTGATAATTACAGTGGAACTCCTGTACAAAGAACTCCTCTATAACGAAACTCACGTATAACGATCAACTCTTAAATTCCCGTCTATCACTATATAGTGCACTTAAAACTCCTGTATAACGAAACTCCTTTATAAAGAACAATTTTCCAGTCCCCGAGCGATTCGTTATACAGGAGTTCTACTGTATTTTTTCTAAAAATACAGTTGAATCTCTGTATAACGAATTGCTAGGGGACTTAAAATTTGTTCGTTATGAAGAGGTTTTGTTATACAAGAGTTCTAAATGCACTGTGCAGTGTTAGCCGATATTTAAAAGTTGATCGTTATACGTAAGTTTCGTTATAGAGGAGTTCTTTATACAAAAGTTCCACTATACTTAAAAGTAAAGAATACGGCTTAAAAAATATTTTTTATTAAAATATTGATTGGCTAGTCCAAACATCTCGTCATAATGATAAGGCGCCAAAATGAAATCTACAGGATTCGAACTCCCCGGCTTCTGCACCCCACGCTAATCTCTTAACCCCTCGGCTACACTAGATTGATCGCTCAAACCATCTGTTTTTCCCAGAACGTAAAAGATAGGCCAAAGGGGTTTCATATTTAGATAGTTTGGCGGTTAATATCTCGCTAGCCAAAGTCATTTAGCAGCCTTTAAAACCAGTTTTCTTGGTAACTTTTCATGCTCTTTCATCCTATGTAGATCTTGTTTTAAAAGCCGAGGAACGTTTTGTGGAATTCTCTAGTAAAGCATAAATAAAACGTAAACCAGCAATTTTAAAACTTGTTCATTTACAATAAAACCGACCAAATTGATTTATAGTACAACCGGCCACGCTTTGGTAATTTGCTTACGTACAGTAAAACTAATAATAAACCGTCGATATGTTCCCATGCTCTTAGGCGATTGAAATATAACAAGTAAAATGACGACTGCTGGCAGGGTTGATGAAATAATACTTATGGAGGGTAAAGCAATGTCAAATAAAATGTTCGTAGACATTAAAAATTTGGTTTTAAAAGTTTTAAAAACAAAAAAAATAACAAATAAAATTTATTTCAACCATGCTTTAATTTCATTGTCATTAAACGGCAATAATACATACTACAAGTAAAATATCACAAATTTAGGTTTCTTATGCCTTTTTTTAAACATTTTTTATTTTAATGCACCTGTAGCTTTTTATAAACTAGACCGTTCATTAAAAAAAACCATTTTTATTGCCAAAGACTCTACGTTACCAAAGCCGTTATTGTACTTTCAGCAGGTGTAACTAACTTGTATAGTGTCTTCCTGAAAGCTCCTTTTGCCACAACGAAAACAAATGGCCAACCTTTTCAGCCAAGATACTGCAATTGTAAAATGTCTCTCTACTATGTCAATAGAAAGCAGAACAAGTATTGACTAACACACTTATTGAACTCAGAACTCCATTATTTGCAGATTCACGTGCAGAGAATCATCAAAATGACCGTATCTATCTGTTACCCATTTATTATTGTTAGCCCCATTCCTCTCAGTACAACATTGAGTGATCAAACAAAAAAATAAAAAAAAAGAAAACCGTAAAGTAAAAAACTATTCTTAATCTATAGTCTTTACTAATACAGTAGGAGTTCAAAAGAACAAAAATTATAAAATCTAAGTATTAAAATTCTATTGTCAATACGTTTTCAAAGTTACTTTATTGTCCTAAAACACCTGTTACTTTCACATAGCTAGGCATAGTAGACGTAGTAAAACTCAAATGTTAATTTTTTATAACCGTGCAAAACTTTTGCGTTTTCTGATTTGCTCCATAGAAAGAAAGTCTAGCGGTGCGACTTGAATCGAATCTTCCCGGTACCGTACATTGCCGCCAGCTAAACTAATCGAGCTTTTCCTTATACTTTGGATAATGAAGTTGCGGTACGGTTTAATACAGTACAATGTAATAATAGAGTTGGCTGCACCATATAGATCGATAAACATTAGTAAAAATTCGACCGTTTTCTGAAGGCCAGTAAACTCGTTCGCTATATGAAACATGTGGTCTAATATTAAGGCTGATACTGGCAGAACAAAGAAAATTAACGGGGCGAATAGCTGAAATTATTATTATAAGTTTTAGTTTCTTTATATCTCACACTATAAAGCTTTATACTTGGACATGTTAGAATTTTCTAATCGTTCATGATGGTACATTTAGTTAACTAACAAGGAAAATGCTCGCCTTATCCCGCTCTGATTAACTTAAAATTTTTTATATAAGAAGATCATGTAACTGTAATCTCTTCAGCAAAGTAATAAATCGCGCTTTCCAAGAAATCTCAAGAAAATCAAGATCAAATATTACGTTTTGAACTTCCCGCCAAATTGTCATTGTGTTCAGGCTTATAACTTTGTCATTTTTTGACCTTCAATCATTTTTCTTTGATATACTAGTAGAAAACATTTAAGTGAACCTACATTTGTAAAGTTGTAAACGTAGCTTCCCTAAAAAAAGTCGGAAACAAGTGCTTAAAACACAATGCCAAATTTGCCAAATTAACAGAAAACTCAAATATTTTAAACTTAAAGCTCACAGCGCTATATAAAATTTGTATGATACTCTTGGTGGTACAAAAAGTTCATATAAAAATTTTGAGCTAATTCTGAACAAAGCGATCGGACACTTTCCTTTAAGACATACTTACTTGCAACCCCAACGCTATTGTAAGCTGTCGATGTAATTTGTAAGTATTTTTTGAAAAATTTGATTTTTTACTTTCTAATTGCCGCAGTATCATGTAAATGCAACCAATTGAAACAACTTCAGCTGCCGAAAACCCCAACAACACAATGAACGCAGTGAACACGGTAAATTCGGAACCCATTTTTGGGTAAAAAACGATTTGGCCAGATATGTTTGGTAGACCCATGTTAGGGTAATATTTTAGGTCTTGTTCCATATTCGCTAAGACTTCCTATAAGATTTTTAAAGCTAAAAATCATAGCAAAAATGTTCAAAAAGTAATAAACTATGTCTTAGCAAATTTGTTCATAAAGTAATGAGCTATAAGTCATAGTAACGTTGTTCAAAAAGTAACGAGCTATAATTTATAGCAAACTTGTTCAAAAAATAACGAGCCATAAATCCTAGAAAACTTGTTCAAAAAATAACGAGCCATAAATCCTAGCAAACTTGTTCAAAAAGTAATGAGCCATAAATCCTAGAAAACTTGTTCAAAAATTAATGAGGTATAATTTATATCAAAGTTGTTCAAAAAGTGATCAGCTATAAGTCATAGTAACGTTGTTCAAAAAGTAATGAGCTATAAGGCATAGAAAAATATTTCAAAAAGTAATGAGCTATAATTCGTAGCAATGTTGTTCAAAAAGTAATGAGCCATGCCTCTAAACTCATTAAAGTTATTTTGCTCATGTTCCTACCTCTTGTGGTACCTGCACTTGCATAAGTAACAAGATAGCAAACACGGAAATAAAAACCCCAATAATATGACCTATCGTCCATGATATCCATGAAACAACGAATGCCAACAGCCGAGGGTCTGTTTGAATGGCCGCAAATCTGTACACAATACATATACACTGTGTTGCAATGGCATAACCCGCGCTTATCATGATGGCAGAGCCCTGAAAGTGATTATTAAGGTTCTTCATCAGTTAGGTTGTTCGAATATAGATGAGCCATTTAAAACGCCAAACTTCGAAGATTTTGGCTCATCTATATTTGGACAACCCGATATTAGATTGTTCCAATAATTCTGTGCCCCTTTTCAAAGCAATTTTGTTTAATGAACGAGCACAGAATTAAATGAACAACCTAATAAGCAGTCACAGATGCTTTAATTTTTAAAACTTGAAGGTATTTATTATACGTATACAAAAAGAGAACGTTCAGCACATACCGAAGCCACAGCACCGGCGCTACCCAAATATTTCAGCGGGCCGATAACGAACGCTGCGAAGAATGGTATGATGGGGAAAGGCTTGACCAGCATACCCATACAAACCGAGAAACAAAAGTCGCATACCTAAATTTTTTTTGCTTCTTATTAGACCTTAAAAAGACCCTTTTTGCTTTTTTATTAGGTCTGAAAGAATAAGAAAGAAGGGTCTAGTGCAGTCCTAGTCCGACCCTAAACTAGGCCAAGAAAAACACGAATAAGGCCGAACCGGGTCATGCGGCGACAACCACCGGGCTCCAATAAAGGCTCCAGGGGCCACGTCAGGTCCCGCAACGAAAGATTTAGCTTGCAAAAAGTGTAAAACAAATCTGATCTTAAAGCTACATACTAAAGAACAATTTTAAAACACTTCCTTATACAAAACACATACCGTAAAATGTATGATAAATCGTCGATAAGTCTTCATACTTTCTGGAGATTGATGTATAACAATGGCTATGACAACTAATGGTAACATTATAGAAAAAAAGCTGGTACACCCCATGGCAATATTGAAAAATGTTGGGTCTAGCATTTTTAGGCTCTGTACAACGCAATAGTTTTATATCAAAACATGTAGGAATGTTTTACTGTAGTTGGGTCTTCATGTTTGATAATGTTCAACATTAGACGTTAATATTCACTTTAAAAATGTCATTATGTATGCACCAAAATCTGATGTACAAACAATTTAGTTCTTTATCCCCAGGCACGATATGAAAAGCAAGATACACATGTACTTGTTAGTACAATAAGATAAAGTCCATAAGACTATTTACATAAAATAACTCCATAAATATACTTAAATAAAATTTTAAAGCAATATAGGTAATGAAATTACTATAATAAAAACAATTCGACACAAGAGCCTCCTAAAGCATGCTACATGCTTCATTGTGTGTCTAAGTCAGTGTTCCTGTTATTCCATGTAAAACACCTGTTTAAAAATTTTGAAACTTCTTTTAACTGATAGTTTAGTCAGTGTTAAAAAAGTTTATTGATAATCAATTAATGGTGCGTTTACGTTAACGCATTTAGTAATGCTTTTAAGTTTAAGTCAATCTATAATATAATATGTGGTACCGTTTACTTCACAACTAGATTTGTTAATACTCAAGGAAATTGCCCGATCTGCCCCGCTGTGATTGACTTCAAACTTTTTATATAGAAAGATCATGTAAATATAAGATCTTCAGCAGAGTACTGAATCGTGCTTTCCAATCAATCTCAAAAAAATCAAAATTAACTGGAAAGCCCGATATAGTACTTTGCTGAAGATCTTATAGTTAAATGACCTTTCTATATAAACCGTTTGACGTCAACCAGAGCGATTCAGGTCAAGCAGTTTCCTTGTAAGTGTAAAATAATCGTTTTATTGAATATATATGTATTTATCAACATTAATATTAAATGGACTACTTTGCCTTTTTGTCGTATATAAAACCAGGATCACCAGCAGCCATCCTTATCAAATAAAACCACGATAAGTCGCATTATCAACAGAATTTCACAAAACAATTCACTGCCCCGGCAACAACAACATTGCATACTGGACGAGTCTGCTTATAATAATACCTTGCGTCAAGCCAAAATTGAAATAGTGCTTTCGGGCAGTGCCAATAATACAGGACTTGAGCCAAACTTCACTTTTCCACAAGATATATAAGTCAAAACGTTCTTAGACTTCACAACAAGATAATTGCGATACGGTTTGACAAAATACAAAGTAATCATGGAGTTCACAGCACCGTACATATCAATAAACATTATGGTAAGCTTAACAAAGCTGTCCGCCATCAGAAAGTGGTTACCTATATTAAAACTGGCTAAAATAATACCACTTGTAACTGGCAAGATAAAAAATAGTACTGGCGTCATCAGCTACAAAAAACGGTAAAACACGAGTTTAATATTATATATTAGATTGTTCAAATAATTCGGAGCCCCCCCCCCCTCCTCTCACATCAAATTTTTAAAGTCAAGGGCACAGAATTATGTAAATAACCTAACAGTAATCATTTAAACAATCTAATAGTAGAGTAAAACAAGGTAAAAAGGCTGTTGCACTTACTTGAATACCCAGCGCGATGGTAAGTTGTCGATGTAACTTATACGTCATTTTAGAAAAACTAGCCTTTTTACTTTCTAGTTGCTTCAGTATAATATATACACATCCAACAGATATGAACTCAGCCGCAAAAAATCCAAAGAATATTAAACCGGCTGTCAATAAGGCAAATTGCGATGACATTTTAATGTAAAATACAACCTCCCCGTGGACGTCCGGAATTTCAGCCCATGGAAAGTATTGTTGGTCGTGGGTTAGATAAGTTAGCAGCTCCTGAACGGTTTTTTTTTGTAAAGAAAGTTTTTGCAAATTTTGATTTTTTTAGAACTTTTAAGGATTTTTCTAAATACAGTACTCCTGTCTAACGAATTGTTCTACAGTAAAATTTTTTTATGATTTCTTACTTCCTGCGATACTAAAAGTTGCATGCATAAAAATACGGTACCAATAGTAATGAGTACCGTAACAAAATAACAAACAGCCCATGTTGTCCACGACACGACGAACTCTAAAATACGAGGGTTCGTTTGAAGAACCGCAAACCTATATATTATACATGCACATTGGGTAGATATGGCATAGCCTGCGGAATTGACAATTAAAACCACCTAAAGAATGACAAAACTAAAAAATTAAACATATTTTTACACTGTAATTTTTAACTTTGCACAGTGCAATTTTTGATTTTATAAAATTTCAATTATTAAAAACTTTTTTTTGCTATTTTTGTTAACATACCGACACGATTGCTCCAGTACTCCCTAAATATTTAACAGGGCCAGTGATTAGAGCCCCAAAGAATGGCAGAAGCGGAAATGGTTTGACAATAATACCTAATGATAAAGAGAACACAAAATCCATTGTCTGAAAATGAAAAAATAAACTTAACTATGGAGGGATTTAAAATGTGTTTTTTATGAACAAGTATCGTTATACAGAAGTTTTAAATGAACTGCGTAGTGTTAACCGAGAATTAAAAAACTTGTTCGTTATGCAGGAATTTCTTTGTACAAAAGTTCTTTATACAGAGAACTCCTGTACAACGAGTTCCACAGTATTATTTAGTATATCACTCGCTATCGACTTTTAGAACATCACCAATATAGGATGAAAGAGCACACAAAATTACCAGAAACACAACTTTAAAAAACTGGTAAATGGCCTTGGCTAGCCAGGGACAGTACGCCCAATATTCTTATATGTTTACTAATATTTCGCTAGCCGAAACCATTTGGCAGTTTTTAAAATAGTTTTACTGCTAACTTTTTATGCTCTTTCATCCTATATAAGCTTCGTTCTAAAAGCCAAGCTATATTTATTTTGTGCAACTCCCCTTTGAATTGCAGTGTCATTCCCAAATAAGACCATATTTAAAAACTGTCTTTAACTTACGGTAAAATTAATAATGAAACGTTGATAAGTCCTCATACTTTCTGGTGATTGAGTTAAAACTAGCACCACTACCAAAATTGACAAACTCATAGACATAAAGCTAGTAAAGGATAATAAAAGGTTAAATAATGTAGTATCTTGCATTCACTAAGGTGCAAAGCTATAAAAAAATTTATATTTTTCTAAATAACCTCAGGTAACCAAAAAACAAAATATTAATGCGCTCAGCTGAAATTATTCTCTATATTCTGGCTCGACGTGCTCAGTTCCGTTGGCTTTCATAAGAAGCTTGAAAATCCTAGCATATCAGCAAAGTATGTTACAATCTACGGTATCAAAATCATCAACTAACCTATTCTATACCTTCCAAATTGTAATTGTAGACACTTTAAGAATGTAAAGTAAATAAATCAACATAAAATGAAAAATTCATTGTATAATCATTTCAAGAACCGCCTATGACATCTCAGACAGAGATCCTGCAAATTAACAGATGTTACACGCCGTTTTACGAAATTCAAAAATGTTGTAAAAGCTTCACCTGTTAAATACTTCCGTACACAAACAAAGGTAAAAAATATAATAACATTTAACAAAGTGGTTATGCTTACGAGTTTATATTTGCACTTAGGCTTCAATTTTAACTGATTACACTCAAAATACGATACACAGAGAACTACAACTAAGACGGCGCTGCGAGTGCCTGGACTGACCAATTTACGAAACTTAGGCACCTCAACACGTTTCCCGACCAGTTCAAATCCGAAGCGCTCTACGATGACAATAGACAGCAAACGAAGTATAGACTGACAAACTTAGTGAAACATTTGGCCCCAGCACCTTCAGATTAACGCACAGAGGATCATCAAAATCACACAAGTATCTATTACAGCTAGTTGTTAACGTTCTATTATGTTAGTTTCATTCCCCTCTCTACAACGTTGAGGGGACGGAACAAATAAAATTTTTAAAAAATTATAGTAATAAGTATGCGCAATCCTCCCAATAGTTTAAAAGTTTCAAAACAACGCAAAATTCACACTTTATTAAAAAGCTTTAAACTGTAACAACAACATTAACAACCAAGCTGTACACACAGCAACATCTCAAATCTGTAAAATAGAAAAGCTGCCAGCTTTGCAAATCGTGTCATATTAAAACTTGTGGGATAATCAGCCAATCTTCTTAACCAACAGCCGCAGTAGTTTTCGAACTGTTCCCTGTAAAGCGGAACAAATTCTCAAATTCACTCATACTGCCTACTAGTCAAAGCCCTTCGTATGGCAAGCAAGAAAACTTCGAAAACAAACTTTGATGTTTAAAACAAAGTGGAATTTGCAGCCGTACTGTCATGAACAAACACAACATCGTTCTGAGCTTTTGTCGCCCATCCACGCGTAATGAAGTTCATAAACTGTCGAAACCGGGCTATTACAAGAGCTCGGTAGGGTCGTATGAAGTAAAGTGTCACTAATGAATTTGCAAAACCATAAAACTCTATAAAGTTGATTAAAAATTTGCCAGTGTTGCTTGATAAACCGTACTTAAACACAGCCGCCAGTCCTAGCCCTGGTAGTATAATGAATAGTAACGGGGTTAAGAGCTGCAATTTAGTCATCTATTGTCATACAGTCTTAGTCTTATTAATATTGTTTTAGTAATATTTTAGTCCACATTTGGGTTTTAACGCTTTGACAATCGGTGTAAGAGCCATGATTTCTCAGCTCAGACATCTTGACAATAAACATCATGTATGGCTATTGAAAGTCATGCATGATGTTTGTGGTCGATATAACTCTTTTTCTTACCTGCACCGCCAAAGCGACGGTCAGCTGTCGATGAAGTTTGAAAGTAGTTCGTGAAAACTTGTCTTTCTTCCTTTCCAGCATTACCAGTACCAATATAACACAACTTCCAGAAAACAATTCAGTCAAAATGAATCCCAAAATCAGAAAACCTCCGCTTAGAACAGCATTTTTGGTACTAAAGTCAAGGTACAAAAACAAATTGTTCTGCAAGTCCGGCAATGGACTGCTTAGCAAAGCTGAATTTTGTAAAAGGTTTGAATGAACAACATCTTGTGGTGGTTGCAATGGTGCAAATATAAAATATGTCAAGACACTAATTGATAGAGATACGATGTACGAATTGATCCACGAGCTTTTGGAGGAAACAAAGTTCAGCCAAAAATCAGTATTTTGTATCGCAGCGAATCGGTACATCAAACAGCTGACTTGAGTTGATAAACAGTAGCTAAGCGCGTTAACTGTGAGAATTAGCTAAATATGAAATTTTTGAACTTTAGCTTAATTTTTTATTTAACAATCGTTTTATAAAAAAGCGAAGAATATAATTGTATTTACGTACGCAAAAAACATCAACAACTATTACTTACGCTCAAAACAGCTCCAAAATTTCCAAGATACCTAAACCATCCTTGTATGACGGCCGATGGTAAAGGAAACAAGGGATCCGGGTTGACCAGTATGCCTAGTATAAATGAAAATGCTAGATCGTAACACTAAAAATATATTCATCAAAGGAAAATCGAATCGAACAAACGACTAAAATCATATTAATAGTAAAATATGCTTGCCAGGTTTTAAAAATACTCATAAGCTGAAGACTGAATATTCTAAAATGCCATACTTACTGTAAACTGAATAATGTACATTCGGTAGCCACGCATAGACTGCGGTGAATGGTAAACCACAACATAGATGACAACCGACGACAATATGACAGACCCAATCGAAGTTAAGAAAAATAACACGTCCAGAAACATACAAATTTATGAACTATACCAAAAATTTGACTGCAATTATTTAATTCCCAAAATCACCTGTATGATACACGCTTCGTTGGTGTACAATATTTTGAAAGTTTGTGTAAACCATTACTTTATGCTGCCGTAGGCATACATATTATATTGTTAGTCATAGTTTACGAGTTTGTAAGAGGAATTAGAGATACGATGAACAGTCCAAAGGTTACAGGTAGAAGACAGTACCAAGTAGGGTACAAAAAATTTTAGAAAATTTTTATTCCTTTTTTAACACAATACATATGTATAATAATTTGAGACGTGTTGACAGATATCGAGGAGTTTCGTTAAATCGTCACAGAAATCCATCGTAGCTGTTCCAAATTGGGCCCCATCCAAGTGATCTTGTTCCTCAAGCTACCGAGTGCGTTGAAGGGCTCCTCAAGAATTCAAGCCACTGATGAGGTACTCCTCAAAACTTCAGGCTGTATTCGAAAACCTGTGTAGGACAAGCAGCCAATTTGCCACGGTCCACGTGAAACTAGCACATAACTTTTTATTTGTAAATGAAACAAATGAATAGGATGTGCTAACAATCCCACCATTGTCTAGGCCGAGCAGACCGGTAGGTCAATACTGAGTCTTGTGGTTTACTAGTCGCTTCACAACCTGAGCCAAAACCGCTCACAAACTACGATATGAGTATACAAGACATAGCAGTAGGCGTTAATAAAAAGACAAATGAAAGACTTTTTTGTTTTTGACCAGCACAAAATAGTTTTTCCAATTTAAGTACATTTTCTTTTATTTGCATCTAAAGTTATGCTTTTATATAGAAGACCTGTAATTAGATGATATTGTAGTTTCAGGCATCAAAACTATAGTATCACGGCGTTTTCCCAATTTGTTACAAGTCGTAAATCGAAGAAATTCGCAGAATTTAGAGACCAAAAATGTTCGGTACGGTTTGACAAAGTATAATGTAACCAGAGAATTTAAAAATCCATAAAGTTCTATCCAGTTTACAAGTAATCTGGCTTTTTCATTCCACATATTACCGCGTATGATATCAATCGTGCCGTATGATACCGGTAGGATAATAAACAGAAACGGTGTTAGCAGCTGCAAAGTTTGCTTTTCATTTGGTGCACTTCCCTAGTAATATGTGGCTCAGAAAACAAAATTTTCAATAAAAATCGTTACCTGAACGCCCAGTGCAATAGTAAGTTGTCGATGCAGTTTATACGTCATTCTCGTAAAACATTCCTTCTTCTTGTCCAACAACTTCAGTAAAACTAACACACACCCGATTGATACAGTTTCAGCCAGGAAAAATCCAACTCCAACGAAAATCGCAGCAGCAACAACATAGTCACTTCTATAGTCAATATACAGAAAAATGTCATTGTCCATATTAGGCAGTGGTTGTGGATAGTTAAACTTTATTGCATCCTGTCGAACATATTCTTTTACCATTACTTGTGGAGGTTGTAGTGGAGCAAAAATTACAAATGATAAGATGCTAACGGAGAGAGATATTAGGTAGGCGTTTACCCATGATTTAGTTGATAAGACTAGGTCCATCCACCACTGCGAGTTTTGTAAGACAGCAAAACGGTAGAAGAGACAACAGACTTGGGTCGATAAACAGTAACCAGCCGTGTTTATGATTAGAATTACCTGAAGTTTTAAATAAAAATAATTGAATGAGGGTGTTCAAATAATTATGCCTAACATTTTTTTTTCTTGTCAAAATGGTTTCAAAAACTAAAATTTTACAGTACTCCTACCGTATTTTAAGTCGAAAAAAAGTTTTATATAGCTGTTTTAAAATATAAAATGCAAATTTTTTACGACTTTATAATAAAAAGTATATGAAAATTAATATGTTCTGTGGCATTTAGTAAATATTTTGTCTAGATTATAGTAAACAGAATTCTTACCCCAAGAACAGCTCCAAAGTCGCCAAAGTATTTTAGCCATCCATTCATGACAGTTAACAAAACAGGATACAACGGATCTGGATTCACCAGTACACCCAAAGTAAATGAAAATGCGAAATCAAACAACTAAAATATTTGCAATTTTTAGTCTTATTAATGAGAAAAGAATGAGCCCCGTAGTGAGAAAAGATTTGTACCACTAATAGTACCGATAAAAAAATGTTAACTCGCATTTTTGAGTTTTAAAATTAAAATATTTGGGTTTGCCGCCCACTTGGCAAATTTGACATTGTGTTTAAAGCATTTTTCGACTTTATAGACAAGCTACGCTTATGAGTCTAAAAATGTAGATGTATGTAATAGTTTTCTACTATTATATATAAAAAATGATTAAAAGCCAGAAAATGAAAAAATTACAATAAAAAATCAAAATTCAAAAAAAATCCTCCTGAATTAAAAAAAAATAGTAAAAACTCACAGTAAAATTGATGATATAACGTTTATAACCAAGCATGGACTGTGGTGAATGGTATACCACAACATAAATTACTGTCAACGACAGTATAATAGAAAATATTGAAGCTAAAAAAGAAAAAAGCGTCCGAAAGCATAAACCACAACTTGAAGACTGATATTCCTTACAGGCTTACACCTGTAAGTACCATGGTGTTTTAAAAAGAAACTAAATTATTCATGTGTTCGTGGTCGATTAAAACAAACCTTGGAATCTTTAAAACAACCCTTGAACAGGTGTTGAAATAATCGCCATTTTTTAAAATTTCGTATTTTATTTCGAATTTTGTTGTTTCATATTATTTCATTGTTTAATTGACGTAAAATGGTTGTTTGTTTTAGTTAGTTCTTGTACTTTCTTTTTCGTTGTGGAACCCAAATGGTGTTATGATGTAAGTAATCTTTACCACATTATTAGTGGTTTTTAATCATTTATGACATAAAAACGTCATTTTTTTAATTTTTTTTGGCAAAACACTTAAATTTGTAAGCTTCCTCCTGTTTTCGTGGTAGGACTTCAGTTTTTTCATTTTACAGAAGGTTTTACTCATTTACTAAATACGACTAACCCAACCACAAAGATTGTTCCCAAAAAGCTTTCCTTTAACCCAAAAACCCTCAACTATACAATGGCACATTTATTTTCCCATGACTAGTCTAATAATATTAAAAAAATAAAAATTTGAAAGAATATCAAAATATAATACAACCTATATCTAGACGTGCGTTAGATGTCGCTTGGCGGTGCAAAAATGTCGATTAGCGACTTGATGACATAGTGTGCCGAGCCGTACTCGCCGCACGGCGCACTGTCGTAAAAGTGTCGACAAATGCCTCGGGCACCGTCGCACGGATGGCCTTCGCCGCAACATTCCATCACTATCGTGTTCATTTCGCGCTATAAAAGTTCAATTTTTATGAATTTTTTTAAATTTAAAAATTTTTTTCATTGCACTGTTGCAATTTTAAAGGTTTCCTTGTGCAATTTCTATTTTTTTAAATTTTTTATTTTTTATCTGCACTGTGCAATTTATAATCAGTTCATTTTGCACCGTGCAATTTTTCTAGTCTTTTGCACAGTGCAATTTTCAAAAAATTTTAATTTCTCAAAATTAAAATTTTTCCATAAACTCCCCTAAACAATCCCAACCACACCCGTGACCTACGTTATGATCGACAAAGATATGATTGGCCAGCCATAACACTTGATCCACATCAAATGGGTGATCTTGTGGTATTCGCGGCTCGGCCACGATGATCTTATCCAATCTCCTCATCAATGTCAACACTTCTACGATCATTTCCCTGTATTCTGGTTCGCCAATCATGTTTAGTACTTGTTCGACTTGAAGGGCAAACTTGATCTCTCTTCTAGTCATCTCCTGGGTTAGACGGCGGTCAAGAATGACGCCGTTTATGGACAAGCCACGAGGGAATAGACGTAGAGTGTCCCAGAGATCCTGAAATGTACTTGTAAATTACCTGCCGTGCATTTATAATCTTGAAACTAATTTTTATAAAAATCGTTATATTTTTTATCAAAAATTACTGAAAATCACCTATGAATCATTAAAAAATCAAGCAAAAACCCTCATTTTCTTACCGAATAAAAGTTGGGAGGTACCCGATTCAGCGCTCCATCGATCCGCCGATGTCTTAACCATATCCCAAACTGGAATTCTTCACCGTACAATTCTTCTGGCTCCGAGAAATCGCTCATCAAGTCATTGACTTCCTCCACTGGCTGTGACCTCAACGATCGTGACTTTCTCAATGATTTCCTGACTTCAATCTGCTTTCTGAAGCTGCCCATGCCTGTTCTCAGTTCGCGAATACCCTGATCTTCATCCACACCCACATCTTCTAGAAGTTTTCCACTTAACAGCGAGAATAACATGCATTTTAGTTCGAATGGTGAGATGGAAAGGAGTTGTTGCAGGGCCTCGGCGCCCGACATTCCGCGAATTCTGGAAATCTCCGAGGCCAGAATCTGTATAATCAATCCCACTCGCAACCTCAGCATTTCAATGAACAAATTGGGCTCGGTTCTGACCAAACTGCCCAGACAAATGATGATTTCCTGTGCCAATGTGTATGAGCTGGGATCGTCGCTATACACCTCATCCAGAATATGCTTCAGTTCTTCTCTCGTGCGAGGACTCGTGATTGGTCGTTCAATTTTGCTCGGCACTCCAAGAGTGATCTGTTTTTGTCGGACTAGTAAGTGAGTGACGGACTTTGTTAGCTCGTCCATTTGGCGTCGTAATAAGCCGGCAGTCAGTCGGACCCATGACCATTCTCGTTGTTCACACACTTTTTGGTATACTTCTTCGATTAGTACACGTACTGTGACGCCTTGTGTGTCGTTTAGATGGGTATCGTAGTCTAGGCCACTAAAAATGCAGTTGTAAACTAAAAACTGTTTTGTGTAAACTATAACATTGCAGCCAAAATTAGCATTATTTAACACAAAACATGATATTCAAACCTAAATTAATGTTGTAGTAGCCCTCCAACCCACATTTTCCAAAAACTTACTATTTCAAGTACAAAAAGTGCACAAGTGAAGCCTGCTCATCTAAATCGTCAGCTTCACTCAACATGTTCACCAAGTCGTCACCATGCATTTCCTTCATTTGAGCGTGATCCAGCGAAGAATTGGAGGCGCTGCCGTGCATTGTATGATGAAGATGAGCTCCTTTATGCAGTTTATGTTCAGCTTTTCCTTCTTGAACTGGTGAGAGATGGTCTAGATTAGGTCGGTCTGTTTTCAAATCAGTCTTGGCGTAGGCTAGACGAAGCTTTTCTAGATCTGAAAATAAGTTAAATACAATAATATCTATTATATCTCCTCCGTAAGTTCAAAGATAACACTGTTATTCACTTTTAGTTATTCTTTTTACCTTTCCACCCCCAAGATCTTAGAACTTTCACAAAATTCAACTCTTACCTTGATCATTACTGTCCATTATGATACTCCTATGTCTCATCGATGCCTGCTGTACTGTATTGAATTGTTTGTTCCATCGTTCCTTCACACTGTCCTGTCTTCTCACTCCAGGCGTTGCTGCTTTTGTCTCTGCCGCAGTAACTGGCAACGTTTTTGGAGCTGATCTACTGTAAGCATTGAAGTAAGAATCTACATCAAGGTCCCTGAACTCAAGCTTCGATACTGATGTTGTTCTGAAAAAGTCTCCAATGTTCTTCATGACAACTCTTGCTCCTCCAATGTAGCCATTTTTGATCTTTTTCAGCGCTCCGATTACGGTGGACTTCTGACGTCTTCTAGCTAACCCATTGCCAAGTACGATACTCGTCGCTTCCAACATGTTCTTGCTGATTGACAGTACTACAAGCGGCCGTCCTGATATACTGACACTGTTCCAAGACGTATAAATGTAATGGAGTTCTGACGCCCATTCGTCCATAAGGATTCGGATATCGTACATTAGGTAGGATCGTCTTCTGTCCATGAATTGTGGTAAGAAAACTACAAACTTTTGACCAAGGTGGTAAAGTCTGCTTGTGCTGAGCAGACCAATATCACGATCTGAAGGTCTGCCAGTTAGGTTTAGCTTCTTGGATTCCCCAACTCGTTCGAGGATCTTGGCAAAGGCTGAAGCTGGCTGGATGGAGAAGATCGGGTCGATTTCATGCATCATCTGGGCTTCAATGTCATTGAGTTCCAGCTCTTTTTGAACTTCACGGCTTTCGGCCAAAATTACCACTAAAATTATTTTTTTTATTGTTATAATTTAAATTATAAATAATTTTTTAAACTTTCCCAATTTAGCTATATTAACCTACCCTGAACCTCACTAGAAGGTCTCTGTTCAATACCAGACAAACGTCTACTCAGTGGATCAATTTCAGCTGGTGTCAGAAAGCCATCATACAATAAACAAGCCACAATGTACAGAGACTGGCCCCAAATGAAAGGAATAGTACCAGCTGGTACTCTTTTTTGCGTTCCTCTTTCAGTTCTCTCCTTTTCCACACAATCCAAAGGCAGAGAGTATAATTCTGGCAGTAAGAAGAGGTTTCGTCCATCCGTTGTCCTTGTTAAAACCTAAAAACTTCGTCTTTTATTGTTTTAGGTAACAAAATCTTTGTTTTTATAATTTGAATTAACAAAATCTTATATTTTATAAATACCAGTCAAAAACCTTTTTCGTTTGTTATTTTAGACAACAAAACTTCAAAATTTTCATGAAAATTGCCACAAATCCTAAAAACTCAACAGATAATGCAAAAAAAATACCTCTTGAAGTTGTCTGTAGTACTTTTCAGTATCATCTTTGTCCTTTCTAAACAACCCATCCAATAGCAGATAACACAAGAACACTGGCCACTCGCATTCAATATTTTCAAACTTTTGAAGTTCGTCATTATTATAATACAATCGGCTGCGATCTTCCAATGCTGTTTTGAAGCCATCGCGTAAAAACCTTCTACATCCGTACTTGCCATACAAAGTCTCCAATATTGTTTGTCTGGTCGTTTCAACTAAATCGGAATCTTCGACCGCAAATGCTGGATATGAAATGATAGCCAAGAGAGATGAATCCGTCTCCTAAAAACGAAAAAAAAAATAATTTTTGCCATTTTTCGTTCAATTATATTAAAAACAAATTTTGAAACTGATTTTTTCCCCATATTAACCTTCGTGTCCTTAAGTTTAACCAAAAGATTCAAATAATAATAGTATTCGTTGTCAATTTTATGAAAAAAAACTCCTTACTTTACTAAACGACTCTCTAGGTAGCATCGAGCTCAATACCGCGCTACACTGTTGAATTTCATCGGGTAAAACATGTACAACAGACCCTTTAGAGCCATCTCCAAACAAATCCCCACAATCATTCAACGCCTGAAGTGCGGCTTTAGCCATCCCAATCGACGAGGCATTCAACTCTCTGATACCTTGATTCGTCTTATCACCACGTTCCCAAACCCCAAAATCCGGCGTCCGATAGCCAACTTCAATATAATAGACAAGGTTTTGAATAAACGCAATCTCATCCCAATTTCGAATGATTTGAAGCCCAGATGCAGTCATTTGAGCCAACGTTAGAAGAAATAATGAGATTGAGTCGAGTTGAAGATGTCCCCATTCGTTGTCTCTGACCACGGTTGTCTTGGTACGTGCAGAATACTTGGCGTGAATGCTGTCGAAACTTCGTTGATGTCTTTTAAATTGCTCTACTTTATCCACTTGTCGCATCATACATTCTAACAGCGATTGCATCAGCTTCACACTAAAATATAATAACTTTTCGATGAAATTTAGCTAATACAACTATGTTGTCGATCTTTCGGCTCAATACTTGTTTTAAAACACTCTCCATACTCTTTTCAAATTATTGTAAGAAATGAAACTCATTAAAGCAAGTTTCGTATCTTCAAGACATCAAAAAACGTTGCCCAACATAACAAAAGTTCAATTTTCAGTTTTTACATCCTAAACAAAAAAAAAGTAAAACAACAAGACGTACCATTGCATCCCTAGTTGATGAGCTTTGGCCAAATCCTCATCAAACTCTGCACTCTTCTGATAAGCTCTGTACATTGCCCAGACCGCCTGAACAGCATAAACATTGTCTCGGATCCATGCATGTTCTACAATAATCTTCTTATAAACTTAAAATATTAAAATTGGCGTTAGATTGCGTTTACAAAAACTAGATCAAAACCTTCTCAACTTTAGATCTAAATTTTGAAGAAAAAAAAACTTACCGGGAAAGTCGTTTGGATGATTGGTAACGAGTCCAGTGACCGGATCCTGATTCTTCAAAACAGTTTCTTCGACAATGTACAAAAGCTGGTCTAGCCTGATACCAGATTGTGTTCTGGCCCGCATTGATTGGTGATCAAGATTCGAACCGCAAAAACATTATTTTACTTATCTTTACTTTTGCGAACTGCGCCCAATTTTATATCTCCACAGAAAACGCGAGTTTGCAGGCCGCAAAGACAGCTTATACGCTTTATTAAAAAATGTTGTATCTCTGATTCCTGTCATTTGCGAGCGTCAACGCGTTGTTAACATAGTCACGTTTTTTACATGCTATCCATGTAGGTATTTTTGTGCACGTAAAATATGTGCTGGTTTTTGATTTTCTTCGGCTTTGAGTTTTTCATTCGCTTAATAAGGAGGTTGGTTAAATGGCTGCAGTCTCGCGAATTTAATTTTAAAATGTCAAAATTTGGGTATTAAAATGTTTCAAATTGTATACTTTTCATCTTAATTATGTACTTTTTAGGTTAAACATGTTAGAAACAAGCAGCCAGCTTTCTGAAGTCTCACTATCTATACCAAATCCTCACAAAGACGCGTATCCTTCGTTTGATGGTCTAGGAAACCTAAATTGGCACGCTAAAGGCCAAAATGGAAGAGAATTTACATTACATGAAGAGTTTGAAAGAAAGTATTCGAATTTCTGTAGTCAAAGATTGGCTTCTCTTATTATGGGTAATTCATCTCGAGTAAACAGTAAAAGAATGTCGAATGCATTGATGGATGACAGTCCCAAAAATGTAAGATATTTTATAATATTTTAGTGTAGAATAAGTTTTTATACCAATACTCACGATATGATTATGATTTATCGAAGAAAAACGTTTAATTTTGGCTTTTATATATTGTTTTAGGTGCTTTTTTGCCGAAAATTAGCGAAAAAAGCACGGAATCTAATCTTTTACAAGGATTTTGGTAGAAATTAACACGGAAAGGGACTCAATAGATTGTTTTTTATAATTTTGTACTTTTAAAATTGAAATTTTGAATATGCAAAGGCGTAAAAAGAACCCCGCACAGTGCTGTATATAAACTTTGACTTTTTTTATAAAAAGTTTATTATAGTCAAACAAAGGTCTGATTTTGCATAAAAGGTGGCATGTATGAGCACGACTTTAAAAATCTTTTGATTTATAAGTCCTTGGTTATCTCACTGTGCAATTCATAGGTTATATTTTTGCACCGTGCAGTAATTTAAAAAATATTTATAGAAGTTTGTTGATTTAAAAAGCTTTTTTGCATTTTCATAACTAGCCACATTTTTGTAACCGTTGTATCTTCAGGTGTCAGAAGCGATTTGCTTGTGTTTGTCTTCATTTACTCCTTCGCCACTGCTTAAAGTTAATGTAAGTTAATATTCCTTATTCAATTCTTGATTTTTAGGTGTCAATTGGATTGATCATGCTTTATATATTTATTAAGAGCAGGTTTGAAGTCTAAATTTTAATTTTTAGCAAACAAAGTCGGAAGAAGAGCTTCTCAAGGAAATAGTGAATTATAATGATGAACAATCTAAGTTTTTGCCATCTAGACAAGGTTTAAAACGTGTTAACCTGCCACATTTGCATGATGTCTTTGAGAAAACTCAAAGATTTTGCACCTCTAACTTGTTACCTATTGTTGATCCGAAAAGGGCTGAGAAATGGAGTCCAGTAATAGAAGAAGAAAAGGCTCCAGAACCTGAACCAGAAGTGCTTGGCAAGAGGAAACGTGGCCGCAAGCCTAAAGGTTTGTTTAGACTTTAATATTTTTATTTTTAGGTAATAGTGATCAAAACGCGGTTTAAAATGTTGAGTTTTAGTATTTTATTTGATGAGAACAGTTTTGTTTTCTAGTTTTTAGGTTAAAAACAAATAAAGTTAAATGCTCTAAAATGATGTAAAGGTCATTAATTTCAGTCCAAGAAAAGGAATTCGTCGGTAATACGGATGTGGAAGAGATTGTACCATTAGTCAGCTCCAGAGGTCGAATTAGAAAACGAATTTCAAGCGATTCTTTGGATTATAACCCGGTAAGTTGGCTTTAAAAGGACTTAATTGTTTAGTTTAGATTGCTTAGGTGTTGTTGTTTTTAAATTAGAGGTCTACAGACTTTAAGACTAGTCTGAGATTACTATTATTTTGTATATTTTAGCCTTGCACGGTGCGAGGTTATGTTAAATTTAAAATTTTACATAACTAATTATAAAATATTGAACAAGAACGTATTTTAGGGCAAGTACGAAAGTTCAAAGATCAAAGAAAAGAAACCAAGAAAGCCATACACCCGAAAGGTGCCACTTAACAATAAAGTTACACAGGCAGTAACTGTTGATACCACGGATTCCGCTCAAAATATTGAAGAAAATGGAGCACCAGCTTCTAAAAAGATCAAATTGAGCTCGATTAACGAAAGTGTAAGTGGAAGTCGCTCGGGGACTTTAAATTCGTTCGTTATAGAGGAAGTTCGCTATGCAGGAGTTTTAAATGGACGATGTAGTGTCGGGCAAAGAAATTTAAAGTTGTTCGTTATAGAGAAGTTTTGCTATACAAAAGTTCCACTTTATGCTAAATTATTTTAGATGACTTCTCCATCCACTCTGTCACACGATTCCGGCTTCGCTTCGGCTTCGTCGCCAGATTCTTATGAAATGGCTAAAAGTTAAAAATGACATCTTTCTAACTATTTTACTATCATGATATTTCACTATGTATAATTTGTTGATTTTTGGTTGTTAAGACTTGATGTTTTAATTAATATTAAGTACTAATAAATTTTTCAAGTTTATGGGAATTTTTTGAATTTTTAAGGTTAAGAAAATTGAATTCTCTTGCGTTCCCGTCATAAGAAACAATATAGAAAGGATTTAGCTGCTTTTGCTCGAGGTGCATGCTGCTTTTGAGGCTATATTACTCGAGTATTAATTACTCTAATTTGGTTTAATTGGCTAAATCTATAGTAATATCATAAGTCCAATTTAATACAAACTTTAATATATCTTTAAGTGATAGCTAGTAAATTCAGTGGACAGGATAATTTTAATAGAGTATTAAAGGTTTTACTTTTCTTTGAACTTTTTTTAAGATTCGTATAACCCTCCACGCACAATTCGCGCGTTTGCGGGCGCAGTCGTTTACGTTAGAAACTCGTTTTTGCTTTTTATAAGTGGTTAGGCAGCTTAAAAAACTGTAAAAAAGGTTAGGCAATTAAACTAAATGTCAAAATAAGATACATATTTCAATCCAGGTTACAAAGTTATTCATCATATGCCATAGTTTTCAAGCCCAAAAAACCGACCGATTTTCTGAAAAAAACTAAAAATTGTATATAGGTAAACTCTTTTTCTCATAGTTTCGCAAAAAAACATTTTTTATTCAGTTTGGAACCCGATTCTTGACGCAATGCACGTTTTTTGTGAAAAAACCTTGTTCCACATATGCAAATTTCTCACTGTCTCACCTTTGGCTCGGCCGAATTCCGCGGATATGGTCACTCGACATTTTGGTCAACACGATGAGTGGTCGCTTTAAACTTTTGCTCGTCGTCCTGTTCATTGGATTACAGACAAGTCATGGCAACTGGTTTTCTGACTTGACAGAAGAAGCTGGTGATTTTTTCAAAGACAAATATGAAAAGGCGAAAGATGTAGTTGTGGATGTGGCTGACTCCATTAATCCTTCTGGTTGTAAGTTTTTAATTTAGTTTTTTTTTTATTTTTAGGAAATGGGGCGGTTTGGTTTTTTAAATTTTTCTTGTTTTTAGCATCTACCTGCCCGGAATTGGGTGGGCATTTCGTTAAATTTATAACAGATAGAGATCCCGACCCTGCACCGGAATACAAAAGTCCGTGTCAAGAAGGAGAGGAGTGCGTGATTGTCGATGTAAACAACTTTACTATGTTTATGGAAGGATACAATGTAAGTTTTTTGTTTTGGACTAGATGGTAAGACAGGATAGGGACGGCAAAAGTAATAAAGGGAAGGGCGGGCGAGATGGCATTCAAGTTTTTATCTTTTACGTTTATAGGACCGATTCCGCAACCACGATTACATGAACATCAGATCATGTAAGTTTTTATAAAAGATTTTGTAAATTTTTGCTTTTTAAGAGGAAAGTCGGCTTTTGTAGGGTGACAAATAGTTTTTGAATATGAATATTTTCTTTTGAATATGTTCAACTACGTAATTTGGCATATAAACTGGGAATTCTCGGTTATGCAAATTTATGTTATTTTAAAAATTAGGTTCACTGGCGGTTTTCATGGTTTGTATGTTTTATGTTATCACCTACGTACGATGTTAATTTCTGCTTTCCAGATAAGAATAAGGATGGCGGCTGGGACCTTGGCCCTCAAATGAAAGGAGACATCAAACACAGGTATGGTAATATAACATTTGAAAAATAGTATACTGCCGTCCCTTATCGAACTTTTTTATTAAGTTCTTTTGGAAGCGTTGTTGAGATTGCTAAGTTGAAACTCTGTTCTTATAGCTTTTTTATATCATTAACGTTTTAGGCGTCTGGATCCTCCATATCGCACTATGGCGCAGCATCCAGTAGTGATATTCGGGGAGTACAAGTATGTGTGCCAAATCTTTACGGATCACATTGAGTTTTACGGCATGGAGTAAGTTTGGGCTTGGTTTTTCGAAAATTATTATATGGTGTTAAGTATGTAAGGTGTAGTATACTTTACATTATAGTTTATCTTATGTATAACATTAGACATGAGAAACGGGCTGGGCCTGAATTTTTGGTTTGGTCCGATCTAAATTTTGCTCAAAGCCGACCCGTTTTTCATGTCTATATAACGTACAGTATCTTAGGTTTTGCGAACAATTGTAAGCTTTATTATACAATAATTTCTGTTTAGGGAGCCAATGGTTGTTAGAAAAAACGGCGAGTACAGTTGGCGAATTCACATCACGTTCGAGAAAAAGTTGACGCCAGAAGAGGTGAAAGGCACCTTTGTATACAATGGCTACATCTTCATTGGCAAGGACAGAGTTTTTGACATTAAAGAAATGTTACGTGATGAAGTTTTAGATAGTGTCAAGATCAAGGGGGAGGACAGGTAGGTTTTGTTTTTTAACCGTTTTGAAAGATTGGGGAGCAGTCTTGACCTATTGTATGTTTGGAAGCGTGCTTATGTAATAAGCGTGCGTTTTGGGTATGGTTGACAAAAAATGTCAAACCTTGCCGAGAAGTGTTATAGCTCAAAGTTTTTTATTGCAAAATTGTGACTGCAAAATGTTTTTCAAAGTCGAGCATCTTTTGATTCTCTGTAAAGTGCGATTTTATGTTGAAGACGTTATATTTGTATAATCTGTTTCACAAAGTTTGAAGACAATCATAGCGAGACAGGGTAGGCCGCTTCCCAATACCACCCAATCCTGTTTATGATTATGATAATGATGTATGTTAAATGTGTAAATGACGTTTTTTATGTTTAAAATTTTATAAATAATGTTTTTCAGACCTGGCAGAGCTACCAAGCGTTTCAACGAAGAGAAGACTTTTAACGGTATTGATGCCGGTAAAATATCCGGGGATCTTGTCAAGGGGATTGAAGAATATTGTTTCGTAAGTACTGTTTTTGGATTGTTTTTATTTTTGAGCTTTTTTATTGTTTAGAGCTTTTTTTATTTACAGTGGGACTCCTATGTAACGAGTTTCTCTCGTATCTGAAAGTTGTTTGTTATAAAGGTTTGTTATACAGGAGATTGCATTGTGTAGTGTTGGGCAAAAATTCAAAAGTAATTCAAAATTCAAAAGTTGTTTGTCGCACAGGAGTTTTACTGTATTCGGATTTCTTCGCGGCTTGAAAAACATGCCTACCTAAACCTTTAAGAATGAATGATTTTCATAATGCAGATGTTTTCTTTAGAATAGAGGAGAAGGCAAGTCTTGTACTATTGATGTGATGGGCGGCTACATTACTCCGGTCGATTATACTGGTGTGATCTTTACCATTAAAAATTTGGTTGTTCAAGCCAGATGGGTCAAGTAAGTGGGCGTTGAATAGGTTTGAAAATATTTGATCAACACATGTTTAACTTGATCAAGTCATGTCTAACTTGATCAACTCATGTTTAACTTGATCAACTCTTTTTTAACTTGATCAACGCATGTTTAATTGTCTTTTTCAGACAATATTGTGACTACTTGCCCGAGTATTTCATTCGTCATGTGCATTTTAAGCAGAAGTAAGTTTTGACGGGTATACAAAATTTTTGGTTCTATGCAAGTGAGTGGTTTAGATGAAACTGAATTATTTATCAGCGTTTTCTGCTGCTCAAGTCTTGTGTGTTTTGCTTGGACTTTTAATTTTTAAAGTTTAAGAAACCGATTTTTTAAATAATTTTTATATTATTCATTTTATTTTCAGCACGGTGCTTCAGTTTGGTAAAGTGGCACTTTTGGAGACACACAAAAAGATATTGAAGTGGACAAAGTACGTTGTTTGAGCGGGAAACGGTCGTATCGGGCGGGTTATTTTCTATATGGGGAATTGAATCTTTTAAGGCAAATTTGTTTTTGGTATTTTTGAAAAATTTTCTCAATTTTTCACCAACGGGTATTCTATGCAATTGGTTTTGGCTCTGGGGTGGGGGTGGATCCAGCTTTGCCTTTCGGTTCAAAGAGTGTTTTTTAAAAAAAAATTGGTCTGATTAAAGTTTCTTTTTTGTTGTTTGATAAGTTATTGTAACCCAATTTAGAATATGTATAACACATTTTGGCGGCCCGAAGTATTTTATAAGTTAAATCATAACATTTTTATGTTAATATTTTTACAGACAGGACGGTTTATTAAGTAAAGACTACATCTTTCGTCGCAACATGCTCATGCCCGTGGTTCAGCCAGACGATCCTATTCATACGTTTGCCAATAAATTTACGACCACTCTGCCGGGTGCCACCACTCTAAATTTTGAAAACTTTACCATGAAACCGATTCGTGCTATCACAAGAAACCCGAATTACACGGATAACGAGATTGTAGAATATGCGATTGAGGAGGAAGAGTCTACGACCATGGACCCAGACTATGTGCTTTATGACCTGACTGAAGACCCTCTCGATGCTGCATACGGCTTGATGGTGCCATTGGCCAGCATTTGGTTGGGATTCATGCTGCTCTGGGGTTGAGACGGTGTCGATTGGTTTCTTTATGAAGCGGGCTTGCTCGACTTATATCTACTTGGTAGCAAATAAATACTATTTTGTAAAACTTTGTGGTAAATTTGAAAGGTTTTTAATTTTTACCTTTGAAAAGAATTGAATAGGGCCTATAAAGTCAATATGGTTGAAAAACAGGCCAGCTTGGGCCCACTTTTGCGGCCCATCCCCGGTTCCCAATGTTTAGCTTCGGCTTGTTTGTTTTCAGGCGGGCCAGATCAAAAAATTCCAGGCTTGGCCCGTTTTAACGTGTTATTTTTGAACCGCTCCTGCTTTTCAAAACCGCTCCGTTTCAGATTTATTGTTCAAGCCTGTTTTAACTTTAGCTCAATGCTGGACCGGCACGGTCAGTTCGTAGATTCGGGTCTAAACAGCTCGTTTGTCACCCTTAAAGTTCACTCATGATAAGACGTTTCACTCTTCCCCTTCTCTGCCTTCCTCAACCTATGAAAACAGTCGGACCTTAAAAATTTACTCCATTTGTAATTTTTTTAACTCAACCCTTTTCTTTACACCAAAGATAAGTCTTCGGCCACGAGTACAAGACATTGTACTACTTTAAACAATGTGCGACAAATTCTGATCAATCACGTTTAAATTTTAACTATTTTTTTGTATGAGAATATAGATATACGACATGACTTATAAGGTTAACATGCCTGTGTTTGTTTAGATTTATCTCTTTTGAAGAATGAATCAGCTAAAAAAAACGGTCCAAAAAATAGTTTTGGTTTGTTTTGCTGGTTTTTTCGTATTTAAAAAATTTTTTTGACTCTAAGATAGTTTTCATAGTAATAAAATGACCTATGGTTTAAAATGTTAAATAAGCTAGGGCTAGAGCCAGGGTCACAGCTATGGCTAAGGTTAGAGCTAAGGCTAGCGTTAGAGCTAGGGCTAGAGCTAGAGCTAGAACTAGGGCTAGTTCTAGAGCTAGAGCTAAGGCTAGAGCTGAAGCTAGAGCTAGAAATTTAACTTAAACTTGAGTTTGAGCCATGACTTGAGCTTGAGTTAGGGCTGGAGGTAAGGACAAAGCTAAGGCTAAGGTTTGAGCTAAGGCTAGCGTTTGAGCTAGGGATACAGCTAGACCTAGAACTTGAGCTTGGGCTTGGGCTTGAAATTGAGCTTAAACTAGGTCTAGAGCTAAAGCTTGAGCTTTAACATGAGTTTGAAATTTAACTTGAGATTGAGTTTGAGCTTATGCTTGAGCTACATCTATAGCTAAGGTTAGGTCAAAGGCTAGGGCAATCTTTACATTTTAAACCTGTTATTTTTTACAAAGTAACCTTTAAAACCAACTTTTACAATGTAAGGTTTAAACCCCGTTATTTTTAGCTCAAATTAATCTCACGTACACGAATCTAACGTTAATGTATGTAATGTTAATGTAATGTAGCGTGACAGCAATCGTGAAACATTAGAGAGTCAATGTTTAATGCATGCAGAAGGGTAAAACCTCACGGCCGAGCGGATTTGGCGCTTGTTTGAGTTAGACCAAATCCGTTTAATATTAAAGCACGTTAGCTTAAGGCCAGCACGAGGTATTATACGCGGTTGTGTGTTGTTTGATAGGGGTAAGGTTAGGGATAGAGCTGAGGCTGGAGGTGAGGCTAAAGCTGAAACTAGAACGACGGCTAGGGATAGGGCTGAGGTTGAAGCTGAAGGTAGAGCTGAAGCTAGAGATGTGGCTAAAGCATGCTGAAGTTAGAACTGAGGCTAAGGTCAGTGCTACGGCTAGAACTAGGGTTAACTCCAGAGCTAAAGCTAAGGCTAAGAATAGGGTCAGAATTAGAGTTAAGGTCTGAGCTAAAGCTAAGTCTAGGACTGAGGCTAGAGCTGAGAATAGGGTCAGTGCTACGGCTAGGACTAGGGTTAAACCCAGAGCTAAAGCTAAGGCTAGGCCTAAAGATAAGGTCAGAGCTTGAGTTAGATTCAGGGCTAATGCTAGGGCTAAGGCTAAAACAAAGGCTAGGTTACGGCTACGGTAAATCAGTACAAGAATGTATTTTAAGCCTGCGTTTTTTGTCACTTTACTCATGGACTGGCCCGGTTTAGCCCGATCAAAAACTTTTTAGACCCAGACCTGCTCTTCAAGCTTAGCCCGAATCGTTTCTCATATCTAATGGAAGGGGGAAGGGGATAAAAAAAAAGTTATTTGACTCAACTCTACTCGGCCATGTTCTGTTTCAAACGACCATCGTACTATAATTGTTCCGTTGCAAAAGAGAAGTAATTATCTGAGCAGTAGTCACTTTGTTCTATTTATAGCTAACAACATGACTTGTCTGCATGGCTTTGATGTCATTTTGCTTTTTAGGTTTGAGTTTTGTTTGTGGTTGAAATGCTGGAGTTAGGGTAAGGTTAAAGGTGGGGTATAGTAGAGAAATATTTGGATTAGGATAGCATCGAGTTTTAAAGTACAGTAGGTTGTACTGTATGAAAGAGAAGATTTTTATGTTTATTTAGAGCAGCGAAGATATTGAAGTGAGTTAAGGTAGTTTTCAAAAGATTTGTTACGTTAGGGTAGAGTAGAGTAGCGTAGGGTAGGGTAGGGTAGGGCAGGGCAGGGTAGGGTAGGGTAGGGTAGGGTAGGGTAGGGTAGGGTAGGGTAGGGTAGGGTAGGGTAGGGTAGGGTAGGGTAGGGTAGGGTAGGGTAGGGTAAATTAGGGTAGGGTAGGGTAGGGCAGGGTAGGGTAGGATAAGGTAGAGCTTTCCGTTCTATTGCCAGTTGCTTACCCCCCCCTATTTCTATTTATGTCGCATATCCTTTTTGTGTTTTTTTTTGTCCAACCGGCTGTCACATGGAACTTTGGACCGTTGCATTTCTCATTTTTAATACTGGGCCGGAAGACTGACAACGTTGTCCTATTTTCTTATTCTCTTGGGAACACAACCGGAAAATTGGTCTACCCACAGCGAAAAAAACGAAAATAGTGTAAAACTTTTCATTTTTCGAAAAAACAATCCTCCCCCCCCTTCCTATCGTTTTCGCTCTTGCCTCGTTTATAACATAAGTCACATGTGCAGCCATTTACTTCGTATTTCCGACCATAAATGGGATATACATAAAATTTTGGGGTCATAATAGGGGTCACATTTTGAGGTAGGGTTGTTATGGGGTATGATATGTTGGAGATTTGTCATTTTTGTATGCATGATAAAGTAATGATGAAAAATAATTTGGTTATATAGAGGTGATTTTCTTCTGGTTCTTCTTATCATGCTTCTAAACAAAGTTTTGGAATACTTTTAGTATAATAGTAGGGTTGGCAGAAGAAAGCTAGATTGGGCACGGGGGCTATGAAAGGTTACAAACTACCCATTTCGCGACTTAAAAACAAATGATACCATATAGGATAAGACTAAAGCAAAGGTAGGATAAGGTAAGAAATGGGTTAAAAAATGTCAGTTACAAGTTACGATAAATTGATTCTGAGTGAGGCAGGTTGGGTCTTTCTTTGATATTCACCTACTATAAGCCCTAATATACACTTTTATAACGGCTCTTTACTGCAACCGTCACTTAGCGTAGTCTTGTCCTGTAGTGTGGAAGACCGTACATTGGGGCAGGTTGATCTAGGCCTCTGGACTAGGGCTTTAGGCTAGGGCTATGGGCTTGGGCTCTGGACTAGGGCTTTAGGCTAGGGCTTTGGGCTTGGGCTCTGGGGCAGGGCTCTGGGCTAGGGCTCTGAGCTAGGACTCTGGGTTAGGGCTCTGGGCTAGGGCTCTGAAATAGGGCTCTTGGCTAGAGGGCTCTGGGCTAGGGCTCTGGGCTAGGGCTCCGGGCTAGGGTTTTGAGCTAGGGTTCTGGGCTAGGGCTTTACGGTAGGGCTTTAGGCTAGGGCTTTGGGATTGGGCTCTGGACTAGGGCTTTAGGCTAGGGCTATGGGCTTGGGCTCTGGACTAGGGCTTTAGGCTAGGGCTTTGGGCTTGGGCTTGGGCTCTGGGGCAGGGCTCTGGGCTAGGGCTCTGAGCTAGGACTCTGGGTTAGGGCTCGGGCTAGCCTTTGTTAGTAGAGTCAACAAAATCAAGTATTTTCAAATCTTTGTACACCCTTGCATTTCTGTTGGTTCAAGGTGCCGTGCCTTGTCCTATTATGAAATTTACCGTCATTTTTCAATCTTGTTTTCTACTAATTTCACTCTTTTAAACTCTATTATAAAAAAGGTATGAGTATAAGAAATAAAGTCTCAAGATCTTTAGTAAAGTACTCAACTACGTATTATGTATTATATATAGTATTATTTCTTATAGTATTATGCACTCTAGTATTATTATCGTACATTTTAATAACTTTTTAAAAAATTTTATCTTCTTTTCATATTCTTCACATTTTCGATTAAAGATATTGAAGATAACGGATTATGTTTATTTTTAAACTTGAAAATACCATCTTATTCTTCACTTTCATGGCATATATGCTTTGGCGCAATAAGGCGTTATTTCAAAATTTTTGTAAAAATTTGGTTTATAGGCTTTTTAGTTTTATTTTTAGGCTTATATTTAACCTTTTTTTGATAGTTCTTGCCAATTGATGTTTTGTAAAGAAAGTTCTTTCCATTTTATGTTTTGTAATGAAAGTTCTTGCCGTTTCGATTCCCATCAACTTCCAAGCCAAAAACCCTTAATTATTCAAACGGCAACAACTTGAACAAGAAAACAACCTTCTTTCGCTTCTATTTCAATTTGTGTCCTCAAGGTCGTCAACTTGCGCTGTCGCTTTTTTTGTTTTTAATCTGGAAATTGGAAAAAACACCGAAATTCGCCTCAATTTTTACTGTTTCACACGAATCGGAAGCTACTTTTTGAAATGAAAAAAGTTGTTTTTGAAACGATTGGCTTACAAAACATTTGTTGGGGACGCTTAAAAAGGCTACAAAAGAGGCAGGGTAGGGCTTGGGTATAGGAATAGCAGAGGAGGTTTAGAGCTACGTTTGAGCGAAAACTTTCTCAATATTGCTGATATAGTTAAGATAAAGATATTTTATCAATAACAGAGCTAGGTTGCGGTTAGGAACTATTAGAACAGTTAGAAGTTCTAACTTAGAATGTACTTGGGTTACTGTGATAATCAGGGCCAGGCGCTGGGAGGGGGGGGAGACGGAGGAGGGACAATCCCCCTCCCCCAAAAAAATTTAGAAAAATGTTGAACGTGGTCCCTCCTGTAGATTTTTGAAGAAAATTTTTCGCGAAAAATTGGCACAGGAGCACACCGATTTGTTCGACCCCCGCTCCCAGACCAAAAGTCCCCGCCCGGCACTGGTGACAACAGTAAAAAAGCTATTGTTACAGTAGCTTATGTAAATAGTTAGACTCTGGGTTAGGGCTCTGGGCTAGGGCTTTAGGCTAGGGCTCTGAGCTAGGGCTCTGAGCTAGGGCTCTGAGCTAGGGCTCTGAGCTAGGGCTCTGGGCTAGGGTTCTGAGCTAGGGTTCTGGACTGGGGCTCTGGGCTAGGGCTCTGGGCTAGGGCTCTGGGCTAGGGCTCTGGGCTAGGGCTCTGGGCTAGGGCTCTGGGCTAGGGCTCTGAGCTAGGGCTCTGGACTAGGGCTAGGGCTCTGGGCTAGGGCTGAGTTTAGGGCTAGCTTTATAATAGTGTTTGTTTGCTAAAGTAGTTTATATTCACATTGTCAATTGAAGGACAACAAACGTGAATCATTGTTAAACAACTTGTATTATATTTTGATACTGTCTAATCTGTTTACGCGGCCATTGTTTAGGGTCAAAAACGCATTGTAAAAACGATCATTTTTGGGGAGAATTTTTGGTCGGTTACTGTAAAGTCACGTTTTTTACACTAGTGTAACATATATTTTAAAAAATTTCAAATTTTTTGCAATTTTTATTTAAAATACGATTGTAACGTTGCCACAAAGCAGTATACTATATATTATACTTCGTGTCATATCTTATCAAACTTCAATTTTAAAAATTCAATTTTGTGTTCGAACTTTGATGTTCCAGATTCGCGATAACAATGGCGTTGACACAGTTGGCCCTCACACTGTTCGGCACAATGGCGTCGATTTTCGCTGCAGAATTGCCCAAGGATGTGAAAGAAATAACGACCACCGAAGTGAGTAAACACAAAGTTCGGTTGTCGTAAATAATGGCAAAGGCATTAGAAAAGTACAGTACTTTAGCTTGGCCTTAGTATATTCTACCGTACCGAAAAATTATACTCCACCCTACCCTATCCTACTTTTTATACTGTGTTAAAAACTGTGTTTGTGTTATATAATATTGTCATATAAGTATAAAAAATTTTATAGGATGGAGCCAAGTGGTGTCCAGTACCATTAGCTGGTACCCAATGCCCAGCTTCGTCCTTTTTTCATTACTACACTTGTTGTGGAGACTTGTTGAAGGAATGCTGCTTCAACTTTCAGGTAAGTCATCTTTAAAAAAACAATACTATTTATAAATTTTACAATAGTACTATATTATCATATGTAGTACTATAATTACGAAAAAATATATATTTGTAGCGCACAATGATACTGTATTAGTATACATGATGCTATAATTGCATACAAAAGAAATTTTTATTTAACTTAAAATGGTGCTATACTAGCATATGTAGTACTATAATAGCCAAAAAAGTACTATAATTATAGTACTGTGTTATGGCTTATAATGTAGTACTAACTTTATAATGTGTCAACTTTTTCAGACCTGGGTCCTGGTTGTCCTAGTTGGAATCGGAGTTCTCGTGGCCGCTTCCATTGTCCTGTCGATCATTCGCTGTTTGTTCTGCCGTCGCAACTAACCTCACCTCTCTCGTATCTTCAACCATCTCCAGCCGTTTTATCACTTCCGATTAGCATTTTGTACCATAATTAGCTAGAGCTGTTTTGTATGTTCGTTTTTGGTTATATGCTTTAATGAAATATATAAGTATTGTAATTTTGATTTAGGTCTTGTTACTTTAAGACTTTTGTAACATGTAGCTGTAGTAGACAAGCGGCATTTTTAAAAGAAACAGAAAAACAGAAAAAATGATACAGTAAGGTATGGTAAAAACAGTATATTTATAAGATTAAGGTATACCTAAAGTAGTTTATGGTTGCTAAAAGATGAGTAGAATAAGGCAAAGCACAATAGGATAACACCTTTTTTTTAAAGAATTAAGATTACAAAAGTTACCGTTAGGCAAGCAAAGGGTCAGCTATGATAGCAAGGAAAGTACCCAACCTGTCCGGTTCACAATAAAAGTGCCCAACCTAACCCACCGAAAACAAACTCATAATTTTTATATAAATCCTTGGTACCTCCAATGGTACCAATAAAAAAATTTAACTCGTGCTTCTGAGTTTTAAATTTTAAATATTTGAAGTTCCCGCCAATTTGCCAAGCTTGGCATAGTGTTTCAAGCACTTTTTTTGATGTTCCAGATAAGATAGGCTTACAAATTCAAAAATGTAGATTTATTTAAAGGTATTCTACTAGTATATCAAAAAAAATAAATAAAAGTCAAAAAATGACAAAGTTATAAGCTTGAAACACAATGCCAATTTGGCGGGAAATTCAAAAAGCAATGTTTTGCGCTAATTTTCTTAACATTTCCTGGAAAGCGCGATTTAGTGCTTTGCTGAAAATCTTAATTAACGTTATCCTTTTATGGAAAAAGTTTGAAGTTGATCAGAGCTAGGCAGATCCTTTACTTTCTTTGTAAGGCTGAAATAAGAAACGGCTAAGGCAGTTCGTAAGGCTAGGCCAAACCTAACAAGCTAAAAATTATTTTATAACAGAGCAGGGTAGAAATTAATATAAATTTTGTTTTTAAATTTATAATGAAAACAACCATTTCATTATATTCAAATGTTTGTTACTATAAAAGAAAGATCACCTCGCTTTTAAAGGATTAAAAATCACCACTCTGACCCTTTCTGTTATCTTCAAAAGTTCCAGTGTGATTCATTTATAAAAAGTCAAATACCAAAAACAAAGAGCAACTACTGACTACAATATTGTTTATTGTTGTTTCGTTATATCAAACAAATTGTCTTGTATCTTTTACTTTACCATAGCATATATTAAGCATTTGAAAAGTAAATAAGTGGAACTCCTGTATACCAAACTCCTCTATAACAAAACTCTCGTATAACGAACAACTTTTAAATCTCCAGCCAACAGTACACAGTGCATTTAAAACTCCTGTATAACAAAACTCCTTTATAACGCGATTCGTTATACAGGAGTTCCGCTGTATCAACAGCAAGATTTACATGTAATTTTTACAATTTTTTGCAAATTTTACTACAGAATTCAAGACTTATTTAAGATGCATGCTTTGCACTTACTACAACCCCCAAAGGTCATTTGAGTGTTTTCAAATTCAGTTTTTTAAAAAACAAACAATATATTGTATTATAATATGTGCAAGCGGAGTAAATTATCAATAATAATAATAGCCAAAAAAGAAGAACAGGCAAAAGCAAGACACAACAAAAAACAAAGCATGACAATTAGCCAAGCATAGTAAAGAATATAGCATAACAAAGAACAGAGTATTGGTAAAAGTTGGTAGGTAGGGTAAAGTAGGGTAGGGTTGGGTAAGGCCTAAAAAACATTTTAACTTGCGCTTTTGAGTTTTAAGTTTGAATTATTTTAGTTTCCCGACATATTGGCAAATTTGGCATTGTGTTTCAAGCACTTTTTTCGACTTTCCAGCCAAGCTACACTTACAACTTTAAAGTACTGTATCTTTGAAGTACTGTATCTTTAAAGTACTGTATCTTTGAAGTACTGTATTTTTAAATAATGTATCTTTTAAGTACTATACCTTTTGATTATTGTAATTTTTATTTACTGTATCTCCAATAATCTCCATTTCTCATAAAACAGTATTTTATGAAAAGACCACCTCCAATAATAACACAATTTACTACAACACGCTCCAATCGTATGATAATCTTTGCTCATTCAAATCGCTATAAAACTCGGTGGAAAAACATTTGAATTGTTTACAAAAAGGGCGGATTTCCACATTGGCGGGTGTTGTTGTTTACGATTTCCATTTCGTTTATAAGCCCTGACTCACAATGTTTCTAACCATTACTTGGCAGGGGAGGGGGCTGGGGGGATGGGTATAAATGGGCCGGAAAGAAGGCAGTGGCCGACAGACTCGGGCGCGCTTCGATTGATTTATAGGTATTTTTGAAATTGGCATGGGGAGGGGGGTATGGCAGTTTTTCGAAATTAACATGGGAAGAGGAGCAAAGTATCATACATTTTTTGAAATTGGAATGGAGAAAGACAAAAAGGTATGACACTTTTTGGTCCTCGATAAAAGGTGAAGGGGGGGGGGAGAGTGAAGGGGCATGGTATATATGATTTTTGAACTTTGAAGTGAAGCAGGTGAGAAGAGAGAGGGTAGAGAGTGGGGTAAATATTTTTTTTCGAAATTTGTTTACAAAGAGAAAAGAAAGTCAATGTTGGAACTGAATTTTTAAATTGGCATGTGAAGGGCGGGGTAAATTCAGTTAAAAAATTAGTGTAAAGAGCAGGGTAAAAACTGTTTTTGAAATCTTTTATAAGTGAAAGGTAAATTATGTATTTGAAAATGGCGTGGCAGAACTTGACGTGTGTAGGCGGGGTAAATTTTATTTTTTTTAATTGGAATGAAAGGAAGGGTAAAAACAATGGGCGTGGGAATTTTTGACTAAAATATGATTTTTAGATAAACTAGATGCCTTAAAAGTGCCTTTTCTATGATATTTTTGTTTTAAAAATGGCTTCTCTACAAACTTTTTGATTAAAAAATTACATTTCTATGAGCTTTTTGACCAAGAAGTGGCATTGCTATATACTTTCTGACCTAAAAATTTGATTTTTTTAAAGTTTCTAATCTAAAACTGGCATTTTTGTAAACTTTTGACTGCATAATGGCTTTTCTATTGACTTTTTGACCAAAAAATGACGTTTCTATGAACTCACTTCTATAAACTTTTAGACCAAAGGATGCCTTGCCTGTGGATTTTCTATCTAAAACGAGGTTTCTGTAAACTTTTTAACTAAAAAATGACCTTTCTACAAACTTTTTGACCAAAACCCATAAGTTTATATTTGAAATTTCAAAAACCAAGCCTAATTATAGTTTCCCCAATTTGCTCACTTCGCGAGGTGCTGGTGATGTTTGGTCCCTTCGCTGCGGAAGCCGAATTATTCAAGTTGTTTTCATTTTTTTCGAAATACTTTTGTCGTTCCACAAAAACAGCTCATATTTTTCTGGGGAATTGTCGTATGTTGACGAGGGGGATTGTTTGCAAAAGACCAGATTATGGTTAATATTGGCTTTTGGGGGTCGACTTCGGGCGGTTGGTTTTAAATTGTTAGTTTAAAAGGTATTACAAGGCTAGGTTTAAGTGTTTTGTAGAGCCTTGGATGATGATATGTTAGGGGTAAGTCTAAAGGCTAAGGCTAAAGCTAAGACTAAGGCTAAGACTAAGGCTAAGGCTAAGGCTAAGGCTAATTCTAAGGCTAATTCTAAGGCTAAGGCTAAGGCTAAGGCTAAGACTAAGGCCAAGGCTAAGGCTAAGGCTCAGGCTCAGGCTAATGTAGGTCTTTCGTAAATTAATAATCGTGCTACATTGTATCGCGATTACTGTAACTTATAAAAATTTTAAAAAAATGTAAAAAGACTTTTTGTTTTCAGTAAATTATTCGCGTTTAATAAAAAATGTCACAACTTGCTCCAATCACTTTGGCCATCTTGCTTCCCATCATCTTCAGTGCCACCGTACCTCCACAGCTTCGAAGCGACGAAGACAAAGATGTAAGTGTAAAATTTGAAACGAGAAAAGTTTTAAAAGTGTGTATTACAGTATTTTCTCACAGTATCTTTCTTATTTAAAATATACTTTTTAATTTTTGCTTTTAAAAAATCAATAGTTGAGTTTCGTCATCAAAATCAATAGTTGAGTTTTGTCAAAAAGGTATATTTTGTGAGATTTCGTCAATTATTGATTTTTTTTAATTTTTAAAATTATGTTTTTAAATCGATATTGATATTGCAAAAGATTTGTTAGAAAAAAATCAATAATAGTGAAACGTAACGTTTTTAGGACGGTAATGTTTGGTGTCCAGCTCCAGTGGTAGGCCAAAAGTGTCCCAGTGGCTCTATCTTCCATTACTACTACTGTTGTGGTACAGCCAGCAAGGATTGTTGCTCTGGATTGGAGGTATGGTTACCTAAACTTTAAAATTTAAAAAAAAATTAATTTTAAAAAAAAATTTCAAATTTTTTAAAAAAATTTCAAATTTTTTAAAAAAATTTCAAAATTAAAAAAAAACTAAATTTCAAAATTTCAGACCTGGTTCGTCGTGGTCCTCGTGTTCCTCGGACTGTTGGTCCTGTCAGCCATCGTTGTTGGTCTTATGCGTTTCATCAAGGGAAGACGTTGAATCAGCAATGATGCTCAATGATATTGTCAATCAATATTGTACATACTGACTCATGATATCAATCTCAATCCTTTATATTTGCCAATGTACTATACTGTATAATCGACTTGTATTGTTGTGTATTGTAAACTGATATTTACAGTTTAATCGAGTATTAAAGTTTTTATTGTGTTTTACTTTGGTATTTTGGTTTAAGATATTAAAGTTAACTGCCCTAGTCCAAAATTGTAGCTATAACCGTAGCTCTAGCCGTAGTTCTAGCTCAAAGCGTAGTTCAGAGCCCCAGCCCAGAGCTCTAGCTCAGAGCCCTAGACCAGAGCCCTAGCCCAGAGCCCTAGACCAGAGCTCTAGCCTAGAGCCCTAGCCCAGAGCCCTATCACACAGCCCTAGCCCAGAGCCTTAGCCCAGAGCCCTAGAACAGAGCCCTAGCCTAGAGCCCTAGCCCAGAGCCCTAGCACACAGCCCAGAGCCCTGGCTCAGAGCCCTAGCCCACAATCCTATCCTCAATCCTAGCTATAAAAGATCTCTGTAGTTTCAAAACAAGCAAATTAGCTGTCTACGCAATCCGCCATCTACGTTGTTAAAGGTAGCAAGTCATACGATGTTAATGGTACTCCAGGGAGGGTTCGGGACCAATTCTTTCAACCCACTTATATAAACAATAACTTCAGGGTTTTAATGTTGATAAAGGGCTGGATGTTAAGGGTTTGACGCAGTTTTTATTATGTTTTCTTAATTAAATTGGTAGATCAGTTACTTTTTGGTCAAAAAGTACATAGAAAAGCCATTTTTAAGTCAAAAAGTTTGCAGAAAACTATTTGTAGGTAAACAAATTGATGTAAAATTTATTTTTTGGTCAGGAAGTTTACAGAATCATCGTTTTTTAGATCAACAAGTTTATAGAAGATCAGTTTTTACGCAACATCTACTACAGTAAAGTTTTGTAACAGAACTTTTGGTGCACCTTCTATAATATGCTTGTTATTTAACTTAACGTTTATTCCGACGCTTTAAGTAATAAAAATAAAAAACTTAAGGGTTAACCCTCAAAATTACTCCGTACTTTGGTTACAATTATCAAAGTTGATTAGGTTTGGATATAAATTTCATCGTTACTATATATTAGTATCTACTACGTAGTAAAAGCTTGAGGTAATTTCGTGTAACAGCTTTTATGTTTTATTATATATACTAGATGTTTTTGTTATATTATACTTGGCAGTCAGAGCTTATAGTAGTTTTTTAGATTTTAGAACTTTTTATCACTTTAGTTAATCCTGAACCGTTTTTTTAAATATAAAGTACCTACCTGCCTTACTGAAATCAACTCAAAATTTTTATATGAATTTCTTGTATCACCAATAGTACAAATAAAAAATTTTAGCTTGGTCTTTTGAGTTTTAAAATTTAATTATTTTAGTTTCCCGTCAATTTAGCAAACTTGGAATTGTGTTTCAAACACTTTTTTTCAACTCTTCAGACAAGCTAAGCTCATAAATGTAAAAAAGTAGATCCATTGAAAGGTTTTTTACTAGTATATCAAAAAAAATGAATAAAAGTTAAAATATGACAAAGTTAAACGCTTGAAACACAACGCCAATTTGGCGGGAAATTAAAAACGTAGTTTTTTGTTTTAATTTTTTGAGATTGATTGTAAATTAGGATTTAGTACTATGCTGTAGACCTTATGGTTACATGATCTTTCTGTATAAAAAGTTTAAAGCTAATCAGAGCAAGACAGGTCGGGGACTTTAGTTGTTTGTTTATTATCTTGATTTACAAAGTGTAAAGCTTTATAGTATCATCTTTCACCATACTTTATTACATTTTTTACACAGTAATCAGTCAGTTCATTAAAATTAGATACTATACTATAACTTTATTTATAACTTTCAGGCCTATCTACCCAAAATAATCATGCTCCAAATACAACAAGTATACAGAGTAAGCGATACATTGGGTTCATTTCTTGGTATCATAATCAACTCGCTTGTTATATACATCATTAAACAGACATACACACAAAAGATTGCTGCTTACTCAAGAATGTTGGTTGTATCAGCCGTCTACAGTATTTTGTATGGTATAGTCGAGTTTGTTACTCAACATGTAAGTTTTTTACTGTATATTTGGGGACTATTGGACAGTAGAGATAGAATAGACTATATTGTAGTAAGTTAACCTAAGGCGAGGTTACGTTAAGATATATTATGATTAAAGCTAAAGTCTAAGAGCAAAAACATAAAAAAATTGATGACAAAACTTAATGTAACCTCTACTCCCTTTTTAGCAACTGTACATGACAAACGGTATATTGTTATGCATACCAAAGGGCCTTGAATGGTACGTCAGTCATGATTTATTTGCGTTGTTTCTGTTTCCTCATGTTTCACTCAGCTGTATAGGCTTATACATACTGCCATGCACATATCAGTACGAGTATACTTTGTTATCAACGTAAGTTTAAAAGTTTTTTTTTAAATTGTTTTTGAAATTTTTGATTGTACGGTAAAATACGGTATAATAAACAAAACTTCAAAAAAATTTTTTTTTGGTTTTAACAGTACTGTAGATTACGGTAATTTATGTCAAAGCTACAAACTTTCAGACCTCGAGCAGTCTCCCTTCGCTCATTATTAAAAAATGTTGCTGTAGCTTGTGCCGCAGCTTTCGTAGCTGGATTCTTATCAATATGGGCAGCATGGTCAGCTAAAAGACGACCCATTGAACATTACAAGTTTATGTTATCTGACCAGTGGCTAACAGAAGGAAATGAGACTTACGTTCTGCCTATAGATGTGGTAAGCAAAAATTAGATTAGCCTTACCTTTTGTACTCTATCTTTATCTTATCTCTACTCCAGCTTTACACTAGCTATGAACTTGCCTTGTCATAGATTTTACCTAAGCTTACTGTAGTTCTATCATATTATACTTAAGCACTAAGCTAACCTTACTGTAGTAGTGTCTTAAAACTGAGTTGAGCTTACTGTAGCTCTATCCGTGTTTCTAGCCTAAGTTTCCTACAGTTTTACCCTAGCTTTAACCTAGGCATTCTGTAGCTTCACATTTGTCTTGACATGAGCTTATTGTAGCTGTACCTTAGTTTTAACACAGGTTTAATGTAGCCGTACTCTAGCACTGGTCAAAGCTTACTGTAACGCTTCCTTAGCTTTAATCTAGGTTTGCTTTACTTTACATTTAATCTAGGCTTACTTAAAAATGGTTCACCCTGCCTAACTCTAGCGTTTTTCTGCTTTTTCATAGTCCTAACCTACCGTGTTGCTATAAAAGTCTACTGCACCTTTTTAAAATTAAAATTTCAGAATGACATAGCGACAAAACTGTACTTTTCATGTGTTGCTTTTGTATCTACAATATTCTTCTTGGCTTCGTTGTATTACGTATGGAAAATACTGACATTTTTGAAGAATAATACCCAAAAGAGCAGTAAAACCAAGAAGCTAGAGCATCAGTTCACTAGAGTTGTGGTTTTACAGGTAAGAGTGGGTTTTGTTACCTAAATTTTAAAAAATATTGTGAATTCTTGCCACCCTACCTTACTATTATATATTAATACCTAAACTTCTCATTTCAGGGAGCCAACACCTTCTTCTTCGCCTTCCTCCCCTTAAGCATTGTGAGCCTAGGCACGCTGTTCCATGTGTCACTAGAAGCAATGGGTATGATGGTAATGACACCCTTATCATGGCTACCCGTAGCCAACGGCCTCTTTTCTCTATTAGCGGTCCGAAAGTATCGAGACTACTTCTTCAAAATGTGCCTGCCCAAGATTAAAAAGAACAAAGTAACTTCGATTGACTCGATGATACCTGAGTCACAACAAGATGAACATGAAGACTTTGATGACGACGATGACACTAGTAATGCGACTGGGACTATTAGTCGGCAGACAAGTGTGGTTGATGGTATTAGTAGACAGACAAGTGTGGTGGATAGTATTAGTAGGCGGAATAGTCTGGTTGATGGTACTGTGAGTAGAAGAAATAGTACTACTAATAAGTATGATAACAGTACGTACGAACAGATTACTGAAGTTGATATGGAGGAAGAGAAAACAGAGCAGCATGAAGAGAAGAATGAAGTGAAAGATGAAGATAATGTAGAAAAGAATGACAAAAATAATGATAAAGAAGAAGAAACAAAAGAAAAAGAAGAAGAATATGCAGAAAACAAAGATAATAAAGAAAATGAAGAATCAAATAAAGAAGAATTAGAAGAAACAACTGAAGAAAAAGAAGACTATAAAGAAAATGAAGGTAATACAGATAACAAAGAAGAAACTAAAAAACAATTGGAAGATATAGAAGAAGAAAAAGAAGATGAAGATAAAGATGAAAACAATAAAAAAGAAAAAAATAATGAGAAAAATGTGGCTGTTGTAGAAAACTTAAACAAAGAAACATATCAAACAGATGTTGAAGAAGCTATTGGAGAAGAAAAGAAAGACCAAAAAGTCAATGAAGCAGATAATATATAAAATCAGTCAGAAGAAGAATAACAAGGAGAGGAAAAATTAGTCCAATCAGAATGAAGAAAAAGTAAAAGAAGAAGAGAGAATACCATAAGAAGCAGATGAAGATGAAACATATAGAGACATAAGAAAAAAAACAACTTTATAACAACTGCCAAACGAATTGTACAATTAGCAGACGGAAGGATAATTCAAGAAGAATAAAAAGACGGTTGAAAATTGAAAAACCAACAAAGTACATATTAATATATTAAAGGTTTGTTAAAATTATTTTTAAATTTAATAAAACATTTTAAAAGTAAATTGACTGCTGCAAGATCGAAATAAAATTGGTTAATTTTTATCAAATCCTACCCTATCTATCCTACCTTATCCCGTCATACCTTGTCTCATCTCATCTTATCCAATCCTACCGTATGCCATCCTAACGTACCCTATGTTACTTTACCCATCTTAATTTACCCCATTATACCGTTATCCTACTCTACTCATTCTACCTTAACCACCATACTTTATTCCATCTTACTGTACCCTACCATACTTTATTCTGTATTACTTTACTTTAAATTCATTCTACCTTATCCCACCTTCTCCCTTCTTGCCTTTCTATATCATAATTTGCCATACCCTACGTTACCCGATTATACTTTACTCTATCTTAATTTATCCCGCCATACCTTACTACACTATACCCCATCCTACCTTACCTATTATATATTACTTTATCCTACCTTATCAAACTATATTTATCCTATTTTACCTTGCTATATATTACTTTGTCCCATCTTATCTTACCCCTTTACACTTTCTTTCATTTTACTTTACTTCTTTTCATTATATGTATATATTATCACACCTTACCCATCCTGTTTTATCTCATCAAACTTTACCCCTTCTTACCATATTCTAAAATCTGTCTATCCTTGAATATGGTAAAATACATGAAATATGATTCACAATTATATGATAAATATTATTTATTATGATTTTATATTAATTATAATTAATAAACTGTGTAGCACTGGATAAGACAAAGGAACACCGAGTAGATGACTGAATAAATCGTATATTAAAAATATTTTTAAAAATAATAAACTTGCTATAAAAATGCTTTTTTTTAATAGTAACAATAGTACATTGCAGAAAGTTATAGCCCATTATAATAAAAAAAGAAACGGTATGTTTAATGCTTTGAGTTAAGTATATAAACAAAAATTTTAAAATTTAAAAAATTTTTCAAAATTCAAAAAAAATAGACGAATTTACAATTTTAATGATTAAGCTTATTAATATACAGTAGAGTCCGAAATTAGCATATTCGCATTTGTCCCAACTCGTTAACAGGCTCTTGAGGTAGACGTCGACGTGAAGATCGTGGTGAACTCGTGTGTGAACCAGCGTTCGATCCTCGCAGACTGGACTGATTTGAACCCCCAAATCCTCGTGGTGAGCTAGCCATAATTGGTGTTCCCGGTTGAACTTCAAATGGGGATCCAGGCGACCTCGGGTAGATACCTTTGGATTTCATGTATGAAGTTAGTTGGCCCGGCACTTCGTACAACACCTCTTTGGCTAGCTTGGCTTTAGCTTCGTCTAGATCTTCGTTGGAGAGCTCACGGTGGGGTGGGAGGAATTTGCGGAGCTGCACGAACTAGAATAAGTAGATGATACAGAAGTGTTCAAAAAGTAATGAGCTAGTATTTAGTACTAAATTGTTAAAAAAGTAATGAGCTAGCATAAAATATTAGATTGTCCAAGAATTAATAAGACATTAATTAATGTTAGATTGTTCAAAAAGTAATGAGCTATCATATACTTCATTTTAAAAGTTTTTTTCTGATTTGCAGGTTAGTGGCTCATTACTTTTTGAACAATTAATATTATTAGGTTGTTCAAATAATTATGTGCTCTCGCTCAAAGCATATTTTTGGAGTTAGGATATTAAATCGTTCAAAAAGTAATGAGCCCCTAACATGTATATCAGAAAAACAATGTTAAAGGGATTAGACCGGGCCAGAATTTTAGGTCCGGCCCGTTTTTTACTCTCATACTTATGCCATACTCTCACTCTTATCCTGCCATAGCCTCACTTTTATCTCGCCATACCCTCACTCTTATCCTGCCATACTCTCACCCTTATATTGCAAGACCCTCACCCTCATCCTACCGTACCCATATCTTCATCCTTACCTGTACAATGTCCCTTTTGGCATACTTTCCATGGCTAGACAGCATGTGATTATCCGAATCCAGAATCTTCATTTCGTCGAACGAATCATACCCCACACCAACTACAATAATACTCAGCGGTAGGGTGGATGCTTTGACAATCTCCTCTTTGGTCGCTTCAATGTCGGTAATGACCCCATCTGTGATGATTAAGAGCACGCTGTACTTTGACCCGTCATCTGGCAAAGCGGCCGCATTCCGGGCCGCAAATCGAATCGTGGGCGCAAAATCGGTGGGCCCGGCCAGCTCGACACGTGCTTGAGCAACTAAGTATGCGTTCAGAAGGCCGTCAACTCCGAGGCAGCGACAGTCATTTGTTTCTAGATTCTGAAAGAAAACATAAGTTCAGTGCAGGGCAGATCGGGAACCTACTTTATTAGTCCATACCCAAAACTCTACCCTAACCCCGTACCTTAAACCCATGCTCCCCAACTTACTAATGGAAAATTGTAATGAACTCGAGTATCCGGTGGTATCTTCGCCCCAAATCCATAAGCTTTGAAGACCTTGCTTGAGTTGTAATGTTGACATATGTCAGCCACCGATGCTATCGCAATTTCATATTGATTGGCCTTATGCTTGTCGTAATGATGCAGCGAGGTTTCTTCATTCATTGGCAAATTCGACTTGGTAAAGTCGATGGCCACGGAAAAGTCGAGTTCAGTGCCTCCGGTAATAAAGTCGAGGAAAGTGAAGTCCATCCAACAGTAGACCTTGTGGAAGTGAATTTTGCCGGAATCTGCATAGCGTTTAGACTTTGAGGCTTTCTTTTCGTTGACTAACTAAAAATATGAGTTGTAAAGAAAGTTCTTGCCAGTTTTTGTTTTGTAAAGAAAGTTCTTGCCATTTTTTGTTTTGTAAAGAAAATTTTTGCTATTTTTTTTTGTAAAGAAAGTTCTTGCAATTTATTCAAAAAACCTACCGGTAAGATCTTGTCATGCCCATTAAGTAGTCGATTTACTGTGGTAGTACAACATCCGACCAGATCATGTTCTCCATCATTGTCCCAATCATAACATTCAATCAGGAACTCTCGATCCTTATCACCAAAGCACAGCTGATTAATGTGAACTTCGAAAGGCTTCCATTTAGGATTCAACGTCTGCTCATGGTAGCGAGTTCGGTAAGCTAGTTGAAGCCTAAAACATCAAGTTGAAATTTTTTAGGGCGTTTAAATAATTCTGAGCCCCTACTATTACTTTGTACACATAATTCTGTGTCCCTCTATTACTTTGTTCAAATAATTCTGTGCCCCTTCTACTATAGAAAATATTTAAAATTGACCAAAGACTTTTGCAAAAACTTACGTTCCATCCTCGTTATACCGGAATATCTTGAGGAATGGATCACATTTGCCCAGAAAGTCTTTTCGATCCAAATCTGTCGCAGAAACCACGAAATAAACGGATTCTTGACGTCCTTCGCTCAGCTCTTCGGCTGTTACTGTTATCGTTCCTTGGTGCTTGCCTTCTTCACTGAAGTTAAAAAAAATATCTTTTTTTCAAAAATTTTTTTTAAATTTTAAAATTTTTTTATTTAAAAATTTATGAAAAAATCGCCCCACTCTCCCCCCCCAATTTAGATTAAAACAACCCGTCTTGATCACTACGCCTGAAAAAAGGCTCACTAGATCCGAGCCGGGCTAGTCTTGGGTCAAGCCCTGCCAACTTTTTCTTACACTAACACAACCCGCCTGGTTTAGTCTAAGCTAGATTTGAAAGGAAGCTGACTAGGTTCAAGCAAAGCTGGTCGCAAGCCGGTCCGAAAACAAATTTGTAAAGTCGGGCCGAATTGCCTGGACTTGAGGACCAGGGCTAACATTAAGGCTCCGAGCAACGAAGTTGCCTTGGAAAAGGTAGGATAGGGTTTTAATATAGGAATGTTCAAATAATTCTGTGCTTCTAACCGCAAAAAATTGATTAAGAAAAGGGCGCAGAATTATTTGAACAACCTAACATTTTGCTTTCAAAAAAAAATAATTTTTAAATCAAATTTAATGCTTCGATTAGACCTTCGAAGAAGCAGTGTAGCTTAGACATGAGGAACGGGCCGGACCGGGCTTTAATGTTACCCCCGGCTCGTTTCTCATGCATAGTGTCGCTACCCTTAATTAAATTACAAATCAACCTACTAAAGGGACTTAGTCTTCCGATTATACTTCTGTCCAACAATCTCGTGCAACAACATACTGGCTACACCCATCCTCTTCTTGTGTGCACCTTGTTTGTCGAAGATCTCGAACTGTAGTCGTTGTTGCTCTTCAAAGTAATATGTCATTAAGATTTTGGTAGCCCATTCCGGGTCCAAAGTGTTTGTCAGCATTTCAGTCCGACCGATTTCTTCCCAACGCCTTTGTCTAGCCATCGAGGCGTCGGATACGCTTACTACACAGTAAGGATCGTTACCTCCATCTGGATCAACGTCTTTTAGGTCTCTAAAATGAGGTGTTTGAGCTGTTTTAGATGCATTTTATGGTTTACTTTGTGTTTTATTTTAATTTTTTAATGGGCATGGTAATTTTTTTTTAATGGTGGGAGGTTTTTTTACTTTTTTCTATAAAACTCTATTGTCTAGGTCATGCCCGACTAGTCAAGCGTGATATGTTTGTAGAAAAGAAAAACTTTCCCACTACTGCCATTTTAAAATCGAGATTTCCAAGAGCCGAAAAAAGACATTTTTACAAAACATACGACTATGTTTATACTATGAGCTTATGACCACATATATTGAGAGGATTTTGTAACATGTTTGTTTGAGTTATGGTATGTACACAGACATGTTGAAATGAATATACATCACTTTTTACTTAAAAATAGCCCTAGCTGTAGACTTAGCCTTAGTTCTAGCCCAGAGCCCTGGCCGAGAGCCCTAGTCCAGAACACCAGCCCTAGCTCAAGCTCAAACTCAAGTTCAAGCTCAAGCTCTAGCTCTAGCTCTAGCTCTAGCTCTAGCTCTAGCTCTAGCTCTAGCTCTAGCTCTAACTCTAGCTCTAACATAAGCTCAAGTTTTATCTTTTACTCTAACTGTAGATCCAGCTCTAGCTCTAGCCCTAGACCTTATCTATCTCCTGTAGTACCCTATAACACTAAATACCTAAAAACTTCTTGTCTAACCTTATCATTGTTATTTCCACAATCCGAACAGACATTGAATATATTACCTTTCAAAATCAAATTTTCGATTCTTTAGAGTACAATTTGTGAGTATTGTGCTGTGTTTAATGCAATAGAAAGCTAATAAAAATTCAATTCAATTTCGTTCTTTGTAAATAGTAGAGTATAACATCAACAACAAGATAAATAATTTTTGGCGGAAAACAAAACCATGAAATACTGTGGTAAACAAACGGATTTGACGGTCACATGACAGTTCTTGTTGCACTTGTCATTGTTTTTGGCACTATTTTTAAATTTTTCAAAAATTTTAAAAAATTTTAAAAATTTAAAAAATTGTAAAAAAATAGAAAATAGACAATATAATCAATCGTATTTTACATTTTTTTAAACTTTTTTTTAATTTTAAAAATTTTAAAAAAATTTTAAAGTTGAAAAAATGAGTAAAAAGTAGTAAATAGACAATATAATTCATCGTATTTTACATTTTTTTAAATTTTTTTTTGCTTTTTTTACAGTGTTTCACTTTTTTTTACATCCCCCTCCCCCCCCCCCCTCTTTCTCTCTTAATTCAATTATGTTTTTGCCTGAGGTCTATAAATTCCGAGAATTGATAGTGGTGTGCAAAGTAATTCTAGGACACATTAATATGGTCTTTCCTTCAAACCACGAGACCTCTTCCCAAAATAACGTTCCTTTGACCAAAAGAGCATGGCCAAAAGGCCGTTTCGAAAAAATCGTACTTTTTAGAGTGTTTTTGGGAAAAGAGAGCCAGCAAACAGGCTTTATATTGCAACAGTAAAAAATTTGGGCGTGGTAAGATAAAAATTATTGTAAAGTTTAAATACAATATGTTTTTATATATAGATAGTGGTCTGCAAGGCCGGGCGCTGGGTGGTGGGATCCCCTCAGAAAAAAAAATTTCGAAAAAATTTGAACGTGGTCCCCCCCCTGTGGATTTTTAGAGCTTTAGCTCTAGTTCTAGCTCTAGCTCTAGCTCCAGCTCCAGCTCCAGCTCCAGCTCTAGGTCTAGCTCTAGGTCTAGCTCTAGCCCTAGCTCTAGCTCTAGCTCTAGCTCCAGCCCCAGCTACATCTCTTGCTCCGGCCCTTGCCCAGCACTTCCATCAATCTTGATACGATGTTTTTAGATCAAAAATGGACGATATATCAAGTCCGATTTGTCAATATATATCAAAAAAACTGCCCAGCCCCCAAAATGTGCACTGGCAGGTGTAGCACCAAGCCGAACTATTAGACTTGGCTTAACTCTTTTACAGGTCTAACCGTAATACATTCACTTAACAAAGTTGTTTATGATTATAAGTAAAAGTTTGTTGTTAGTGTAATTCAATTTGGCTGTTTCATAAGAATAGCGCAGTGAAACCCATTGCTACTTAGCGTTCTTAGAAGAGCGGTTTTTTACTATGAAACAACGGCTGATACATAATTGAATTGAACTTTTAAAAAAAAAGAAAAAAAAAGTTTTTTAAATTTAAAAAATTTCAAAAAAAAAATTTTATTTTTTTATTCTCCTCTTCCTTCACCTCCCCCTTAACCAAAAAACAGATTTAGCTTCTATTGGGTTGTTCAAATAGTTCTGTGCTCCCTCTCAAAACAAATTTTTTGGGTTAAAGAGCACAGAATTACTTGAAAAACCAAATATTTTAGTTTTAAAAAATATTTTTTAAATTAAAATTTAAGCTTAAACATCATGACCTTTTACCAACCTTCATGTCACGTACGTCACCATGAATTTACGTTAAATTTAATGACTCAACATGTGTTTTGAAATGGCAAGTAAACAAGATTAAAACCAATATTTTTAGTGTTTGTTAGTTGAAAAGTCGTCAAAAAATTACTTTTTTTGATTTGTAATAAATCAATCAGTCGAGACGTTGAATTTGTGGGAGTAATCATACAAGCTTAAATTTTTATTTTTAAGTTTAAGTTGTTAACAAAAAAAATAAATATTTTGTTTGACTTGAAAATATAGCGATTTTTGCCTTTTTTGGGCGCTAAGACAAATGCGGTTTTTGGACATTTGCGGATCTGCGGTTTTTAGACACTTGCGGATTTTGGACATTTGCGGTTTTTTTAAAGCTTTTTTTTATTTTTTAGTTAATTTAGCTGCAGTATGGTACTAAATGGTACTAAAGTTTAAATTGGCACTGTCTTAATATTTCTTAATGTTAAATAGTACGAAATTTTTAATTGGTACTGTTTTTATATTTTTGGTACTAAATAGTACTAAAAGCCCAAAATGGTACTGTTATGTTAAAACCGTAACAATTCAAACTTTAGTACAATTTAGTACCATAATACAACTAAATTAACTAAAAAAATAAAAAAAAACTTTTAAAAAAAATCCGCAAATGTCCAAAAACCGCATTTGTCCTAGCGCCTTTTTCGATATAAAATCAGCCTATTTTTTAGCTCTAGCCCTAGCCCTAGCTCTAAAATTGCTAGTGTTGGCAGAAAATTCAAAAGCTGTTCATTACACAGAGTTTACATTATAAAAAAACTTTGTTATACTAGAGTTTCATATTTAAAAACTAATTTTTCTATAAATTATGCTTCAGTATCTATATTATGTTAGATATTCCGTGAGAGATTACTCAAACAACAACAAAATCTGGGCTCAAAACACTCGAGAGATAACCAGAAAACACTTTGCAATGCTCTTTTGCTTAATATCTTTTTTTCAGAATAGAGGTGCAAGGGTAGTTATACAAGTTGAAGACAGTAGAACCTCTGTATACCGAATGACTACTGGGTTTCACTTTGAATTCGTTCGTTATAGAGGAGTTTCGCTATAGAGGAGTTTTATTGTACTAAGGCTGTAGACTCTGTGCTTCATTTTATAGCAAGTTTTTGGAGTTATAGCGCACAAAATTATTTGAACTACCTAATATTTGAGTTAAATTTTGAAATTGTAACCTATAAGGTGAACAAGGTACAATAAAATTTTTTTTTATTTTAAATTTAAAAACTAAAAAATTTTTTTTTTAATTTTTTTTTTTAATTTTAAATCAAAAAAAGTAATTTTCAAAAAAATTCCCACTTACCGCGCCGTAATGGTCAGCATGACCTGGGCCGAGCGCCGCTGCATCTCCATATTATCATCGGTCATTTTCGGCGGCAGAGAGAAGGTGGACCCGCCGTACACGATTTCCGCGTCGAATACGCCCCGACCCTGGCTCATCCGCCGCACGTCCACGGAATTGCGGACCCGCTCGAGGCCACGCCCACTCAGCGCCTGCACGGTGGGGTTCTCGGCGGTCTCCGCGAAAGCGACGCTATTTCGTCGCGGTTGGGGTTTGTTGGGGTGGCGGTTGTCTCTGCGGTCGGTGTTCTGTCTGTGAGGGGAGTGCATGGTTTTGGGAAGGTTGGGAGGGGTGTTTTGTCGTTAAGAAGTTGGGAGGGGTGTTTTTGTCGTTAAGAAGTTGAGAAGGGTGTTTTTTTGTTGTTGAAAAGGTGAAAGGCTTAAACCAGTAGGTGTAACTCAGAAACGGGGCGTTCTGAAGCCTTATAGTTTATGTAGACTACTTTTTGTAGCTTCAAAATCTTTAAAAGGCTTTTTTTCTACCACGACAGATCACAATCAGCAGCTGTATCTATCAACTAAAGTATTTGAAGCTCAAAAACAGAACGTTTTCAAGCCTTATATTGTCTGTAAACCGCTTTTTTTGCTTCGAATTCTTTAAACAGCTTTTTCATACCAAGATAGATCAGAATCAGTAGCTGTGACTATCAATTTAAGTAACTGTAGCTTAAATTTAATGTAGTCGCAGTTCGAAACAAGCTTAAAAACTATGTTTTTATAGCTGTAATGGTTCTGCCACACTACTTTTTAATCTGTTTTTGTTGTTTTTGGTGATGGTGAAGCCTTTGAACTTCTGTTTGCAGTTGTATTTGTTTAAAATTGGTGTAGAACAATATGATCTACAGATGTTGGAATAGGTAGAAAATGATGTTACAGCTGATGGAACGGTCAAAAACTGATGTTATTGCCTGGTGAATGCTTTGAACTTGAGCTTGTTGGAGTTATAACGGTAGTTTGTAGCGTTTTGAAGGCGTTTTGAAGCTTTTTGTAGCTTTGATAAGGTATTTTGTAGCTTTCTGTAGCTATTAAAAGGTATCTTAAAGCCTTATGTAACCTCTTAACTATTGTAGCCTCTTCCACAATAATTTTGAAGCCAATTGTTGTAGCCTTTGACACGATAATTCAAATGGCACGTTAGGTTTTGTGCTTCAGAACTCAGCCTTCAAGTTCTGAATCAGTAAACAAGAAGAATAAACAAAGTTACCATCAAAATAACGTATCTTTTCTTGAAGTTTCTTTAGGGCTAGGCCTAGAACTAAGGCTTGGGGCTAGCGCTAGAGCTTAATAAACATAAGATTATAAGCTTGTTGAGTTGGAAATGGCATCAGAGTTCATGAATCTGTAGCGTTTTGAAGAGGTTTTGCACTGTGAAAAGTTGTGTAGCTTTTCTGTAGATTACGAAAAATGATTTATGGAACTATCGTTGATCTTTGTAGCTGTTTTGCAAGATTATCCAAACTTTTTGTATAATAATATGACCTTTTTGGATCAATATATTGCTTTTTCCGTCCAAAATTGAGCTTTTTGAGCCGTTTCTTCAATGTTACAGTACTTCTTTGTAGCTTTTATGTATTGTACTTCTTTTTTATGATCTTGTACCTTTTTTAAAAGCCTTTTGAATCTATTCCTTATTAAAATTCCTTTAGAATTCAAGGTTTTTGGCGTCAAACTCGACCTTTTTCATCATTCTTTTGGCCTTCTTCTCTCTTTCTCAGGTCAGTCTCTCTTTTCTCCTTGTTTTCTACCTTTAGATTCTTTTGTAAACTTTCTCCTTCTCTTTCTTCAGCCGCTTCACAATTCCCCCCTGCACTCTCTCAATTCATCCAATCTCTCAGAATCATGCAAATTCCCTCCGTTCTCTAACCACTCTCTCCAAATTCCGTTTCTCTAACCACTCTCTCCAACTTGCGTCCTCTCTCAGCACGCCGTCTTTGGAATGTAAATAGTATGACTTGGAAGTTTGGTGCTCGAGTTATTTTATCGAAAAAAAAAGAATTCTTTGGCTTCGCCTTCCTTTTATGATGTTTTCGTGCAGTATCAAATTAAAGTGCGTCTAAGCCTGAAAAAGTATAATTACAAATTTCCGTTATAAGCGAGTTTCGGTCCAATTAAAACGCGGAACAGTGGAGAAGGTTCAGTTTGGTCGATTATGGGTGTTTGGGTTCAGTTTAGGCGAAAATTGAGGTGAAAATAGGCATAAGGCAAGGCACTGCATAGGAGGACCTTTAGGTTAAATCAAGAGTACAACTGGGTTAAGAACCAAAGCCATAGTTAGTAGGTCTAGACTTGGGTTAAAGAAAGGCCAAGCAAGCTTAAGGCTATATATAAAGCTAGCGACAGGCTAGGGTTAGCGCTAGACTTGAGTTAAAGAAAGGCCAAGCAAAATTAATGTAAGTTAAAGCCAAAGCTAGGACTAGAGATAAGTCAATATGGTTAGGACTAGGGTAAAGCAAAGCCAAGGCAAAAGCTAGAGCTCTGGGTTAAGGCTAAGGCTAAGGCTAAGGCTCTGGGCTAGGGCTCTGCGCTAAGGTACATTAGGCTATTTTGCAACATAATTTCACGTTTTGAAAGAAAATGGAATCTCGGAAAACAAAAAAAAACATAACAAGATAAATTGAAAGCAAACAAATCGAATTAGGTAATGAGATTAGACAGTTCTTGGCCGTGCAAGGTGGTTATAAATAAGTGTTTGGACATGGAAGTTCAACTAAAACCATCGAAAAAATGTTTTCTTAACCTATTGTTGGTTCTGCTATACCTAAAAACACGACGCTGAAGCTAACTAGCTATGTTCATGTACATAAATAAACCGTAATTTCAAAAATTCAAAGTTTTATGCATTTTTAAAATTTTAAACGAAAAACAAATTTAAAAAATGTAAAATACGGCGTTAGGACTAGCAAAGCTAGATTTGCTTTATTGAGTTAGTTTTACCTTTCATTGCAAAGACATGTCTTACCCTACCCTACCCTACCCTACTCTTCCCTACCCTACCCTACCCTACCCTACCCTACCCTACCCTACCCTACCCTACCCTACCCTACCCTACCCTACCCTACCCTACCCTACCCTACCCCCACCCTACCCTACCCTACCCTACCCTACCCTACCCTACCCTACCCTACTCTACCCTACCCTACACTATCTTACCTTACCCTACCTGACCCTGAACAAACAAATGGCACTCTGTGCCAGTATTTTGCCAAACCGGTCCAAATGACTTTAGTCCGGTCATAAAAATTTTTGAATCCATCCGGTTTATTTCTAATTTTTTTGCAAATGTTCGGGTTGGCTCAGTTTTTTTTTTGAAATAGTCCGGACCGATCAGGCTTATTTTTTTAAAGCATGCCTAGACCGGCAAGGCTCAATATTTCGGGACTGGTCTAGGCCAGACGGGCTCATTTTTTATGGGTTGGTCTGCACCGGCCAGTCTCATTTTTTTAGATGGGCCCAGACCGAATAGGCTCAATTTTTTCAAATTGGTCTGGATCGGTCAAGATAAAAATTTTTAAACCGGTCCGGACCAGACTAGTCCAGCCAAACATCGCTCTGTGCCGATTCCCATAAAATATTCAGTAAATATATAACATGTATACACAAAAACCTCAACTAACTTCTCCGAAACCTACAACCAACACATCTCTAAACCAAACTGGCAATTAGATATTGATTTTCATTAAAAATGATTAAAATTGTCGTAAAAGTGGCATGAAAGCGGCTTATAAAAACATAAAATGTCATTAGAGTTATGACAACAACAAAATCATTTCATTACCGGCAAAGGGTAGTGTAAGTCATGTGGTAAAAGGGCGATTGGATTTTTGTAACGGTCAAAAAGTTGATAGAAGTGGTTTCAGTTGAAGAAAATTATAGAAAATGCTACCTCCATGAACTTTTCGGCCTAACATTCGAATTTTAATGTCCATTGTGACCTAAAAATGACATTTTCATAAAATTTCTAACTTAAAAATGATATTTCCATGTGTTTTCTGATTGAAACTATAAACTGTTAAAAATGCCTTTTCTATAAACTTTTAGAACAAAAACCATAGTCTTTTTAGACTAGGATATTTCATAAAGTTTTTGACCTATAACTAACTATACTATAGGCTTTTTGACCTAAACATTCCATTTTTATGAACTTTTATACCTAAAACCGTCTTTTTCATTAACTTTCAGGCGTAGAAATGACGTTACTGTAATCTTTCCAACCTAAAAATGGCATTTCTATAAACTTTTTGACCTAAAAATGTCAATTTCATCAACGTTTTGGCTTAAGAATGGCTTTACTATAAACTTTCTGACCTAAGGATGCCATTTTCAGAAACTACCAAATTTAAAAAATAAGTTTTTTATTATCTATCTTTCTGGCCTAAAAATGACTTTTTTTTAAAACTTTCTGACCTAAAAATGCCATTTCTACAAACTTCTTAATCTAAAGATGGCTTTTTTATAAACTTTTTTACCTAAAACTGGCATTTCCATATACTTTTTGACTTAAAAATAGCTTTTTCATAAACTCTCTGACATTAAAAATGGCATATCCATGAATTTTCTTATCTAAAAACTCCAGTTCCATTAAATTTCTGACTTAAAACTGCAATTTTGATAAATTTTTAAACTAAAAAAACCAATTCCATCAACTATCAGATCTAACAAATGAGTTTTCTATCAACTTTTTGACCTAAAAATTGCATTTCATGAACTTTCTGACCTATAAACTAAATTCTATGAACTTTATAACTTAAATAGCAAATTCTATAAACTTTCTGACCTCGTTTTTCATTTCAAATTTGAAAATCTTGTAAAAATTCATAAACCCCCGCAGGCTAAACCAAAACGCAGCGATTGATACCCAAAAGCCCGGAGGCTTTAAATATTGATAGAGTAACACAAAATTAGATTAACTCATTTCGAGAGTTATGAAAAATAAATGCAGAAGAGAGGCCTCGCATGAATGAGTGTTGAGAAGACATTACTATTAGAGTAAATATGTTCCCAAACATGCTGGTTGCTAACCAAGGTAATTTAGGTTCTTGGCTTTGAGTATGTTAAAAAATATGTTTTTTTTTGTGTTTTATGAATGCTAAAAGCTATTTGAATACATTTTTTTAATTTTAAACTAATTTTAAAGTTTAAAATTTTAATTTTAAAACGATTTTTGAGTAAAAATATAAAAAAAATTACCGTGGAACTCTTTTACAACAATTCTTTTTCTGGCCCATGCCAGATGGTTTTAACGCTTACGGACCGTTTTTATTTTTCACAGG